AAAAGTGGTCGAAACAGTAAAATGGGACAAAAAAGTGTGAAAACATAATATTTAGGACATATTGTAATGTTAATGTTAGAGACAAAAAAAACAAGTAAACCCAAATGTAAGGGACTGTTTAGACATTTTAGTCTATACATAATTACAACAATTTTTGGAGCATCTTCATTGCGTTTGTTCTTTTTTGCCTTTTTTTTTTCTTTTGGTACAACCTCTTCATTAATTATAATATAGTGGGGATAAGATCAAATGTAGCAGCAAAAAGAATTCAGCACGTCATATAGGTTTTCCCATTTTGTTTAAATATATAGGTGGAAAAATCTGAGTTGGAGAGGAGTGTATTTGTAATTTTATTCAATTGTATTATTATTATTATAATAATAATGGAATTACAGAGACGAGTTTCTCAGCGACTTGAATGCGTGCATTGAGGCAGAGGAACTGAAAATTTAACACGGGTGCAAAATCTGGAACCCTCAACACACAGTTAAAATAATGATCGTGACCCTGCTCCATTGATTTTATTGTATCCTCCTTATGGGAATATGACCAATACTTTTGAGCTGAAACGAGATGAGCATCAATAAAATTGTATTCAGTCAAACAAAATACCGCAGCATCCCGGATCTGGCCCGACTCATTGTGTGCGAATTGTTGCAGAGACTCTCTTGCAATTTTTGCGGAACGTTGAGCACAAGATATCGCTTTCGTGCCATAATCTTTCATGTCGCTGTGGAGTCCCCGAGAGGGAGAGGCCGTCATCTGTTTCTCTAAGCACTCCGTACAAAACAGGAAAAATCCCGTTTGGTTGCACAAGTCGCTAATTTCTGAAGCAATTTTGGCATCTAATTTCGGTGGTGAGGTTGAAATAATTCTCCCAAAAAAACATGAAAAAAGAACAAATCCAAAACATAAAGCCTGCAGATCCATACTTACTTCACAAACTCTCTTTCGATCTGGGGTAGTACTATATTTCAAGTATGAACTGTCCAAGTGATCCATGTCCAGGGGAACCAAACTATTTAAAGTTACATATCAGCATTTGTTACAAACCCCTTTTATGTTTGACAAGTGTCAAAATTTTTATTAAAAATTTGTGTTAATCGGCAAGTGTCAAAATATTTTCAATCAACCTGCCAACTTTAAAGTTTAAGTAAATGTGTGTTGTACCACTGGTACACGTGTGTTGTCGGACCCGCTCAATCGGCAAGTGTTCAATCAACCTGTTAACATTAAAAGTTTGACTGCATACCATGCTCTTTTATGAGGTTTTGTAATCTTCTATATTGAGAGCAAAAAAAATCTGCTCTTTTCCACCCCAAAATCCATAGATTTGTAATGGATGGTTTTTACTTTTTAGCTCCATTCCCAGTTCCAAACCTAGTCATTATAAGTGAGCATTTACATAGCACCCCATCTAATCCCTATTTTGAACGATCTAATTGATAATGCAGGAGAATCCAGATAAAATCAATATAGTGAGACATTTGAAGCTATGATGCCATATGAGGGTAATGCCTGGGTAAAAAGACAATTTGAAGCTAAAAAGGAAAAAAAACTACAAAAATAGAGCAGGGACATGAGGAAATTACGACGCCGGTGGAAGAGAATGGGGATGAGGAAAATTGGAAAGGCTATACTGGAGATGACATTGCCTGCGAACTGGATGAGAGAGGCAGGTCAGGTGACTAGTCGGATCTTCTGGAGCGGGATAAAAACGCGGCGGAACTGGTTAGTATGTAACTGCTTGGAGACGTTGAACCCCTTGGAGCTCCGTTGACCCGGCGTTGCTATTGTGATTAGGGAATTTTTGGGCGGCGGAAAGTGATGGCCTGGTGGAGGTTGGCTAATGAAGGCTGTCGGAGGCCGGAGTTGATAATACAGTATGGTTAAAAGTTTTAAAATCTAAAAAACAGAACATAATAGGGTTCGGAAGACTCGAAAGAACAGAGTTTGCCTATAACACCCCCATGGGACTTCATCATTTGCCCAAAAAAAAAAAAAATGAAAACCTTACCATCTTGTTGCCATTCACTCTTGGCAACTCGAATCCCATACCCATCTCCTTCGTGCTTAATTTATTGTTCTCCCATTTGGATTTGCTATCTCAAATTATTAGACGAAAGAGGCTAAGTATTTGCAAAGGCTATAGATAAATTTGGATAGACGGAAATCCGAGGCTCGTGAAAATACAATTTCCTTAAAACAGATTTGCCCCCTCCTGAGGTGCTAGAGGATTCATAAGCATCTGTCTTTCAGGATACAACGGAAACGTAGAGACTACTTAGCACAAAGTAACTCTACAAGCGAACGTGAATTTAGAACAAATTGATGAACTCCAAACAGGAAGTGAAAAAGGCTTCGATAGAAAGCTGGAAGACAAGAGGGAAAAAATGTCTATAGATTGTTGAACTATGAGTCATTATTTATAGTGTGGAGAGGAATCTTTGATTTGCTGAAGGTTTTAAACGGTTTTCACCATTGAATTGCAATTTAATGTGTAGTTTATGGCCTGAAAAACATTTAAACGGTTTATACATTTAAACCACATTAACCTTCGCATTCAAAGTTCTTAATGGTTAAGTAATGCTGGCACTTTAATTCAAATAAAGCTGAAAATGGTTTTTCATTAAACCAGCCATTCATTTGACCATTTAAACATCCAAAATTTATTCCACATAATTAAATCTGACGTGATACATTAAACTCTCTGTTTGACTAGAAAAATCTAATCTGAACCAGAATAAAACGTGGGTTGATCAGGTCCGCGAAAGTTCGGTTCGACATTCGATTCGAATCTCTTGAGAAACCAAATTCTCATTCAACTTGAACTCAAATTCCAACAATCCCCCACATGAATGAGATATTGTTTCGAGTACAACGATGAGGATGTTGTTCACCAACTGATCCCTGCATAGAGAGAAAGTAGGTTTTACCCTTTGAACTTCCTCCTTGTAAAGTATGTTTGCTTTACTAGTTGTCCAGTAGACACGATGTCCTTGAACTGTCCAGCTGTATTATGTAAAGAAACCCACATACAATACACAGGAACCATTTCTATTCAGTTCCGTTCTCATGATTTGTCCATTTTGGCCATGAACACGTCCTGGTTCTGCAAGAGTTTCTAAAGAACTGAGCCTTAATAGTTCTCCTTTGAAGCGGCCCCACTTCTCTCTCACATAGGTGAGTCTTTAAGTCTAGAGTAAATGGTATTACTCACTTAAGTATCATTAAAGCAACCATTTGCTATCCTTTTCTGTCATATCACTGTTTGATGACAAGAATGAGTTGAGGATTCCCCCACAGTGACCACACTAAGTCTTATGATTAGGTTGTCCCTTTGAACCTAGATCTTGGGATCTCCAGTCAACTAGGTTGGGTTTTCCTTCTTAAAACTTTTATCTCTTCACAAGCTTTACACCCGTTCCTCTGGCCAATCTCTCAACTGCCTCTCGATTTAACCCTTTGGTTAGCGGATCCGCAAGATTATCATTTGACGTCTCATAGTCAATTGTGATAATTCCTGTTGAGAGAAGTTGTCTAATGGTATTATGTTGACGACGAATATGTTTCGACTTACCATTATACAGAGTACTCTGTGCCCTTCAAATCGCCAATTGACTATCACAATGAATACTAATCGGTGACACAGGTCTTTCCCACTTTGGAATATCCTCCAGAAAATGGCTTACCCATTCAGCCTCCTCACCACACTTATCCAAGGTAATGAACTCTGATTCCATTGTGGATCTGCCTATTAACGTTTGTTTCGAGGATTTCCAAGACACAGCTGCCCCAGCTAGTGTAAACACGTAGCCACTTGTGTATTGTGAGTCTTTTGTATCAGATATCCAATCTTCTAACACATATGGATATATGGTATAATACAATCCATAATTACAAGTGTGTCTTAGGTACCTCAGTACTCTAATTATAGCAGTGTAGTGTTCAGCACTAGGATTACTTGTGTATGAACTCAACTTGCTCACCACATAAGCAATATCTTGCCTAGTACAATTCATTAGATACACCGGGCTTCCATTATCCGAGAATATTCCACGTGAGATATACCATGTCCATGATTCTTGGATAAATGGACACTATTATCTAATAGTGTTTTCGCGACTCTATAAACATTCTTGTTAAACTTATCAAGAATTTTGTCTATGTAACAAATGTTAACAAATGTTTTTTTTTTTGAATTAGTATGTTAACAAATGTTATGAAATACATTTATTTGTGGATGTCTTTTATTTTTACTACTCTATCTATCTAGTTACATTAAACTACATTACTACTCTTATCTTATCTGTGTAAAAGTTATAGAATAGTAAATTAGACGTAACATGTTATGGTTTTGTAAAACCTATAAATAGAGGTTAAAGTGAAATGAAAAGAGACACCCAAAAGTCTACCACTATTCCTCTCTACTCCATTTGTCTTGTTTTGCATTTTCTTTTAAATATTGCCTTGTTTTGCATTTTCTTTTAAACAACAAATACATATCACATCATTTATTTCAAAGTTTTTCCAAACGTTGCTTGATTTTCTTTCATTTTTCTTTTTTTTTTTAAAAAAAAATACAAAATATGATACTTGAAATCGTACAGAGCGATGGTGAAACCTCGGAGTAATTTATACCGGAGTTAGCTTGTTTTTTTTTGGATGAATTATACAATTAATAGTTCAATATTGGATGTGATTTTCTTCTTTTTTTTTTGTACTTAATTGTCCCAGAAAACTAGTATACTTATTCAAAGCAATCTGGCCAAATTATTAATGTTAATTATACTTGGTTTATTAACGAAAGGAATTCTAGTAAAAACCTACGCTTAAGTTGAGGGATTATTGACGCAATTAAATAATTATTAATAAGGATTATGTACTAATTGTACCTTTTTTCTTCTTCTTATCATACCGTAGTCTCCCAAAAGTCATTAATTTCAGTACTTTGTCAAAAAAATAAAATAAAAAAAAATTTAGTACTACAGCACTTAAAATAAACGGGGGTGAATTTTCATTGAAGAAAAAAAAAAGAAAAAAAAACAATTGTTTAGGGCTCTGGTCCCCCATAGCTTCTTCTTCCTAATTCTTCCTCACTCTTTTTCTTCTACTACTCCTTTCGGATCTCAATCTCCAATTCCCCCAATCTCCATCAACAAATTCAACCCCTTTTTCTTTCATTCCCTTTGTTGACCCTTTTTAACAATTTGATTCAGTTCAAGAAGGACTGACTGATTGAATTAGGGCACAAAACACTTGCAATCAGATCTCAAATTTTGGGGAATTGGATTTTGGATTGGATGGCTTCCCCTGGCAATCCAAATCAACCAGGTGGAGGACCAATTGATATGCAAAAATTCTTCAAACCATCCCCACCTTCTTCTTCCCCTAATCCACCACTTCCGCAAAACCCTATTTCTTCTGGAATTACTTCCCCTGTTTCTTCCACTGCTGCCGTCGTTTCCAGTTCTAATAATAATACTAGTAATCCTAATCCTCTGCAAAACCCTAATTTGATTTCCGGCCCGTTCCCGCCTCCGTCCGCCTCTTATCCGCCTCCCACCGGCGTTCCACCTGGTGGGCCCTTCTCATACCCCCACCAAAATTCCCCTTTCCACCACCACCACTACCTCCACCAACAACAACCTCCTCCGCCTCAATTCCACCACCTTCCTCAGTTTAGTAATCCTCCTCCTCCGCAGCAGCTTCAACCGGATCCCTCTTCCTCAGCCCAGTTCACGACCACCAACTTGCACCACCAGCAGAGGTCTATGTCGTTTCCCACGCCACCACTTCAGCCTCCTCTCTCTGGGCCCCTCCACCACCAGTTCCAGAATAATTACCCCAATCCCACTGGTAACAGTAATAGTAGTAACGGTAATGGTGGCAACACTACTTCCAATAATGCACCTCAAAACCCTGGGGCTAGGCTGATGGCTTTATTGAGTGCCCCCTTACCTTCCACTCCTGATTTTTCACAACAGCCAGCTGCTGTGGCGATGGCCCCTATTCAGCCCACCACGTCTGGAGGATCGGATTTCTCTACCTCTGCCCCGAATCTGCCTCAAATGACTTCTGGGCCAATCCCAAATATCCAGGGGTATCCACACCCAGTCCCTATGCGTATGCTCAGCAGTAAGTTGCCCAAAGGCCGGCATTTAATCGGGGATCATGTCTCCTATGATATTGATGTCAGGCAGCCTGGTGAGGTGCAACCTCAGCTTGAGGTTACTCCCATTACCAAGTATGCTTCGGACCCAGAGCTTGTTCTTGGGAGGCAGATTGCTGTTAATAAAACTTACATTTGTTACGGACTGAAATTAGGAGCTATTCGGGTCCTCAATATCAATACCGCGTCAAGATCACTGCTTAAGGGCCTTGGCCAGGTCAGTAAATCAGCTGCACAAGTAGTTGCAGGCTTGTTGGTTTTCTAAAAATTTATATGTACATGTACTTGAGACAGGATTAGATATAATGAGACTACTAATGCAGGATAAACATGGGTGGAGTGAACATCTTTAAGATAGTTTTGGATGTGTGGTGAACGTACCTGTCAATAATGCACTAGGATTCAATGAAATCATAGAAATATTTGTTGATATTAAGGGGAAAAGGGAGTACCTTAAAAGAAATTGGAAGAAACTATTAAATCTCACCAATGCTTATTTGAACTTCATAAAACACTTATAATTTGTCTTTCAGGGAGTTTGCATATATGTAGTTGCTTCTGTCTGTTACTTGGTAGATTTCTCCTCAGTTTAGGGCAACTGCAATGTTATAATTATCATTTTATTGCTTCATTTAGTTATTTATCTGAGTAATATACCTTTGTTTCAGAGGGTCACAGACATGGCGTTCTTTGCTGAGGATGTTCATCTTTTGGCTAGGTAGGAACCAAATGCTTCATTCCCTCTTATCTTCTGCTTTGTCTTTTTGTATTGCTAACATGCATGTCTGCAGTGCAAGTGTAGATGGCCGTGTTTACATCTGGAAAATAACTGAAGTTACAGATGAGGAAGACAAAGCTAATATTACTGGGAAGATTGTGATTGCTGTACATTTCATTGGAGAAGGTGAATCTGTTCATACACGAGTCTGTTGGCACTGTCATAAGCAGGTAGAAGTCCTACTGTATTCATTTTAGCGTGCTAGTTTTACTTCATCGTATTAAGTCTCTCGTATATTGTTGCACTGTCAGGAAGTGCTTGTGGTTGGCCTTGGAAAGCGTGTCCTGAAGTTTGACACTACAAAGATAGGTAAAGGAGAAGCTTATTCGGCTGAAGAACCACTCAGATGTCCGGTAGATAAGCTAATTGATGGCGTCCAACTTGTTGGGAACCATGATGGAGAAGTTACCGATCTTTCAATGTGCCAGTGGATGACCAGTCGTCTGGTATCAGCATCTGTTGATGGCACGGTTAGTATCATTATTCTTCTCCTTGGGTAGCCTTGAGGTTTCAATTCATAGTTCTTAAGGAAAAATGGTTATTTTGCTATTGGATCTGATTCTGCTGCTATGCTGGCGAGTATATTGCCTACGCCGTGTAATTTGTACTCCATTTTTCTTCAACTGGCATTTATACATTTGGATTAAGGATTACTTTTCCCTTGTGCATTATCTTGCATTCATTCATCTATGCATATTGGTTTGCTTGCGTCTATGTAGACTGTGTGCTGAAGGAAAATGAAACTCTGATGACACGTAGGATGAACTTGTATTAGCGTGCTTCTATTTCGGCAGATTTTGATGTCATTGTATACAATATTGCCATTTGTCGGGTTGTTTCCCAACCATGCATGTCTACTTATGGTTGTGACATCATGGCTCGAGAACTTCTTGATGATTTTAATTGGTCCAGTATTAAAGCCTGTTGGGAATAGTACGTGTGTAGGCATATCTTTTATATACTTTATACACATGCTCGTTTTTTATTCTCTAAACCTGTTATCATTGCTGACTCTGTTAATTTTGTATTCAACAGATAAAGATTTGGGAAGATCGGAAGACGCTGCCCATTGCTGTGCTGAGGCCACATGATGGTCTCCCCGTGAACTCTGCAACATTTCTAACAGCCCCTGGCCATCCACAGCATATCATACTCATTACTGGGGTATGCATTTCTGATTTTCTCCCCCAACACCCCTCCCTACAAACACATACATGCAAAGTTCCCCAAAACAACCCTCATTGGAAGATGTTTATTTAGAGTATACTAGGTTCAGCATCTTGCTCAGCTATAGCCTGTTCTTTTGGTTCTAGGTCGTGCACATTTTTTCATCTTTATGAGAAGTATTGTGTGTTGCTACGGCTTTCACCGACGACATTAATATTTTTAATATGTATTTGTATTTTTTTACTTTTTTTTGGGTTTTTTGATGATGATGCATGTTGTTTTTGTCCTGGTCTGACTAGAAAAGATGTCTGCAGGGTCCTTTAAACCGGGAAGTAAAGATATGGGCATCAGCGAGTGAAGAAGGCTTCTTGCTTGATTCTGAATCTTGGCTTTGCACTCAGAGCTTGGAGTTGAAGTGTTCAGCTGAAGCTTCTGTGGAGGATTCTTTCTTTAATCAAGTTGTAGCTTTGTCTCAAGCTGGTCTTCTCTTACTAGCAAATGCCAAGAAGAATGCCATATATGCAGTGCACTTGGATTATGGAAGCAACCCAGCATCAACCCGAATGGATTACATAGCAGGATTTACAGTTACCATGCCAATATTGAGTTTTACAGGTACTAGTGAGTTGTTACCCAATGGAGAGCAGATTGTTCAGTTGTACTGTGTCCAGACACAGGCTATTCAACAGTATGCTCTGGACCTATCCCTGTGTTTACCACCACCGATGGATAGCGCAATTCTTGATAAGTCTGAATCTATTCCGTCACGTGATGCTGTTAGCAGTGATGCATACGTTTCTTCGGAGCCCTCTGAAGGCAGGGCAACTGAAATACCGTTATCTGGTTCAGTAGCCAAATTCTCTGGCCGGGATATGGGATCTGAAAACGTGAGTTCAACTTCTGTTGAATCTGTGCCCTTACAAGACTATGCAACTTCAACTACAGAATCTAAATCCATTACTTTGCCTCCAGTCACGGCTAATGTTGATATAGCTTCCATTGCCTCGCCTCCACTTCCTTTAAGTCCTAGATTGTCTCGAAACCTATCTGGTTTGAGAAGTCCCCTTAAAAGCTTGGACCCTGGGTCCTCACTGAGTGATCGTGGTGGAGATTCTAAAGTTATTGAGTATTCAGTTGACAGGCAAATGGATACCATTCACCCTACCTCATCCGATGTTGGATCACTGGATGAAGAATCAAGAAATGATGAAAATAAGGTTCTCCATGATGATATTTCCACTAGTATCAATCATCCTATCCAGTTCAAGCACCCCACACATCTAGTCACGCCTTCTGAGATTTTGATGGCGAACACTTCTTCGGAAATTAACCATATTACAGAGCAGAAAAGTGAGGGCGATATCAATGTTCAGGATGTGGTAATGAACACCGATTCTAGAAATGAGGAGTTGGAGGTCAAAGTGGTGGGTGAGACTAGGTTTAGTCAGAGTAGTGATGTTGGTTCTCATGAAGACCTCCGCAATTTTGTGTCTGAGAATAAGGAAAAATCATTTTACTCTCAAGCCTCTGATCTTGGAATTGAAATGGCTCGAGAATGCCGTGCCTTGTCCCCTGAAACTTATGTTGTGGAGGAATCTAGACAGTTTGATGGAGCTGGAGGCAGCGAGGTTTTGCGGCAACCTTCAACCGCTGAACAAGAAATACATGACTCTGTAAAGGAGGTATCAACCAAGGTTGTTGATTCAACGGCGACGGTCTCTGTTCAGCAAACTTTGTCTTCAAGTGCAAAAGCAAAAAAGCAGAAGGGAAAGAACAATCAAGCATCAGGCCCATCTTCGCCATCACCTTTCAATTCAACAGACTCTTCTCATGAAGTTGGTGCTAGTTCAAGTATTCCCTCTTTGGAATCTGTATTTTCTCAGGTTCTGGCGATGCAAGAGTCAATTAATCAGGTCACTGTCTATGGCTTTTTTGGTTTCTTTTCCCCTTCTTTCTACTATTTATTTTATTGTTTTAATATTATATTCTATGATCCGATTTTGAATTTTTTAAACAAGCTGCTTTTTAAACATGGTTCCTTTGATTTTCTTTGTAATAGAGACTGTATTCTATATATTGAGCTTTTGTTGACAAAATGGCATTTGATCTTTCCTTGTTGCAGCTCGTGAATGTGCAGAAAGATATGCAGAAGCAGATGACTGTGGTAGTTGCTTCTCCAGTAACCAAAGAAGGCAAAAGGCTTGAGGCAGCTTTAGGGAAGCACACTGAGAAAGCTGTCAAGGCCAATGCTGATGCCCTATGGGCTCGTTGTCAAGAAGAGAATGTGAAACAAGAGAAGTTGTCCCGGGAACGAACTCAACAAATAGTTAATTTGATTACTAATTGTTTAAACAAGGATTTGCCGTCTATGGTGGAGAAAGCTGTTAAGAAGGAATTAGGTACTGTTAGTCAAGCTGTGGCACGCACAATTGCTCCTACTATTGAGAAGGCTGTGTCTGCTGCTATTACAGAAGCTTTTCAGGTTAATATTTTTGAGTTCAAAATCGATTTCATTAGACGTGCTTCTACAGTGAGTTAATAGCTTCTGTGTGTTGCAGAAAGGAGTTGCTGATAAAGCAGTTAGTCAGCTGGAGAAATCAATCAATACGAAACTTGAAGCTACTGTTGCACGTCAAATTCAAGCACAATTTCAGACTTCTGGAAAGCAAGCACTCCAAGTAAGTTCCACTTTAAAAACCATGGAACGTGATTCTTCTTTGTTTATGATTTTTTTGCATATGGCTCTTTATTATATGATTATCAATTTGCATGGTGTAGTTTGCGAGGATTATCTTCGTGATCGATTCAGATTGATTTCATGAATACCAATAATTCTTAGCTAATATTTGGTGTTCTGAAGTTTTTCTATATGTGTGTTACTGTTGAGCATCTAGCGTATTGGGTAGTTATTTTTTATTTCTTCCAACTAGTTGCAAGTTGCCTCCATATTCTATTTGTGGAATTCTTTGACATAGGCTACTTGTTTTCAGTCATGGGCGTCATCGGAAGATAGGGCAAGTGTATATGCTCACTGTATTCTTTTTGTAGGAGTGCTTGAAGTTTTTTTTTGCCTTGCAGGAAACATTGAAAACGAGCTTGGAATCTTCAGTTGTCCCTGCTTTTGAGATGTCTTGTCGATCAATGTTTGAACAAGTTGATGCAACCTTTCAAAAGGGTATGGCTGAGCATGCATCTGCAGCATTGCAACAATTCGACTCAGCTCATTCGCCTTTAGCTCTTACTTTGAGGGTATGGATCATGCACGTCTTTTTTTGTGATAGTTTGATCATTCTTTTTCATGTTTGTAGGTTGTAATAACCAGTCTTTTTAAATGATTATCATTTCAGGATGCTATTAATTCAGCATCATCAATGACTCAAACTCTAAGCGGTGAGCTGGCGGATGGACACAGAAAGTTGTTAGCCCTTGCTGTCTCGGGGGCCAGTTCCAAAACTGCTAATCCTCTGGTTGGTCAGCTGAGTAATGGCCCTTTGGGTGGTCTTCATGAAAAGGTGAATTTCTCCTTATTCTAGCTTTGAGTTCTTACTGGTTTCCAGTATAAAATCAAGTTTGTCTCTGCTGTTTTCTACATGTAAATGTATTATTAATATGCTTTTCCACTCTTTGTATTTGTTCCGGACTTAATAGATTGAGGCACCTTTGGATCCTACGAAAGAGCTTTCTAGATTAGTAGCTGAGCGCAAGTATGAAGAAGCTTTCACTGCAGCTTTGCAGAGAAGTGATGTATCGATTGTGTCATGGTTGTGCTCCCAGGTATGCTTATGTTTCACATAACAACAACAGCGCTCCACAACCATTTCTTCAGGCCATTCTGTTAATTTCTTCATCGGAAGTTTTTGAGCATTTCTTCTTCTTTACTATTTAGTATGCATGAAATCTTGTTCTTGTAGAAATAGAATTGAGTAACAGTAGCAAGGATATGGTTTATTCAATAAGTGAAAGTAAATGTTTTGACCAAGCATAGTGACAGATCATGAACACAATGACTTCTGGAGGAAATGGCCATTTTGGCCATTTTGTCATTCAGCAAGAATTATGAACTGCAAAGTCAGGCTTGTGTATGAATGTTTTTATTGTTTATTTCAGGTTGATTTACCAGGGATATTGGCGATGATTCCTCTACCATTGAGCCAAGGAGTTCTGCTCTCACTTCTACAGCAGCTTGCGTGTGACATTGGTACAGATACGCCACGAAAACTGTCCTGGATGAGGGATGTCCTCACTGCCATAAATCCGACAGACCAGATGATTGCAGTTCACGTGCGACCTATATTTGAACAGGTATATCAAATAATGAACCATCAACGCAGCCTTCCGACCACCACCGCGCCGGAACACTCTACCATCCGCCTTATCATTCATGTAATCAACTCCATGATGATGACCTGTAAATGATCATTTGAAGTTTTGTATGGTGTTGGAATTCAAGGGTTGTACAAAGTTTTAGTAGGGGATTATTATAAAGTTGGAAAAGGAAAACTAGTTGTGCAGAGTTAAATGCTACTATTGTTACTTTGTTTTCTTGTGTCTTTTTTTTAAAGTAAAGTAATATTTTTTTTCCCGTATAAAAACCTTGAGTTGATCGAGAGGAATGTGTAGAAAAGTTGAGTCTTTTGCAGGTGGTCAGTTGAATAGTATGTAATGGATATGAGATTGCCTTTCTAGGAAAACAGTTTCTCCATTATCTGGTTCTTAGCGGAGGGACTGGACTTCTTTCAAACCTTCCTGTTGTCGGTTCTTTTTACCCTATATACATGCAAGTCGTGTTTTCATTGCTGAACAATGAACATGTGTTTTGAAGTAGCATGGCATTGGTGAAGTTGTTGCAGTGAATGTTATTCATCAAACATCACACTTCTTCCATTTTATAAGGTTGCTCTCAGAAAAGGGTAGTCTCGAAGAGAATAGTCTACTTTATTTAAATAAAGTAGGTTTTTTTTTTTTTTAATTTTTTAGAGTGAAAGAAAGCATATTTTAATGTTGTTGGAGAAACTGGGTGTGATTGAGACTTGCCCGCATGTACTTACTACACATCTGCATTTCGATTCGTGCATGCTTTCATTATAGAAATTGTCTCCCTCACTCACGTTCGGCAATGCTTGAGGCAACACCTCGTCAAGGTGTTTCTATCATACGATTCGAATAAAATTTAAAACCCATATTGATCCATCATTGGAGAACACAAGTATGGATCATTTGAGAGAAACTGGACTTTTTCTTCCGGATTATACCTCCCTGCGATCACATGAAGCTGCCTAAATAGATCATTGACAAACAATTTCTATAATCAAGTTGAGTTACCAAGGTTACAAACCTATCTGATGTAAAACATAAATTTATTTATTATTACTTCTGTTCCATTATGATTATTGTGTCTAGGTATTTGATTTTAGTGCAATTTTGTACCGAAAGAAATTAAAATTTAGAAAATGGAATAGTCATTTCGGAAGAGAGAGAACAATAATTTTTGTAGACACCGCATTTTACAATAATAGCATTTAGCCCTCCATCGTTTTATGCATTCCACCTATTATCATCTTCTTCTTATTAAACCCATTCAAGCATATACTAATTTATGAATGATTTGAAAAAAGTAGCCTCAGGCACATCCTCCATTTCAATGATGTCATCAGTCTGCTATAGGCATGCAAGATATTATCTGCTTCAAGTGTGGGATATGAGATCACTGCAAATCCACAATTTCCCTTCTTCTTCTTCTTCTTCTTCTTTAATTTAAAGTTTATACTTAGCACATCATTTAAAAAATACGTATAAGGGTAAATGTCCCAAATTAACAACTGAACAAAAAATTTTAAAATTCGATTTGTTGCGTCACAAGACAAAAATCGTATCAACTTTGACCCTTTAAAAAAAAATAATAATAATAAAATAAAAAAAATTCTCGAGTGGACAGAATAACAATCAAAGGAAAAAGGCTAATATGGGCTACGCAAACCTTGGCAGTTAGCAATAGACCATTTGACTTTGTTACCTGAAATTCTCCATTGTTTCCTCAAAAGCCGAAGGTTTTTACTTTTTTTTACTTTTCAGGGGTGAGATGAACCATACATATGTTTTAAAGTTATAATCAGCTGTAACTTCCAATTTCAGCATTTCAAGTCAAATATTGTCGTGTAATTCTGGAATTTACTCAACTCCTCAAAATTGGTTGTATTTTGGATTATGTCATGGAAATTTCTACAAGAACCATATTAGATATTGGTAAGAATTTACAAGAAAGAAAAATGGGGAACCAACCCGGACGGTCCGAGTACAGCTAACAACATTTCTGTCAAAGTCCCCACAAAAAAACAAAAGGAAAAACAGAAAAAAGTGAGGAAAAAGATCACCAACACTGATCCGTTTCCCATCTCCGGCTAGTATAAAACCCGGAATGTCTTCGGAACCCACCGGAGCTCGAGTTGTTGTTATAAACCCCTGCCAAGGGACGACGTCGTTCGGAGCCAATACTCAACGTCAAGTCGTAAATCGCCCTCGCCGCCGGATCAGACAGCGTAGAATAAGCCTTGTGAATCTCAATGAAATCGCAACCGCCAAACGACTCCTCCGGGTGCTTTGCCACCACGGCTACGTCCGGGTGATAAATCTTGGCCAGGGACCTGTAAGCCGATTTGATTTCCGATTGAGACGCACTCTTCTTTACTCTCAACACCTCGTACAAATTCATGGGCTTTCTCCCAGTCTCCATTGCCGAAGGCGGTGTAAAAGCCTCCGCCTCCGCCTCCGCCACCGCCGCTTTAATTGTCGATCTCCCCGGCATTCTTACCGCTGCACACGGCATTTTACCCTCCGATCTGAAACCTTCTGGAATCGTTCCCAGAAACGCTCCGGATGGGCGAACTATAGTTCCCAGCATATTGCAATTGGTGATTGGAAAATCTGGAAAAACAAGAAGAATGAATTTTAGATGGGAGAAGAATGATTTGGGGGCTTTTATGGGGGAAACAGGCGACTATGTGTTTTGGTTTTTATATACAGGGGATTAGAAATGAGGGAATCTCGCGGGCGTGTGGGTCCAATGGTGGGGCCAACTTGGCAAGAAGTGGGCGCCCAGCGTTTTTGGTTTTTCGCTGTTAATGGGCCTTTTGGAAGGGTCTCTTGAGTCTGATTGATAATCAAACAATAAATAATACAAATCCAAAAGAGGATATATATCAAAATGGATACCATGGGCTCAGCGCTGACGAGGCTTCCACCCCTTGAGGAGGATTTTCTTGTGCTTCTAGAACATCTATCTCTTTTTTACTTGCTTTTAATCTTTCTGTCATTTTCTTTTGTAGTATTTATTTTTTTCCTTGCATTAAATCACCGTCCAGAAAGCTCTGTTTGGCACTCGCTTTTGTATGTCCTGATTTCTTCCTTCCCCCAAAAGAACTACAATGTCCGTTAACAGTTTTAACTTTTAAGATTAGAATACAAGATGAATTGAGCCATGTAATGGTTAGTGCATTGTCCGTTCAACCCTGAAATTGAAAATTCGATTTTCATCATTGATACCAGAGGTCGATAATTATGTATTCCCTCCGTCCCCAAAATTATTATTCAGTTTGAGATTTCATTTTTAGTAAAATTTAAAATAGAAATGAAAATTCAAACTGGACAATAATTATGAGACGGAAGAAGTATGAGTTACACTTGACGTCCATGGAAAACCTAAGTAAGAGAGCGTTTGTGAGGAAAGTCTCTTTCTAGCAGTATAAGTTCTCCTCTCCAACCGGCCTCATTCTAACTGTAATAATTTAGATATCTTCAAATCAATAAATAGATATAGATACTGATATTTTGTACTCTTGTTCAAAGGTCCATATTTTTACTCATAATTGTTAATACATAACTTATGAAAGTCTAATGTATTTATTATAACGTCATAATGCATGATTTATAATCAAGAAATAAGGGTTTAGAACTAATCAACTATAATTATAGATTTCGTTTGAACTCTTTTTTGTTTAGTTTAATAATTTTATCGTGGAATTATATTGAATTAAAATAGTGTAATGAACTTGGGCATTAGAATAAAAAAGGAAAACATGTTTGTACTTTGAAAAAATATTAAAAACTATTAAGATGTGACACTAACGATGTGAATGGGTGAAGTAATATTTTTCCTAGTGCTAACTGCTAATTGCAGCCTATGGTTTTTCTTTTTCCATCGCTCTTTGAACTTTGAAGTTTCCATCTAACGAGCGAGGAGTACGGCTAATTTAGCCCACGGAGAGTGGGACACAGTTTCTAGAACGCAAAAACTGTGGATGGCCCACTTGTTGTCCAGACGCTTTACTGGCTTTTCACTCTCGGATGATTGTGACTCCAACTTAGTACTTACCCTTCGTCTGGTATATATATATATATATATTTGGTAAACCTGGAATTTGTTTTAAAGTTATTTCATTCTTTATTTAATTACTAGGTTTTTCTTGCCCACGCTAAGCGTGGGCATTTTTAAAAAGTAATAAAGCAAACTTAAGAAACATGTTATATTAAATAAATGAAGCAAATGATATAATAACAAACTAAAATTACTCTGAAATTTAATAAACGTTTGTATGGCTATGATGTTTTGGTATCATTAAAACTTAATTGGGAAAAGTCAAGCTAAAAGGTTAATTAGATTTGGAAACTAAGATATGCATCAAAAGAGTTGTACTATGGGAAATTTTTTTTTAAGAACAAATTATACTTTTGATTTTACGGTTTAGATTTTTCACCTACATGTAATAGTTTAGAATGTGAGACATTTGCCTCTTTTATTGTAGAAAAAAAAATGCTAATATCGAATGTTCTAAATAACATTATAGAAGTAATTCATATCAAGATGTGATAGAAGTGTCATGAACTTTTTTATCGGGTTTTGTACCAGATTTTTTATTAAATGAAAAGAAAAGTAGTTTTTTAACAAAAATATTGGCTAATATTTCTTAAGGAGAATATTGAGAACAAAAAATATGATGATCTAAATTTAGTTCTCTCCTTGACGGGTTTAAGAAAAATAAAATTTGACAAGTTACAATAAAACGTATGACTTTTTATTTTACTTTTTATCAAAAGAAATTAAATGAACCAATAACTAAAGTAGAGATATTCATGAAAAAAAAAAATATTGGAAGCTTCTCATGTAGATCCCCCCCGTTTTTACAGTATGTTAGATACAGAAGACAAATAGAGCGGGGGAAATTAAATTTTTTTCTGTATGAAAGTGTTAAATTTTTTTGTTGGCTCATTGATTTTATGTAGTTCTAGATCTAAACACAAAAAATGATTAGCATGACAAAATTGACACATGGCTGCACTTGGAAGTTTGATATAAGTCGGCAAAATTTTTTACATTTACCTAGCTAAGTTCATAAGTAGTATACAAAGAGGGGCCAACGACCAAATTACTGTAGATTTGGCCCCTCCCGCTTTATATAGATAGTAGATTTCATGTCGAGGATTTGAGATCTATGGAGACAAAGATTATCAAACTGAAACACTCTTTCCATTGAAACCGAACAATCATTTTAAGGATGAAGAATAGGGTCATTTACAGTTCTACTTCCTCCGTCCCATTATTATTATCCAGTTTAAATTTTCATTTTTAGTTCAAATTGTACTAAAAGTAAAATTTTAAACTGGACAATAATTTTGGGACATAGGAAATACTTTCCCCTTCAATCAAAACGTCGTCAATAATTCAAGTATCCCCATTTTATCTAACAGCCTCAGACTACAGCAATGGATGTTGGGAGGTCAATGGTCTATTTTCTTGTCTCATTTGTAGGGTCATTTACAGTACTACTTACTTGAAAGATGAAAAGAGAACTCACAAATTTTTGTTTGTTTTTTTGTTTGTGAAACTTAAAATGTTCCGATGTTAATAGTAGTGAAGCTGTTTTATCTTCATCTGAGAATTAGAAAGTTTAATTACTCATCTTAGAGTTACAATTTTACAAAATGTTTAGTTTCAGGTTTTAACACATTTTATCACTCCTTTGTCTCATAATTGGGGTTTTATTATTACCTCAAAGTATAAGTTTATTATATATTTTCTTTGATCTCTCAAAACGATTGTCATGCATATCATTTTTCTGTCTCAAAGTGATTATTTAGTACTTTAATTTTAATTCTCACGGAGAACCAATATTGATTTTTTGAAAAAATATATAGGACAATCCTTATGGAACACAAATAAAGGAGGAATAGTATATTGTTAACAAAACAAAAAGAAAAATGAAAGAAAAAAAAAAGAGAGGAAAGAAGCTTCAGCTGGTGCTCCATTGAAAAGAGCACACATATAAAAGTTGATATTAAAAAAGATTGAAAATTAACTAAGAACAGATAATGTGAATACATATTGTTTTCTCAAAGCTGGCCAGACATAGGGCCTGCATATGCAAGTACTGTTAGAATTGTAAAAAAGAAAAATGGATTGCGGTAGAAAATATACTGATAAACAATTTGGGGCAAAAAAAAAAAAAACCAAGTTAAAAACAAGGAGCAAACAGCCAAACAAACAGAGCAGATTCATTTGCTCCCTCGCCTGCGTTTGGCCTTAAATGACATAGGAGAAAAAAAAGTCCGGAGCACGAGGGCTGAGGTCTTCTAGAAGGCCTTTCCCCTTCAATCAAAACGTCGTCAATAATTCAAGTATCCCCATTTTATCTAACAGCCTCAGACTACAGCAATGGATGTTGGGAGGTCAATGGTCTATTTTTCTTTCTTTAGTTCTTTTAATCTTTATTATTTTCTTGTCTCCTTCTTATCTTGTTGTACAAGTAGTAGTAGAATTTTATAGTACTTTATTCAGCTTTTTTTTTTTTTTTGTTGGAATGGTTTTTACGTCTTATGCCATAGAGTTACTAAGTTCGAGTCTCTTCATTTGCTCCCCTTTATTCGATGCCAAGAAAATATGTAGTACTCCTTTTGTTCTAAAATTATTGTCCAGTTTCATATTTCATTTTTAGTATAATTTGGACTAAAAATAAAAATTCAAATTGGACAATAATTATGGGACGAAGGTAGTATGTTTTATTCTGTATTCCTTTCTACATTGCAATTGCATTGAGAACATGTAACTTTATGTTGAAATCGTGAAAATATGTATTGAAATTTTAATCAGCAATGATACATCCATTGACTAAGTATAGTGAAAATGTATAGTGACAAATGAAAGGACAAATACACTATCCACTTGCTAAACATGTCTTTTTATTAATTAATGATAAAATTGTAATTTTGGGAGAAAAATAAAACTTCAACGAGACAATAGTAAAAAACTAAGGGCCATGATTATTCCACATCAGTCACTATATTTTGTCACCATTTTCATTAACTAAAAGTATCATTTTCCAATTTTAATAATGAGATGAGACATGATTATAGAATGGACGGTGAGATCTGAGCTATAAAGGGCAGTTTTTTTTTTCTTTTTTTGTCATTAACCACCTATTACGTTTTAATTCATATAATTGTATATGTAACCTATGTTTATAATATTGAAATTTTATAATTCGAGAACCCTGTGATAAGTTATTTAATTTGAGTGATGTGTTTTTTAAGGAAAAAAAAAAGCTATGCATTTTGATCAAATTTGACATGAATTATGGACAAGATTTTAGTAAAACTACTTTTCTTCGGATTTTAGATTGTGGTAGGACCCCCCTCCAAGTTCCAATGGGGAGCATGCACACAGTAGATAAGTTTTAATTTGATTTGTTTGTCCCAAAACTTGTGAAAATGGGGAACTACGACAGCAGGACTATACATTGTTTTCTAGAAACCTTTCAATTTTCATCAGATTTTTTCTTTTTCCAAATTTCTTTTATGGGCCTAGTGTCTCCGCTCTTGAAAGATCTCTCGTTTATCATAATTGTCCAACGCATTGAATTGTTTACAACTCAACAAAAATGTTAGTCACTGTTATTAGAGACGATGGACACTTTGTTGTTACATGTAAAAAAAAAAAAAGAAAGAAAAGTTTTACATGGACAGAGCAAGTTCTTTTAAAATTTTTTGTTGTTATTAATACATATAACATAGTTATGAAAAAGATTTATGAGTTGCTAGTTACTTCATAAATAGTCAAAAAACTCCAAACAACTCCGTGAGCGGACCGGGACAATAACCTTGAAAAGGATATTCTGAAATTAAAACTGAAAATTATTTTGTACCACTTGTGCCATTTTTATCCTTATGTTTGTGCAAGATGAATAGATATTTCTTCTGTCTCGAAATTTTTTTCCAGTTTTAGAATTATATTATAGGACAATATGAGCTAAAAGTGAAATTACAAATTGAACAATGATTTTCGGACGAAGGAAATAACAACAATGATGAATCTCTTTACAGTTAACTTATACAGTTAATATATTTTCGTAATCATCTATTTACTTTTTACCACATGTCCAAATTTATTGGTTTAATTTTGAAACTATTGTCAAAATTTATTGAAATGATGGATCTTAAACTCAACATTAATTCGAAGAAACGACATTATACTCAAAGTAATCATCATGAAACTGAGATTCGAATCCAGAATTTTAAAAGTACATTTCTTCAAAATCGTTGTCTTTTAGAATACGAGATTAGGGATGATACGATCGCAATTAGACTCTCAATGTTGTGCACTTGGGCTAGTAATTTCCTATTGTTCGATAACCTCAGGATTTATAGCAAAAAGACAAATGTGGTTGACCTTAACATACTCGATAAAAAGACTTTTAGTGAAGGAAAAGCACAGAGACATTAAAATATAAAATGTAGCACTCCGTATATTGGCAAGCAAGCAAGCAAACATCAAAATCACGGGAAGAAAAAAAAAGACAAGCAACTGAACAACAACTCTAACAAATTCCTGAATAATAATTTAAGTACTTCTTGCACTAGTTTATCAGTGTGTGATTATAGTTTCTTATATGGGACAGGCCCCACCGGAACTAACAATTTACGTAATTGGCTTGCCTCCATATCAAATCATCTCGTCACAACGGAAATATCTGAAATTGACCCCTTCTAGAAATTTGAAGGGGTATCCAAGTTTTAATTGGCTTTCTAAACTAACAAATAAACAACACATCACATTATTTGATTTGTGTTTTTTTTTTCAGAAGTAACTACTGAAGTCCAAAATCAATTGGTAATAAGGGGAATAGTCCATAGAGCTTATTATATATTGATACTCAGACTCTCCTAATATTGGTGTGAGATTGAGACTCTTTAATACTCCTCTGCAAGCCCAACGTATTTTTTTGGGTTGGGCTTGTCTTATTTTTTCAGTTCAGGCACCGCCTCATGTTTTATTTTTGTTAGGCTTTTTTGGAGTTCGAATGTCGACAGACTGACTCTGATACCATACAGAAGTCTATAGGATTCTATCTCAAAACCAATTGGTAATAAGGGGAATAGCCCATGAAATATTCAGAGTCTCTCAACACCGATGTGAGATTGAGATTCTTTAATAGTAACCTCTCGAGATTGATTGACATCAGGTTGAAGATTCTTTAATCTTCTAGAACCGTGCCATTATTGAACCCTAATTTTGCTTCCACTCCATTGATTTTGTATCAGAAATAAGAAACACGAGTCCTCTACATATATAACAAGATAGATACGAGTAAAATGAATAAAATAATTCTTTTTTGTAAAATCCCTTGTTCTATGAATCCACAATAAACACATGAGAGTGCCAAAGTTTCACCAACCAAACTTTTTAAATTTTTTTTACAAATTTTTGGTGGATTTATAACGGAAAAACTCGAGACTAATCAACAACAGAACTACCATTTACATCTTCCGCTACTAATAGGCTAACGCTAGTTGGACTCTATCACAAAACCGGAGTTTCCAGTCCGAATCTAAAACTGTTTTGATGTGAGAGACAACAAGCTGCTGAGAAATTGGTGATTCCACATTCGGTCTCAACAAAAAGAAAAAAGAAAAAAAAAAAAAATTCCACATTCCATTCTCTGACTTGCCGATGACTGGAATTGATTGCAAGCTGCAATTCTTAAAATAAGCCCTATAGTTTTTGCACTCATAGGTTGAGCAAATCTGTAAAAGCCCAGGACTGGGCCCGCCCACTGTATAGTGGGCCGATACTGTTGATCCAACTGAGAAGGTTGAAGCAAGTGATCACCTGAGCCTTTTCTGGTTGTGGTTCTATACTTCTATTGATCACAGAAAATGATCAAAATATTTGTGTGTAAGGAAAATGAGACACTTCTCACTTTTCTTGGAACGAGGGATTGAATTCATGACCTTCTTTTGAAAGTGAGTAATTTTATCATTGAACAACACCTCTTTCGCAAGCATCAATTAATTAATTGGAAATTTATCGGAAAAATGACATTCTTTGTGAATTTGTAAGAGACTTATTGATCAAATTCCATCAAAAGTAAGGGGAGGTTTTGAATAAAGACATTGTTCATCAAGAGCAATTGATAAAGTAAAAATAAAGCAGCAGGAGTTGAGAAGTAAGATTGGAGTTCTTGAGGAAATAATACTCCCTCTGATGTGAATTACAAGACAGATATTTAAATTAAATTTATTGTTGATTTGCACTTTATAATAAGGTCGGGAAAGAATACTATATCAAAGATGGTTTGGTAAACAAAAGAAACACTAAAAAAGAGATAAACGAAAGAACTAGTGTGAAACCAAATGTACATCCTTTAGGCATGCACTCCAATGATATAATCACAGACCTGACAACAATATAGTTACTCCGTCCCAAAACTATTGTCCAGTTCAAATTTTCACTGTTTTACTTTAATCCGCTACACGCGAATCCATCACAGCTTTCGTACGTAACATGGAGGAATGGCCGCCTCCTCCTGGTTGCAAACTGTATCATTCCAGTTGCAGCAATCTTCTGGATTAGGGTCGGGGGAGCCACAGCTTTCGTAACAGTACAATTTTTGGATCAGGCAATCAGAGAAATCATCAGACGGGCTGCTGCTGCTTCCATCCTCACAACCAACCCAATTAGCATCGCAATCTGCGCTACATGAATCTCTACTCTCTCCTGCCGATTGCGCTGCTGTTTGTTCAGCATGGAAGATTAGCATTAGTACTAAAGCTAATGAAAACATGGCCATGGAATGGGATCTTTCGGTTGAATTCATTGTAGCTCATAAATATATATGCATAATAATATAGGGCATACATATATATATATATATATATATATATATATATATGATCAGATTACTCTCTTTTGTCTTCATCACCATCTCCTTGTGTCTTGCTCTATTTTTTATTCTTATTTTTAATTGTTACACGAGCAGCACATTAAAAAAAGAAAAAACAACTTCAACAAATTTTTAATTGATTAATTGAGAAATGTACCACATAACTTGGAAGGAGGAACCGACAATTTGCTGTCTAGCCATGAAAACGGAAAGCCAATTATCTGAAAGAGAACGCTTTTCTTATTTACACGATCTACAAGTCTTTTCAAAAAAAAAATAAAATTATTGTACCGTTTTAGTTCAAAAAAGTGAATTATTTTTTTTTGGACTGAAACAATAATATTTAAAAACAACTATGACCGTACAGATTATATCATTCTTGAGAGTTATTACAGTTAAATTTATTTCGTTTCCTTTGTTTTGTTCTTTTTTTTTAAAATTTTTATTTTTTTACTCCGCTTGGTTGTTATTGTTCTTGTCTTTTTATTATTCTCAATAATTTCCTTTTAGTAAATCGTAGGGTAATGACTGAGTGGCAAGATTAATAACTGGTTGATGAGGTTAATCAATCATCATATAGTAAGTAGAGAAAAGTGATGTTATTATTTTTAACAACTTAATTACCAACTACGTAATTATGTAATCGGTTTGATCGATATTGCGCAAAAATATGTGGTGATCACTACTGAATAAAACCTGTGGTGCGTTATTATTATCATCATTTGAGTCATATACAAATTATTTTTTTAGTTTTTTTTTTGGGTCTAATTCAACAAAATAATGTTCCTTCCTAAAACAAACAATGTATCTTTCAACACTTTGGACGAATATTTTTTTTTAAAAAAATAATGAACACTTTCAACGACTGATCATTAATTTCATGATTGGATCATTAATTAAAAATATTATAAGTATAAACCATCAAACAATTAGATTGGTAGGTAATTAACTTATAAACGGGGTATATAGGACCTATAACTACTAAATCCATAGTTTAAACCACACTTAAATTGGTAGTTACATGATAAAAAGTAAAAAGGGTGGATGCCATCCTTGTTCAGTCGTGGCAAATGATTGTTGATGTTTCTTCTTCACAAATGATTTTTGTTGATGATCTTACATCCCAAAACTAAAAAAATATATAAAAGTAAGCATCTTGATGACACTAACTTAACAAACTTTATTATTGCCTAATAAATGAAAATCGTCCATATTATTTGTACATATAAAGTCTAACTAACACAATAAGAATCTAGAAATTATATATAATTCCATGGTTGAGAACCACATCTTTGGATAATCAATCACCATGATATGACAATGATCATACTTTTTTTCGTTGTTGAGAATTGAATTGGTAAGGAAGCAGGTGGTAGCTAGCTAGGTACGTGATACCGTAATACGAACTTGGGTATAGCTGTGAACGAGACATGAACATTAATTTAGCAAGCTAACAATTTTAATCCAGAACAACTAATGGAGCTAGGTCGGAATATTATTATTAAGCAATTCATCTCCAGCGATGATCATGATCATGATTGAACAATATTGATTAATTGGTTGCATATATTGTATATAAACACCTACAATCAAAACAGAAATTCCATCCCAACAACATCATCGTCATCCCTTCTGTCTCATTGATATCTCTGAATTTCCAGCTTTTAGCTTTATTCAAATAAATAAAGAAAACTGTTCTAGATAGTGTTATAACTTCCAAAATGACGGCAAAATCGGCCAGCCTTTTCCTGGGGTTAGCAGTAACACTGCTATTCTTTCATGTTGAAGAGACTCAACCCCAAAGTGTTTGTTGTGACAACTGCAATAAAAATTATCTTGACGATGATGGTGACAGAGGCACATGTTATCAAGAATGTAAATCGGAATCGAATTTTACTGTTGCGTGTAGCGAATTATTACAGCTGCAGCCAGAAGATTGTTGCAAGAAATGCTATGATGGTTGGGGTTCGTTGCGTCGAAAATGATTGTTCGATTTGGCGTACTAATTGCGACGAAGAGAAAGATTTTTATGTTACGCCAATATCTGCGCCGGTGTGGTTTGTCGGGAACCAAAACCACTAGATTGTTGCAGAAACTGCGATGATGGTTGGGATGATTGTAAGAAGGAAACCGAAATATGCCCGCATCCTGGGTCTAACACTTGCGAGGAATATAAAGCTTTCTGCAGTTATGCTAAATGTAGAAATGAATTTGGTGGTAACTGTAACGATGAGGACCCTGACCCTGCGACAGAGGGCATTCATCTTTCAATCTCAAGTCTGAAATATGAAATCTCCTTGTACGTCTACCGTATCGTGAATTAATAATGTTGCAAATTGTATTTATGCAAAGTAACTCAATTAATTAGGGTACTAGCCAAATTTGAAATTACTCAACCTAATTTTCCTTGTTTTGTACCCTTTTGGTTTTTTTTTTATTAGAAAAGAGATCCTCCCACAAATTTATTTATTTAGTCGTTCGTAGACTTCAGCCCTGGCGAATCTTTTGAAACTGTCTTTTTAGCATAGTTTTAGTACTAGCGTACAAGAAACATTCTCGTGTTAAATTTTTTTTAAAAAATACTAACCACCATCCCCAAATGATTATCCACTTTAATATAAATTATCATATTAAAAGTAAAAATCTAAACTATCTAATCATATAAATTATCATATTAAAAGTAAAAATCTAAACTATCTAATCATTTTGGAGACAGAAAGAGTATTGACATATTTGGTTTGGTTAATCAATCACCATCATCATACTTCAACTCGAGGTAGCTAGCCGGGGAGGTAAGTCTTGTAACTTAGACAGATGCGTAAAGTGTTTGAAAATCAAGTTAAGACTTGAAAATTAGCATAGCTAGAGGCTTTAACCAAAAGTCAACTAAAGGAATCAGGATTTAATTAAATTTCCATGCCAAAAGATGATCGTAAACGCTACTAGTATGTTGGTTGAGTTCCCTACATAAACACCTACTGTTGAAATTCCCAGAACATTCATTTCCGATAACAATTAATTTCTCCAGCTTCAACTTCATCAAATCAAAAAGGGAAAAGAAAAAAGAAAAATGACGAGGGCTTTCGGGCAGGAGAAGAAGAGGAGTATTACCTTTAATAACATGTGCATATTGGCCATGCTGTTAATGGGTTTTGCAGTGATAGTACTAATTTTTCGTTCAGATCAGACGCAAGCACGAAGCGTTTGCTGTGACCGGTACAATAAAAAATGTGAAGAATTGTCAGAATCGAATTTGACTGTTGAACGTGGCGAATCCAAAGCGCAGCCTCTTAAAGAAGAAGGTTGTTGTAAGAAATGCTATGATGGATGGGTTCGTTGTAAGGAAAGTTATTGTTCCGCTGGTTGTACTGACTGCAGCGAAGCCAAAAATTTATGTTACGCTAACAACTGTGCTGGCAATATCGCGTGTCGCGAGCCGAAACCGCGTGATTGTTGCAAACGCTGCGATGATGGTTGGATTGATTGTAAGAAGGATGGTGCGATTCTCAGCTGCGACGAATCTAAGGCTTTCTGTTATGCGGAATGCGGAATCGGATTTGGCGGTGATTGTAATACTAATGATGACCACTCTTTCATGGACGGTCTTCATCCTTTTATTTGATGTCCCAAACAGACTCTGATTAGTTCCAAAATTTATATCAGAATGTTTTTGTTCCAAAATTTGGGAGAATCCAATAGATTAGTCCCAAATTGTTGAACTATTAGGTTTTAATACTAGCGTTTGAACATATGTATCGTTGTATATAATTATAGAATGTTGCTTAATCTGAATGGCAACAATGATTCCCTAAAATCATTGTGGAATCAGATTCTGAGCAAGCTATTCAGCTCGTTGGCAATCGGAATGGCAGCCTAACATGAAATACCAAGTTAAGAAGGATCCAATCTATTTTGAGCTCGAATTGGAGCGTGCAATTTGCTCGAAGGAGCAGAGGTAACAACCTTTGCGCAGACATATTGGCCAAGGAAGCTCTTAGTTTCATAGGTGAATATGTTGTTCTTTATGTAACCCCTAGTGGCTACTGGCTAGTAGTATTAATCTTATCTTAGACAACGAAGCTGTCAATGTAAATTTTAGAATTTTCTATAATAGGGTTCTCTTGTACTATTCATATGAGCTGTAGGAACTAAGGCTATGCCGAAGTTTTATGTCTTTTAACCCAATAAAAAATAAAAAATAAAAAAATTGTTGTTTATTAAAAAAAAGTTGTTCGCTGTAAGTGTCATTAAAAGAGGGTTTTTTTTTTAATAGGATAAAACCTAAAACTGAAACCAAGTAGTTTAATAGTATGTCACTAATTTACAGGCTTTTTCTAAACAAAAAGATGTAATACCTCAAAGAATTGTATGTGATTAATCCCGCTCCAAAATTGTAGATACCTCAATTACTACCAAATAGTTAAAATGACTGTTTTCGTAGTCCCCATTGGGCTTCTGCTCACCAGACAGCTCTGCAGTAAACTTGGGTTAACTAGTGAACCATAATCGGCCCAAAATAGGGGAGAATAAAAGACTTCTAGAGAATACTAATGTTTTAATGTTGTAGCAAATTGTAGCAAGTAATTCCACCAAGGTGGACCAGAAGAATTTTACATATCTTATCTTGACGGTGAACATCTTGTGATATGAGAAAAAAGAAACGATGAATATTCGTTTATAATATGGTAAATAATTTATAGATAGTTTTGGTTAGTCTCTAATTCAGTTATTGTAGTTAATAATATTATTTTCCCTCCTTGCATTTTGAGATAATTATTCTATTTACATTTTTATTTTTTTTAGTATACATTACATTATTAAAATATTAAAATCTAAACATTGCACTTATTTAGGGACAAAAGAATTTTATATCTTCCTATCTTCTCATTTTAATTGTTAAATTCTTATCTTTACCAACAACGTTACCTGAAATCATTGTAGTAGGATATCGTCACCTAAGCCGTTGTCTAATCCATAACCAATACTAATAAAATGATTACAATATTTTATCTTGTACCGCTTAGATGGTCGATATATTCTTGATTTTGTCACACTATTATAGTTTGATGACTCCTGTTTGAAAAATACAAGTGGTTACAAGTGGTTATGTACAAGTCAATATTTGGAAAGAGTATTATAGAGAACATAGCTCAATTAAATTATAAGAATATTATAGTGATTTTACCGGGACAATTATTAGATGTTCTCAATTAAATTATAAGAATATTAGTGATTTTACCGAGACAATTATTAGCATCTAGGGCAAAACTCTGCATACCTTTCAAAATTGCCCTTCATAAAGCCAAACTTTATATCCCTGATCTCCGGCATCGTAATCTCTCCCTTCCTTTTCCTTTTCCCTTTTCAGGTCTCCCTCCAAAAATTTTCTATAATGCGGGAGATTCTGGAGATATTGAAACAAAACCTTGGCTGGAGGAGTGTATAGGAAAATGATTGAATGTGAAGCAACAAGGAGAAAGCAGAGAAGCCATTGTTGCCTCTACATTAGAAATTTACTAGCAAATTTTTTTTTTTAAAAAAAAAACTATAAAACACCACCATCAGAAGCATATCTGTAGCTATTTACCTCCTGCAATTTAATTAGCACAAAGAGCAATACCACCATCATCAGAAGCATTCCAAGTAAGAAACTATTTCACGAATTAGGATAAAAAACACTCGCAATAATTACTACATCGAGTATCGACAAAAAAAAAATTTGAAGAAATAAGAGGATTAACGTGTAACGCGACATAAAACAAACAAATTTGTGAAACAATTGCGAGTGTCAGACTGATTTACAGGGTCAGCCAAAGAAAAATTCCCATCCCCACCAGCATTGGGACCACAAGATCTACCAAGAGCAAATTCCCATTAGATTTCTAGGTTTCCACGTTCAAAAGCTTTGGTTGAACCGGAGAAGTCAATACTACTGAATTTCTTAGTCATATTTGGATAAAGAATTCCCCACATCTCGGTGTTGATCGCATCAAAAGCTTTATCGAATAATTCCTTCCCTTCCACAGAGAAGTATCAAACTCAGAATTCAAGTGCGCTATTAACCAGTTAATTTGAGCCAAAGCTGGACTGACTTTAGTGATAGGCTACGGAAGCAGAGAACGCCGCCGAGGAAGTAGAGAGACAATGGGATTAATGAATTCATTGAGGATATGACTTCAAGAGGGGTAAGTTTGGAAGATAGACAAAATTTTGCCCTCAATGCTAATAACTGTCCTCCTCGCAAAATCACTGGCCAATTAAGATATATACAATCCTTTTGTCTTATCCCACATGACTCAACTCATTTGATCATCATAAACATGTAGTGAAAAAGTAGGTCCTTTGTAACTCTGATCTGTCTATATTTAGTATTTACTGAATATAGGAGCGGAATTTTTCCAATCATGGTGCAGTCTTGTAGGGTCAAAAGGGTTGCAGGAATGGTGTGGAGTAGCACCATCATCATCACATGCATGCATGAGGTTAAACAAATTGCACTGTCTGTTCCTTTGGTTTTATGTGTTTAGTTTGATATGGAAGTTCGAATCCTGCATGTTATTTCTGTTGCCACATTAACAGAAAATATATATATATATATATATATATATATATATATATAATCACAAAGTGTACGTATCCATACGACACAACATGCTCGTTTTTTGTCTTCTTTAGAGAAATTCGATGAACCATAACAGTTATACTTGAACGATTTGAGACCCCCCCAAGTTACAAGTTACTTCTATTCGATGTTGGACAAACATTGAGGACATAGGCCAAGAGCCTAATTTACTTCGTCGAATAAGAGTTTTTATCAGAAATAAAAAAAAACAAAACAAATTGGCTGATTGAGATTACTCACATCTTTAAGGGATGTAATTCGATAATTGACTTTTTAGCGAAAAAAAGGTTTATATATGGCTAGTGAGTTATACATTTTAACAAATTTCACATTTACGTTACAAAATAGTCTTTTACTCCTAATCTGTAATCAAATCGAGGTTTCACATTTTATGTAAATAAAAAAGTCACGAGTTAATTCTACTGATAATGCAAAATAAGACATCCACAAGTATCGTGTGTTTGATAAGTAAACGGAGATATGTAACTTGGTTTTGATACGTAGTAGTAATCGCCTAAAATATCTAATCCTATTAGGATCCGAGCTGTAATGACGTGGCACACCATCGCAGTCAATTTATCAACATATTCACTTTCCACGTCAGATTGACTCGACAATTAATCAACATTTCAACATGTTAATTAGTATTTCCGAAAACTACTTTGGAAGCTACGGATCCCATTTCTTGCTCCGAAATCCAACCTTTTTTTTAGAAGATTTTTGTTTGTCCTCCATCGTTGATAATCATCATATTTTCGGATCAGAATCCCGTGAAATGAAAGGAGTCAATAATAAAGTGGATTTTTACACATCATAGATGTGGTTCATCATCTTAGTTAGTTCATGGAGCTTATCATAATTAAGCCCACATTCAATGGAGGAAATTGATCCGACAATTAATAATTGTGCTTATGGAAAAGCCATTTTGTGCTTTTGAACTTTACTCGATTCCTAAACTTTGCATTAATTTTTTTTGTTTTCCCCTAATTTAATTGGTTAAAGGTTTGGCAAACTCTGTCATCACCATTCATGGCCGAATCTCTTAAAAAGATTGAGTCAAACTTTACTCAGCATTTCCCATGGAGGGCATGCAAATATATCCGGACTGATGATAACCCGACTAGGACGATGAAGAATATTCCCGAATCCACTTAATTGATTGATTTTTGTTTTTTTCTTTTTGGATTTGTGACTTCCATGGCAGACGGGTTTGGGAAGTCCGAAATCTCCGTGGTTTTTTTTTTCTGGCCACTTTCAAAACACCAGAAAAAAAAGGGGTTGATTAAAATCGGAAGAAGATTGGTGGAGAAGATATTTTTGGTTATGGTAATTGAGATCATTTTGGGATGAGACGATTGATGATGATGATGATGAAAAGAAGGCAGGTGAAGAAAAAGGAAATGATCATTCACGAGGAGGCCACCAATGGAAAAGGGGTAGCCATCCAATCCATCCTATCCACATCTTACCTGTCCCCACCGCCATCACTTTCACTGATCATTACTATTAATCATGGCGGCCTTACCAAGCTTTCTTCCTCCCTTTCCCGCTATAAATATGAACACCATAAACCCCACCTGAACATAAACCATTCACAACATTAAAAATCCCACCTTATTGTTGTTTTTAGGCTCTGTTTTCTAAAGTGGGATTTTGCTTTGGGGTTGCTTTTGTTAAGGGAGTGCGATTCTCTCATTTGGGGTTTTCCTAATTCTTATTCTTTTTTTTTCAAGGTTTGTGTCTGAATTTTTGAAAGAAAACTAGAAGAAAGGAAGGGAAAAATTATCAAAAGGGGAAGAAAATGACGATTGGGGCGGGTATAAGTGTGGCGGACGGGAAGCTGAATGTGTTGGGAAACTGCATTCTGACTGATGTTTGTGACAATGTAGTTGTGACTCCAGCAACTGGGGAAGCCATGGCTACTGGCGCTTTCATTGGTGTTCAATCAGATATCAAGGGTAGCCGCACGGTGTTTCCTATTGGAAAACTCGAGTAAGTTTCCCCCTTTTTTTTTTGGTTTCTATTTTCTTTTAGGTAGAAGTCTGTGAACTTATGATATGACTCTCAAATTCAATGTTTCCTGTACTTGTTTTATGGAGGGTATTAGGCCGGAATATGTTGGAATCTAGAATTTAGATGTATGTGTGTTTTCTGTACTTGTGAAAGAATGAAACAAAGATGCATATTTATGTTTGTATTCTTTGAAGGTCTTAGGCAGAAAATGGTGGAATGTGGTAGAACTGTTTATGCATGCCCAGAAATTCAAAATAGAGACCCTGATTTTATGTTTTGTTACTCTTCTTTTGAGTCTGAACAAATGTTGCAAAATTGCTTTCTTATGTTAATGGGTCCTAGTCAAGTAATGGAGGAATGTGGAAATGAGATATATGTTGATGTTTGCTTCCTGATGGTTTGCAGGGGACGACGTTTTATGTGTGTTTTCCGGTTCAAAATGTGGTGGATGACTCAGAGAATGGGTACCTGTGGACAAGAAGTACCCTACGAGACCCAATTCTTGATTATTGAGGCTCAGGAGGGTTCCAATTTTGGTGAAGGCAACAAAGGGGGTGATGGTCAGTCTGCCATGTATGTTGTTTTATTGCCTATCTTAGAAGGCGATTTCAGGGCTGTTCTTCAGGGGAACTCTAACAATCAGTTGGAGATTTGCTTAGAGAGTGGTATGATATAACCTAGTTCTTTATGTTTCGGTAGTACAAACACAATTTTTAGGACCAAATCTTTTGTAGCATCATATTTGGTCAGTCCGGTGATTTATTTGAGCCAAATTTGCAGGTGATCCTGATGTGCAGGAATTTGATGGTAGCCATTTGATGTTGTTAGCTGCTGGTTCAGACCCATTTGATGTCATCACAAACGCAGTCAAGTATGCTCTATATTTTTGAAATTTGAAATTTAACACTCAAAACATATCACAGCTCATCATGTATTTGTATGAATCATTTTATTTAGAATGAAAGATCCTTGTAATGGATATCAGAATATCAATAATATTAAGGCTACGTCAGCAGTTTAGTCTTACTGTTCTAACCATGGTTATGTGTCAATTATTTGCATAGGACTGTGGAGGGACACCTTCAGACATTCTGTCACCGCGATAGAAAGAAGGTTTGTGTTATGTGTTTGTTATTCCGATTTACCTCCTCTGCCACAAAAAATTGTCAAATAGTTTGAGAAACTTGTTCAATTTTTTAGTACAGAGGAGTGTAAGCGTTTCATCAATTTTGTTAAAGTAAGCACGTTATCTTCAATATCTTTGCTTTGAATATTGATCAGATGCCAGACATTTTAAATTGGTTTGGTTGGTGCACATGGGATGCCTTCTACACTGAAGTAACCTCAGAAGGAGTCAAGCAAGGATTGCAGAGGTATCTCGATAGATTTTGTTTAAAAGGCTAAAATTTTGATTTTGACGTATAACTGATACTTGTTTTCTGTAGTTTGGAGGAAGGAGGTATTCCTCCGAAGTTCATAATTATTGATGACGGATGGCAATCTGTTGGGATGGATCTCACTAGTGTTAAATTCAATGCAGATAACTCAGCCAAGTGAGTGCTTACATAAAATTGCTTCCTATTAAATGTGTTTCTGAGAAGTTCACTAATTATACCCAGTGTGTTGTTTTCAGTTTTGCAAATAGGCTAACTAATATCAAAGAGAACTATAAGTTCCAGAAGGATGGCAAGGAAGGTTTTAGAGTGGAGGATTCTGCCCTGGGACTTCGTCACATTGTCACTGAAATTAAGGATAAACACCGTTTGAAGTACGACATAAATCATATTCTAATTTCTGTCGTTCTTGATTTTGCCCCAACTCCCCTGCATTTTTGTTGGAAAATGATGTTAACCTGAGTCCATTTCTCAATTAAATCTTTTCCAGGTATGCTTATGTTTGGCATGCTATTACGGGTTACTGGGGAGGAGTAAGACCTGGTGTCTCCGAAATGGATCATTATGAATCGAAGATGACATATCCAGTGTCTTCTCCAGGGGTTCAGTCAAATGAACCTTGTGATGCATTAAACAGTATTACCAAGAATGGACTGGGTCTTGTGAACCCTGAGAAAGTGTTTTACTTTTACAATGAACTGCATTCTTACCTCGCTTCTGCTGGCATTGATGGAGTTAAAGTTGATGTTCAGAACATTCTAGAAACTCTAGGAGCTGGCCATGGTGGAAGAATTCGACTTGCCAGGAAATACCATCAAGCGTTGGAGGCGTCCATCTCTCGGAATTTCCCTGATAATGGAATTATTTCTTGTATGAGCCACAACACTGATGGATTGTACAGGTATGTAAATTTTATAATGTCTCGTTAATTGCAGATAATCTTATGAAGTGCTGTAAAGTGACTTGTTAAACTGGATGCTTATAGTGCCAAGAGATCTGCTGTTATAAGAGCATCCGATGATTTTTGGCCAAGAGATCCGGCATCCCACACGATTCACATTGCTTCAGTTGCTTATAATACCATTTTCCTTGGCGAGTTCATGCAACCAGACTGGGATATGTTCCATGTAAGCTACCTTTTAAATTCTGCTGTGGTCTTTGCACATGACGTAGAAAATACCCATGCTAAGTATTTGAGTGTGTTCCTGTCTTGTAGAGCTTGCACCCAATGGCGGAATATCATGCAGCCGCACGCGCTGTTGGTGGCTGTCCTATTTATGTCAGGTGCTGTATATCTATATTTAGTAGATGTTGATATTGGTTTGAATTTTGCGACCTGATATCTACGACAATTTTATGATGTGTGCAGTGACAAGCCTGGGCAGCATGACTTCAACCTACTGAAGAAGCTCGTGCTTCCAGATGGTTCAATCCTGAGGGCCAAACTTCCAGGACGGCCAACAAGGGATTGCTTGTTCTCTGACCCTGCTAGAGATGGTAAAAGGTATATTGTTGCTGCAATATCGCTTTTATTCCTGAAATGAAATCCCTTTTGCAATGGTAGTCGTCAGTACTGTATATCATCTGCTTGTACATATGAATCTCATTTTATCATCTTGCAGTTTATTAAAGATATGGAATCTGAATGATTTCAATGGTGTCGTCGGGGTCTTCAACTGCCAAGGAGCTGGATGGTGTCGAGTTGGAAAGAAGAATCTCATCCACAACGAACAGCCTGGGACAATAACTGGCACCATTCGGGCTACTGATGTCAACTATTTGCCAAGAGTTGCTCATGATCAATGGACAGGCAACGCTGCAGTTTATTCTCATGTCCGAGGTAAATATGTCTCTTATGTTGCAATCATTACGTGGTTTCCATTTTAACTAATATATCAGCCCTTGATGTGTATTGCAGGTGATTTGGTACATCTTCCCAGTAATGCTTCTCTTCCGGTAACACTAAAAGCACGGGAATTTGAAGTGTATACAATTGCGCCAGTCATAGAACTGGCAAACGGTTCTGCATTTGCCGCCATAGGTCTTATCAAGATGTTCAATTCAGGAGGAGCTGTTAAAGAACTGCATTATGAACTGGAAAACTTCGGAACCGTTTCCATGAAAGTTCGCGGTTGTGGGACGTTCGGAGCCTATGCATCAGTTAGGCCAAAAAGAGTGGCAGTGGATGACGAAGAAGTTGCATTGAAGTATGAAGAAGGCACTGGGTTCTTAGCCCTGGAGTTGAGAGTCCCAGATGAAGAGTTGTACCTGTGGAATATTAGTATTGAATTATGAAAGGATTAGTTAGACTTAATTACCATTTCCCAACAAATAATTGTTGTAGTTAGACACTTGTGCAAACTCCAAAACTACTTACACTCCCCGAGCGCTCATTGAAAACAAAAAAAAATAAATCATCATGTGTAGTAAGACAAATATCCTTTTAGTAACTCTGCTTAATTGTGTGATTTTTTTCTTTCTCAGCAATGCCAAATTGTGGTGTCGTTTATTACCTACTTCCAGTTCCAGATCCTTATGTATCAGTTTATTTTGCGTGAGGTATCAACTCACATGGCCGGCCTCAGATTCAGAGCTGTCAATTGCCATTCTAACCTTAAAATATTTCCACCATTGTGACTTGATTCCGGGGATTGCAGGATATAATTAAATACTCCTCACTCCACTCTATATAATAATACGACCCGCGTGCTTCATTTTCATCGATCATATCTCAAATCTCTGGATCACTTGCTTCCTCTCCTGTTTCAAACTCTTTCTGATTTCACATAAAAACCCTGTTTTTGGGTTTGAAAATGGCAACAGAGCAATCAGTTGAAGTCTTTGGATGGGCTGCTAGAGACTCATCAGGCCATCTCTCCCCATTCAGTTTCTCCAGGAGGGCCACTGGTGAGAATGATGTTCAGTTCAAAGTGTTGTACTGTGGGATTTGTCGCTCGGATCTTCACGCCATCCAGAACGACTGGGGATTCACTCAATACCCTCTTGTTCCAGGCCATGAAATTGTTGGAGAAGTAACCCAAGTTGGGAGCAATGTGAAGAAAGTGAAGGTTGGAGACAAAGTTGGGGTGGGTTGCCTCGTGGGTTCTTGTCGCAGCTGCCAGATGTGCGCCCAAGACCTCGAAAACTACTGCTCCAGCTGTACCCTAACCTGTGGCAGCCTCGAATCAGACGGGAACCTAACTCAGGGTGGTTACTCTGATGTCATGGTCGCAAACGAGCACTTTGTGCTTCGCTGGCCTGACAATTTGCCGCTTCATGCCGGCGCTCCACTTTTGTGTGCCGGGATCACTACTTACAGTCCTTTAAAACATTTTGGATTGGACAAACCCGGAATTCATGTTGGTGTGGTTGGCCTCGGTGGGCTTGGCCATGTAGCCGTGAAGTTCGCCAAGGCGTTTGGGGCTAACGTTACAGTTATTAGTACATCTGAGAGCAAAAAGGAGGAAGCCATTCAGAATCTTGGTGCAGATGCTTTCTTGGCCAGCAATGATCCTGAGCAGATGCAGGTAACATTTTTTTTTTTTTATAATGTATAATTCAATGATTATTGCTTGACTTGAACTTGATTCGAACGATTTAAATTGTGATTTCGGGTTGTTTTGATCCGGGGGATCAGGCTGCAGCAGGTACAATGGATGGAATTATTGACACTGTTTCTGCAGTACACCCAATCATGCCATTGATCAATTTGGTGAAGACACAAGGGAAGGTTATACTGGTAGGAGCACCTGATAAACCACTTGAGTTGAACTCCTTTGGAATTATAGTGGGAAGGAAGACTGTATCTGGGAGCTGTATTGGAGGCATCAAGGAAACTCAAGAGATGTTAGAATTTGCAGCTGAGAACAATATAGTTGCAGATGTTGAGCTCATCAAGATGGACTATGTCAACACTGCAATGGAACGGCTCTCCAAAGGAGATGTCAGATATCGTTTCGTAATCGACGTCGGAAATTCACCGTTGAAATCCACTTGAGATCCAACACAGGGCACATTTGGCCCCCTTTTTGCAAATCTGTTTGATTTTTCTTTCTAATAAAGGTCACATTGTTTGTTTGTTTTGTTTTTTTTTTTAATGTCTGTGGGATGAAATAATGATGGCATTGTCAAAACTCGTACTATTACGGAGAAAATTTGTGAGATTTCTTTTATAACCAAAGGGAACACCATTGAATTGATTGCTTTTGAATCAAACATACAAAGATTGAGATTTGTAGGGAACCGTAAAATTTAAATCACTCATGACCGGGTTAGGTGAGAATATCTGCATAGTCGTTGATACCCATAACCGTGACATTGTTAGTCTTGTTGAACTCCTCGCTGAAAGCCTTAAACCTTTCATTTTTCTCCGCTTGGCTTCCATAATGTCTACCATAATCATGCATGAGTTTTACGAACTGTTGAAGTCGGTGGACGACCATGACGAAGGAGGCAATGATGGAACTGGCCGAGCAGCAACGAGTGATGACGGGAGCAAACAAAGAACCAAAACAAATATTGCCATTAACATATTTACTTTTTAATTCAAATAATTTATTTTATTTTTTTGGCCGAATAAATGATTTTTTTCTCACCCCCTATCTTCTATATATATATGGGATTAAGTCTCCCTACTTTTTCGTCCTCCGCACGCACATTACTGGTTCGTTTAATTTGCTCCTTATGTCATCCAGTTTTTAGCCGCAAGGACTAATCGCACAATCCCATCCCCCAAAAAAAAAAAAACAGAAAAAGTTGATTTCTCCTATCAAATTTACTAAAATTCAAGGGCAATCTTATCACTTTGGTTATGATATTCTTCTGATTGAAACTGTAATTCCAAACTTCAAGCAACAACTCTTTTTACATCAAACAAACATTGAATAAATCAAACGTAGTAGAATATGGACATTATGCATTTCATTACCTAAAGGAAAAGTTGAGAATGGTAACAATATCTACTCAATACAACAGTGTAACTAAAGATTGTGCTAAAATACTCGGTATTTTTTCACTTTTAGTTATAGGTTGGGATCCCGCTATATGCATAAAATAACCTTAATTCTTATAGAAAGGAGATTAGTCATTGTTATTGATGATAAACACTTTCTAAATTTGCAAAAAAAAAATAAAAATTCAATGAAATAGTGAGCAATAAAAACTCAAAAATCAAAGAAAAATCGAAGTACTATAGAGTATAGTCTAACACATCACCAAGTTTGAATTGTTAACTTGTTGACTATTATAATGCTATCCTATATTATTGAAGGAGAGTGGATCTCATAAAAAAAATTGAGGCTAATAAGACCATGAATAGTTTTTAGTAATACTTTTCATCACCACATTTCATTTCCTAAAACCGTAAATGTAATATTTGTAAAATGATTAATTAAAATGCCATCTTCTATTAATTTTAAGGTGGGAGTGGGGTAATTAATAGATTATGATGAGGATGGTTATTATTAGTTTTGATTCTCACTGAGTCATTTAATTTTTTAAGAAAAAAATAAGGAAGTCTTTGGTTGGTGGGTTTAGGAATGAGGGAATAAAATCTTTTTATTATTGGTATTTGGTTGGTGGATTTTGAATTGGCAGGGATGGGTTTTCATCCTAATGTTTGTGTAACATTCCTTTTTTCCTTCAATTCTTCATTTTTTTTATAATACTATATTGTACTTCCTTTGTTCCAAAAAAAATTATTCACATTGAAATTTTAAAATTGTACTAAAAATTATACAAATATGAAAACTCAATGTGCACTATTTTTTTGAGACAAAGGAAGTAAATAAATTAATATTATATTATAAAAGTAACTTTTTATTAATGATAAAATTAAAGTTTTATATGAAATTTTGAGTCACATTTTAAATTACAAACATCATTGGATGAAAATTTGAATTGATTGATTTATAACTCGAATTTAAATTGAACTCCACTATTTATTTCTTGTATTAAGTTTGATATTGAAATAAGAGCTATTTGAAACTAATCAAACTAATTAAATCTATTTTTTTTAAAAAGATCATAATAAAAAAATATTCAAATTAATCTAATAAAAACATGTATTACATTTTTTGAATGGGATAAGATGCTCAGGCATGCCAAACTACAAGTTAAATTAAAAGTTGGAGCCTCAATTGTAATTCTCCAAACTCTAGATAAGATAGGATGATAGTGCAATAGTAACGAACTACATATGCATAAGTTAAGGGATCACGTCAATAGCACTGCATTGATAATTTTTGCTTAAGAGAACACAAAGATTAAATAAAATAATCACTCTTGTATTATCAGTCGAATTTGAAGATGATACGATACTCAAGGCAAGATTCGAATCTATGACATTGATTTAGAATAAACTAGTTGATGTCTGCAATTTTTAAATTCATACAAGTGACATTCAAATAATATTATATTATGCTTATATCTGTCGAACTAAACAATACAACTTTTGTTTATTAGTTTCTTTCTATTCTAAAAAAATTATTCATATTGAATTTTGAAATTTGTACTGTTATTTTATATATTAAATGTAGTTTTTTTTTGAGACAAGGTAATACTTCTTTCATGTATAATGCGTTGGAAATTAGAGTCTCAATAGTTCCAATTCGAACTCAATAAATCCTTTCTTTTTAAAAGGTAAAGTCTCTCAATGTATAATATTTTTGTTCTACTACTTTTATTGTAAGTGGCTTGTTTCCTTCCTTAACATACTCCAAAGGGGGAGTAAACAACAAAACAAAACTCTGTTGGACTCAATTATACTCTCCCTATTTTCTTGAACTTGAAGCTCCTTCACAATTCTCAAACTCCCAAACTAACTCGACGCATTTTCATATCTTGTCATATCTTTCATTCTAAAACTTGAGTTTACTTCATAACTGTATCTTAGTTTACTTGCTCAACTGTTTTTTCACCATTTTCAGTCACAGTATTAACAATTTCTGGTCTATTTCTTTGCTTTAAAAATCTATGGCGTCGACTTATAAAAAGCAGCACAAAGAGCTTTCAATTTTCCCATGCCATTATATTGTTAATTGCATCATGGCTTCCGTGCAATTTCCTAGGACCACAGTTTTAGTTGCTTTATTAGCATTTTTCATTCCTATTTTTGAATTCTTTCCATCAACAATACCTGCTTGTCTATCAACATTGCCACCCTCCAGTCCCTTATTGCATAATTAAGAGATTCTTACGTATGAGAAAAAATGTTGGTCTTCGTCGATTAGTTAGGTATGCTTGATTCCCTGCTTTTGTTATGGGTAAAATGAAAAAAATTTGACCTGGTCAAAGTAAAGAAATATATTGAAGGTTAAAAAAAAGTTATAAATGTGATAAGGTGGACGTTGTTTTACAAAATATAAGGTAATGATATTTTTTTTTGTACCAAAATTCTGTAAATGATACCACTAACTTGATTGTACATATAACTTGGCGCGATACAAATTGAATATTATCTTCATCATCGCAAAAAAATTATTCTGATTATATGAAAATTTTAATTTTATCAATCTCTTCTCAAAAAGTGCAAAAGATTATTTATTCACTATTGTCAAAAGATAAAGATTGATAGTAGGGCAAATAATGAGTAATGTGGAACTTATTTTGTGTACTTTGAATCCATGAATAATTACGTTTTCTAAACTAATTTGTTTTTATCGGATGAGGAGGGGGAACTATGAAGTGAAGTACTTTTCTTTCTTTTTTTTATTAACTAGATGTTAAAACCACTTGATGTACATGTTTCATTCATACACGTTTATGAAAAAACATTTAAATTTTAAATATGCTATGCGCAAATGAAATTATTGATTTATTGTAATAAAGAATATATGAGTAAAAATAAATAAGATGTTATCATGAATAAAAATATTGCATATGAAATGATAGTATTATATAGATAATAAGAAAAGTTTAATAATGCAATAAATACTAATATTATACGACTAAAAGTAATGAGACCCCCGTCATAATAAATAAAAATATTGCATGTCATGTAAAATAGAAGTATTTTATAACCGCAAGGGAAAAAAAATACTATAGTAATCATCAACATACAAAATATTAAAGAGGACTTTAAAGATTATAGTATTGTGAATTTGTGATAATAATTCTAGTTCTGTCATTTTCTCATAATTAAGTGTAGTTAATTTCAATTATATTTCTTCCCGGATAATTCAAGTTTAATTTGAAGGACCTAAAAACAATTGTATTAAGTTCTTTTTGTGAGAATAAAGGAAAAAATTACACCTAGGAACCTTAAAAATCATTTTCATATTCTTTCTGCTTTCTCTATTATATATCGTTATAGATAGATAGATTATAGGTTATAAACGTTTAATATCCTATCTATTTGACATACAATAAAAGATTCGATTAAATGCAGTGGCTTATTACAAGTAATTTAAAAATATCCTAAGACTAAGAGTATTCATAATTGTTTAGACTATTGTGAGTATAATAAAATTATTGCACCACTATTATAATATCCTAAGACTAAGAGTATCCATAATTGTTTAGACTAATGTGAGTATACTAAAATTATTGTACCGCTATTATACATTATTATATTTTCATTCTGTTTTTTTTTTCCAATGTGAACATTGTATTCTTGCGAAGCAAACAAGTGCATCCTACCCATCCCACCTTACAAATCTTCAAATCGATGGTTTTTTACTTTTATTGATGATCCAAAAAAAAAAAAAAAAGAAAACGAAAAAAACTGGTTTATACTTTACAAGCATAATAAAATGAAATCACTGCATGCATTTAGGAATACGTAATGTACGTTCCAAACTTGTTTGTCCAATTGAATGAATTTTCTGTTAGTTCCAAATTAATTAGTTGTGATTGGGACCATTGATCATGCAAATGTGCATCAATAAAATTTTTGAAATACCCCTTACATACTGCTAAAATAGAAAATATACCACTGAAATTTTAAAATATTTTCAGTCTTGTCCCAGTAAGATTTGTATATAGTTTGTTTGCCCCACCAACTATTGGGGGCTTGGCTCCGCCCCTCCCTCTGGTGACAAGCCTGTCTTCGATTTCATCACCATTTCCACAGAATGATTCTTAGAGATGGAACTCCAATTCGGGAATTCAAGCTGTCCCTTTGGAGGATAAAGTAAAAGGTTTCACCCGACACTACATTCATCCATATCTGCTGCATTCTCCTCCCGTCCAATTCAAGAATTCGAACTTTCCGTAGAACATATATTTGAAGTGTCCTTCCTTAATTTCTACTGGAATGTTCATGTGTAAGACTTTAATCACTCTGAAGCTAAACTTGAGGAGGGGATCATTTCCGTATCTAACCCTTCCTGATTCCTTATCGTCGCCTAATCTTAAGATGCTACAACTGGACATGATGCTTGTAGTAGTGGATGAATCTTTCATTCAGATACTCATTCAAGGTTGCCCTCAGCTTGAGGAGCTATACATATTTTTCGCGGGCGCGAGTAAAGGAAATATTGATGTTCTCTGTATTATTTTTCTCTTTCAAAATGTCAAAGAAAAGAAAAGGCAATTGGGATAATTCCATGTCATTTTTCTTCTTCAAGGCTCTGCGTGTGTGTTGCCGACATTCAAGAACTTGATACGTTTTGAGCTCGAATTCGAGTTGAATACATGAAACCTGGCGGTTTGCATTCTTGCTTGGAAATCACTGCCACATTCCTACTCAAAAATGCCCCTAATCTTGAAGTGCTTAGTTTTTAATCAGGTGAGCATTTTTCACATTACATTCTCAAGGTAAATAAATTTGATATCCGCTCCGTCCCAAAAGAATAGTCCCCTTTCATTGGGAGATCTTCTCTTAGGTGGCCAGGTGGTTTGGGACAAAGATGATGATGATGAAGAATGTGGATATGAGTTTCCAGTGGAAGCTATATTTCCCATATGCTTTATTAAAGATCTCAAGGAAATAAAATCGAAAGGTTTCAACAATCAAGACTATGAGTTGAAAATAGTTGAGCATCTTTTGAAGAATGGCAAATCATTGAGGAAAGTTGTCAGTTGTGGCCTTCTTTTGCAGCCTTCGGTTTGCCTGAGAATTTTTTCCTTCAAGAGATGCTCTCCACACTGTCAAATCGTGTTTCATCAAAATGTATGGAACACCAGTGTCTAATTACTAAAACAAGGATGATGATCAGGGAATTAACTTTATTCTTGTCGGTTAATTAATCATCTAAATTTTTTTGTTTCTTTCTCTCTATAAAAGTGAGTGGCTTTTTGTAACAGCGGTCCATTTAATGTAAGTTTACGCTTAAATTATCAACATCATTATTGTTCCTCCAGCAGTAAAAGGGCTACAATGTTTGGTTTTGTGCATGATGTTATGGAAAATTATGCTCTTGGAATCAAAATGTTCTAGTACCAAAACGACAAAAAAAAAAAAAAAAAGAAACCATACAAAAAATGGTGACACTTTTTTTATTCTTCAATTTTTTTTCCCATTTGTTTGGCCCAAGTTTTGCTATCAGTCGGGTTACAATCGAGGAATCAATTTACTACGTCCAAATCGAAGACTAACAATGTTTTTTAGTCAATGAGAAGTCTCAGTTAGAGACGATAATGCTGTTGTCGTATCAGTTTCAATAAAGGTGATAAAAAGTTAAAAAAAAAAGATGCTGTTCTAATACGATGAAGACATTGATTAATCCTGAATCACAAGACTAATTTCTTAGACAAACATCTAAAAATTGATGATAATTGTATGATCAATAATGCCCTCTCTATCTTGATTAATGTGGAAAAAAAAAAAAAACTGAAAAGTAAGGGCACAATGGAGTACGTTAGAAGCCATTAATTTGGTGGCAACAAATTCAAAACGAACAAACATGCCATTTGAGCTTTGATACCCAAATAACGACATGTATGAGGTCATGCTTAACATGTTTGTGACCGGTACCAAACTATCGATCAATTCGCCAAATAGAGTAGTTTGAATTATGAGACGAAATATAGTCGTTCAAATGTCTTTTCGAGAAAATAAGATCATTTTTGCTTACTATAAAACTATAGCTATAGTAGTTAGTATCGTAGGAGACGTGTATAGAATGTAAACAATTTTGATACGGTATATTGACAACTAAGTTAAGGTTTTGTTTATTTCATTTTTTTATGGTAGTTTTAAATTGATATATTAATAACTATATTCCATCATATTTTTTTACATTTCTAATACAAAAAACACCTAAAACACACATTAAACAAACCAAACAAACATACCCTAAATTTCAATAAATTTTGTGAGAATTATTTTTTGGGACTGACCTATTCTTGGATTTTCCAAACCAATTCAGACTAAATGAAAGTAGCATTTAAATTTGGGTTAGTCAATTACCTCTTATAAAGGGTGCTACAAAAGATTTTGAACTATCCTACTACTACTACCTAGGAGTTATAAATTCTGTGGATTGGACAGCCTAATTTAGTACCATTTCTTTTTAACACAAGTTGTAATATTTTAATTTGAAAAAAGTACTAACTTTGCCATCTTCTTCCTAAGTTAACTACAATTAACTTTCCGATTTCATAATTTCAAAGGTCAAAACTTTGAAACATTAGCAGTTCAGATTTAGATTAGATGAAAACTAGATCCATGGATCATGGTATCCTGGAATCCAAAAGAAAATACGTGCCGGAATCATCATCTTTGTACCAATGTATGTAGCTAGCAAAGAAAGAGTGTAACATTTCCACTTTGGCACAAATTTACACCAAATGAAATGGCCAAATCTCGAAAGAAAGTCTGGTAAACGGTCATTTCATATCATCAGGATTCAAGCCTGTGGCTGTGGACCAGTTGATCTGTTTTGCCAGTCAAGTTGTTTCAGTAAAGAACAAAAAAATTTAAAGCAGATAAAAGGGACGGTGACCCAGTGGAAAAATCAGTCCTTCACGTAGCAAACAAGACCAAAAAGAGTAATCAGAATCAGGGAATGGGTTACTTGGATGATATTTCTTCTAGATTGAAATTGGATGGTGGTGATCTTTCTGCAGTGGGCACGCCCGCCAATAATGATTCCGGGTCTATATATACTGCATCAGATGAATATGGGTATGAAGAAGCAGAAGATACAGCATTCCTCATGTCTCACTCTGATACTAATTTACACAAGTTTAATACTACTACTAGTCATATTAGCTCCTTTGAACTAGAGCATAAAGACCAGGAAGCTGTCGTCCAAAGAACAGGTTAGTTTTTAATTAGCTTGATTTTTCTATTGAGTTCTTCGTTTTGGATTCGATTTTCTTGTGTTCTGTTAAGAGCCTCTTAATTTATAGAAATGTGTATGATGAGCCTGTTTAATATTAGGCCTTAATGGTCTAATCAAGCTAAAACTTGTATGCCCTTTTAATTTTTATTACGGCATTTTGTCCTTGAAAGCTGGGTTGTAGTTACTTTTGAATTCCATCTTGTTTGTTGGATTTTTCTGCCGCTGCTCCAACTAATGCAGAATGAGTTGCGGTAGTGCAAACTATTATGTGACAGAGGATTTAGCTTTAGAATTACATTATTGCTATGATGAAAGGGCGCCAGATAAGTTGCACGATTGCATTAGGCATTAATGTTTTATGGTATGGATTTCTTCAATAAATGATGGGAACTTTTTTTTTTGGTATTTGTATAATTCAGGGACGGTATGGACTGCAACAGCGCACATAATAACTGGGGTGATAGGGGCAGGGGTGTTGTCACTGGCATGGAGCACTGCCCAACTTGGGTGGATTGCTGGTCCACTGTCCATGATTGTCTTTGCCGTGATCACCCTCATTTCTACTCTCCTGCTAATTGAATGCTACATGAGCCACGATTCTGAAGCCGGCCTGATCAGGCACCGTTCCCTTACTGGAGTTGTCAAGTACTACTTGGGTAAGAGTCAAGAACTTTAAGCCTTGCACTTTGGTTTTTTTGGCTGTCTGCTAATTCCATTTGCTCAGACTGGACTGATAAAGAGAGGGAAGGAAAAATGACTCAATAGGAACTATGTTGTAAATGATGGTTGCATTTGCCTCCACTTATAAGAGTACTTATTTTGATTGTGTACACAACTGTACTTTGTTAGAAAATATTGCTACTAAATGTTGTTGTGGTGTCCTCTGCGATTCATTAGTTCAATGCTTAGTCATCAGAGAATTTAGTCTGCATACTAATGCCAGAGAATCTTTATAAATGTATATTATTAGGTTATACTACACCAAGTACTAGTTAAAATTTGACACCTTAACCTATACATTTCAGGCGAAAAGAACCAGAAGATATGTGCAATTTTTGTGGTGGAGAGCTTATATGGTTGTGCTATTGCATACACCATTACAGTAACTGAAAGTATTAGGTACCGTCTATTGCTGTTTCCATCAATTTAGTGAAAATTGGTTCTCTTTAGCTCTTCATTTGGCTGGCAGATTGAGAATACTAGCTAATTGTTGAACTTATGCAATCAACTTTTCTTACTGATGTTGCAGTGCCATTCAGAAAGCAAATTGCTACCACAAACATGGGCATGAAGCACATTGCGGTGGGAATAATTCTAAATTCATGCTCATGTTTGGTGCACTTCAGATTCTGGTTTCTCAGATACCTGATTTTCATAACATGGCATGGCTTTCTGTCATTGCTGCTGCTATGTCGTTCACCTACGCTTCCATCGGCTTAGGACTCGGCCTAGCCAAAGTTGCAGGTAATTCTGCTCTGAAATAATGCAAAAAATCTTGCAAGTTCAATCAAACTATTATATGATAATTTACATACTCGATGGCAGACTTTACAGAAGTAAGATTTGTTCTGTGGCAGAAAATGGGAAGATCATGGGTAGCATTTCAGGAGTTTCAACATCCAATAGTGCCGACAAGATGTGGCTAGTTTTCCAAGGGCTTTCAGATATAGCTTTTGCCTATCCTTATTCAGTCATCATTCTTGAGATACAGGTGAACTGTTTTTCCAGGAAACATTTGCTTTCTCTCAAAGTATCTTAACATTTCTCTAACTTATCAACATTTTTGGGAAAATTCAGGATACCTTGAAATCACCTCCACCAGAGAACAAGACCATGATAAAAGCATCAAGGTTCTCAATATTTACAACCACGGTTTTCTACCTGTGTTGTGGATGCTTTGGATATGCAGCATTTGGAGACAAGACCCCTGGAAACCTCCTGACAGGATTCGGCTTCTACGAACCATATTGGCTGGTTGATTTTGCCAATGCTTGCATCATTTTGCACCTTGTTGGAGGATATCAGGTAACTCATAACATTGTGCAGATGAAATATGACAAAAAAAAGCGATACAGAAGATCCGAACTAGCAGTTTGCTTCGAAATCTCACCTTCTGTTTTCTTTTTTCCAATGACAGATATTCAGCCAAGTGATATTTGCCATGGTGGAGAAATGGTTTGCCAGAAAGTACCCAAACCATCCCCTCTCCAAGAATTTAGACTTCAAAAAGTTGCCATTTTTGGGAAATGTGGAGGTGAATATGTTCAGGCTGGTGTTTAGGACAGTTTATGTAGTGACAGTAACAGGAATTTCCATATTATTTCCATACTTTAATCAGGTGTTAGGTGTGCTGGGAGCCCTAAACTTTTGGTCATTGGGGATTTACTTCCCAGTGGAAGTGTTTATAAAGCACAGAAAGATTGTGAGTTGGACTAAGCAATGGGTTCTTCTTGAGCTCTTTAGTGGTGTTTGTTTAGTCATTTCTATAGTGGGCTTGACTGGATCTGTTCAGGGCCTTGTGAAGGCCAGGTTGGGCTGATAATCTCTACCGGCCATGAAGAGATGGTCGTTTCAATAAATTCTAGATGTGCATTAAAGATTTTTCATAATTCTCTCGAAATTTTTTAATTAAATTCTAATGACTTTCACAGGTTACTATAATCAAGGGATCTTATAAAAATTATAACATTATACAATTTATGTGGGTTTTGCAATTATGAAGATTCCGGATTCTGGAAAATTGTAATGTTTAAACTGTGTAAGTGGTTATACTGTTGACACTTGTAATAAAATCATTAGGTATAATTGTACCGTGTTATGTGTTTGTGTGCTAAAGCTTTCGTAGCTAAAGAAATATGTAGAGAAGGAATAAAATTAACATTTGTTTAATGTGAGAGCTAATGCGTAACGTTTTATTCATAATTAGTGGGTCATAGCCAGTGGGATTTTGATGTTGCTTTTGTTTGCTTGCTAACCAGCATTACTTGAAATTGGGAATTAGTCCGCTTAAATTTGTCAATGGTAATGGAATCTCTTTGTTTTTTCTTCTTTCTTTCGTTAGTGGTTGCGTCGAAGATTTCTACAACCAGGTTCATTGCACCTAAATATGTAACAGGAGAATGGAATATAAGAATAACACCCCTACACTTAATTAATTTATACAGAGTATAATAATGTCTAACTCTATGTTGCTTATGAGCGAGCAATAGAGTTGAAAACCATGCATGGCTATTTAAAGTTTAAACTGAATGAATCAAAGTCGGGGTAGAATAGTTCACATCACACTTTTATTCTGAATTTTTTTTTTTAATTTTTGAGATTTTTCGCCCTTACTTTTGTTGATTCCTGCTCTCCCACTGACAAAAATCAATGATGAAATGTGATTATGAATCATTATTTGGTTGGAGAAGACCGGAGAGGAAGGAAACTTCTAAATTGTGTCTGATATGATATGGTGTTGGAGGGTCCAATGGTACAAAGATTTCAGCACAACAGAGAAGAAAATGACTCTTCTTCCTTTTTTTTTAATACTATTAAAAAATATATATAAAATACTCCAATTAGAGATGTTCTTACACTTCCGTTACGTTAGTACTCCAATTAAAGAACAACATTGACAATTACATAAAAAACCATTTCAAAAAAAAAAAAGAAAACAGAGGAAAAAGCTAGCCATGTTGACAACAACAAATCACAAAGCAGAAGCAGCAACAACTGAAGAAGAAGACAATCAACTAACACAAGTACTTCTCACCTCAGACTGCGTCGATCCAACCACCACCGCTGACCCTCACCATCACAATTATCCCTCAAAAAGAGCTGGTAAGTTTTATTACTCTGTTGCTGATTTCATCATGATTAATCAATTCTCATGTGGTTTCTTCTTTTTTGGTTCATTCAATCTAATTAATTGTTGGGTTTTGGAATTGGAAAAAAAAATATGGAAAAAGGGACGATATGGACGGCGACGGCACACATAATTACCGGAGTGATCGGTGCCGGAGTATTGTCACTTGCATGGAGCATCGGCCAACTGGGTTGGGTTGCCGGTCCGTTAGCCATTTTAGTCTTCGCCGGGATCACGGTGGTTTCCTCCCTCCTCCTCTGCGATTGCTACATGTCGCCGGATTCCAACTTTGGTCCTTTCCGACATCCTTCCTTAACCGAAGCCGTCAATTTCTACTTAGGTAAAAACAACCTCTTTTCTTCTTTGTTTCAGATAGTACTATATCTCGTCCAGATTAATTAATTTATTAAACTTCGTGATATATCAAATAGTCGTAAAAAGTTCAAATACGTGGAGTCTCTAAAAGACTTTACTAGTATTATTTTAATGATCACTGTGTTTCGTATTTTATTTTTGTTGGGGCAAATGACACCACCATTTATATTACTTTTTTCATGTAGATAATGTTAACTCATGTCATTGTATCAAATCAACACTGATACGGTTTGGCCCCTTGTGGGGATGCCTGTTTTACTGTTTGCTCTCGTGAATCAAGATATCTTTATTATTTGCAATTATGAACAATTTGTTTCCTATTCTTTCGTCAGCTTAACAAATTTAATCCTTAAGCTTAATATTATTTTTTCTAAAACCAAATGAATATTTTGCAGGGAAGAGGATGGAAAGCATATGTAAATTTTTGGTGGTGGAAGGCTTATATGGAACCGGGGTTGCGTACACCATCACAACAAGTAAAAGTATTAGGTAAACACTTCCTAACAAAGCTTCAGACTTGCATCTTTGTAATTATGAGTGTTTTGATCAAACTCTCTAAAAGCAATTAACCAGTGGTGATTTCTTTTTATTTATTTATTTTTTCTTATTGTCATTGCATTTGTGGCAGTGCAATACAGAAATCAAACTGTTACCACAGAAATGGGCATAATGCCAATTGCAGCCATGATACTTCTAAATTCATGCTATTGTTTGGGGCTGTCCAAATTGTAATGTCTCAAATTCCAGATTTCCATAACATGGCTTGGCTCTCTATCATTGCTGCTGTTATGTCCTTCTCCTACGCTTTCATTGCCTTAGGACTTGGCCTCGCAAAAGTTATCGGTAACAATAACTGTATTTTTTCTCAACCATTTTAACTTGCCCAATGTATTGTGACATAGACTAATTGAATAACGATAGAGAGACTGAATTTCATATCGAAAAATGATCAAGGAATGATGCAAGTGCAACACAGATGCGACGATAAAATATGTATGAATTATTAACAAAGGAATATTTCTATATTTTCATCTTTGTTAACATCATTGGTCTGAGCCATTTTTACTGTGAAAGTATTAATCCCTCAAAATGGAAAATTTGTTCCACAGAAAATGGGAAGGTTTTGGGCAGTATGACTGGTATTCCAACAGCAAATACAACAGATAAGTTATGGTTAGTCTGCCAGGCACTTGGAGATATTGCATTTGCATATCCCTATTCTGTAATCCTTCTTGAAATTCAGGTAAGGGATAATCACAAACTTAGAACTTTTGCTCTGCATTCGATCTTCTCTTTTCCTATTGATATTTGTAATGAAGGATTTTGGGGGTCTTTTTCTTTTTTTCTTTTTTTTTTTTTTTTGCTTTCAGGATACATTGAAGTCACCTCCATCTGAAAGTAAAACCATGAAGAAATCTTCAAGTGCTTCAATCATCATAACGACATTCTTCTACCTTTGTTGTGGATGCTTCGGATATGCAGCCTTTGGTGACCAAACCCCAGGAAATCTCCTCACTGGATTTGGCTTCTATGAGCCATATTGGCTTCTTGATTTCGCTAATGCCTGCGTTATTTTGCACCTCGTTGGTAGCTATCAGGTACCTACTTGCGGAGCCCTTGTTAGAAAGTACACATTTTATTTCTGGTCCAAATATAGTATTTACCAAATGAGCTTATATTCTCATCAAATCAATTCAGGTGTACAGCCAACCAGTGTTTGCAATAGTGGAGCAATGGTTCAATTCAAACTACCCAAACAGCCAATTTACAAGGAATTTTGAAGCGAAGCTGCCATTGTTACCTAGTTTTGAGCTGAATATGTTCAGGTTATGGTTCAGGAGTGCATATGTGTTGTCCATAACTGGAATCTCTCTGTTATTTCCTTACTTCAATCAAGTACTAGGATTGTTGGGGGCCTTAAATTTCTGGTCTGTGGGAATATATTTCCCTGTGGAAATGTTCATTAAGCAAAAGAAGGTTGGTAGCTGGAGCAGAAACTGGATCCTTCTTAGGATTTTTAGCATCATTTGCTTGGTTATTTCTGTGGCCAGCTTCATTGGGTCAGTTCAAGGACTCATTAATGCCAGACTCAGATGAAAATGAACTTCTTCCTAGCTACTTCATCACCTGTATATAGTAAAACTTTTTTTTTTTTTTTTGGCCTTTTGGAAATAGAGTCATGAATTCATATCAATTACTATTTGATGGAGAAATGATAAACGAAATGAAACTTTTTAATGCATGATGTGGTTAAATACTCCCTCCGTCCGTCCGAAATTATTGGCCAGTTTAACTTTTTCATTTTTAGTTTAAATTATACTGAAAGTGAAATTTAAAACTGGACAATAATTTTGAGATAAAGGAGTACAAAATTATACACATAACCTTAAACGAGAAAATTTAGAGACGAGATATTAATATAAACGACTATGATCTCATTCGCGTTATTCGTTATACATTTTTACAAAACATTTTCATCACTGTAATATCAATAGTTTCAATACTCTTTTTGAAGAAGACAGAACTCAATACGCTTAGAAAAACTTTGATCAACGGTAACTACTGTCCATTAAACAATGAAGTGAACTTTTGATTAAGCTTCATATGATGTTGGAGGGTGGAGGAAATGGTCCACAAACAAACAACAGAGTCATAATCATACTAACAAAGAAAATGACTTTCGATTAAAAGACCACAATATTAATTCTTTATGAGAAATTGAGATGTTACATAGTATATATTTGCATTACGTTAGTAACAAGAGAGTAAAGTTAACTACTCCAATTAAAAAAAAAGAAAAACAGAGTGCTAAGAGAACAGAGGAGGGGAAGCTATGGTGACAAGCAGAGATCAGAAAGAAGGAGCAACTGAAGAAGAAGATAGTCAACTATCACAAGTACTCCTCGTTGATTCACACCATCATCATCCTCCCTCCAAAAGAACTGGTAAATATTAAGCATCAATATCATCATACCTCAACGATTTTTCTCTTTTTTTCCGGAAACTTTTTTAAGTGATTATTGGAAATATTGGAAAAATGAAAAAGGGACGATATGGACGGCGACGGCACACATAATAACCGGAGTGATCGGTGCCGGAGTGTTGTCGCTTGCATGGAGCACAGCCCAACTGGGTTGGGTCGCCGGCCCGTTAGCCATGTTAGTCTTCGCCGGAATCACCGTCGTTTCCTCCATCCTCCTCTGCGATTGCTACATGTCGCCGGATTCCGACTTTGGTCCTCTCCGGCATCCTTCCTACACGGAAGCTGTCAACTTCTACTTAGGTAATTACATTATTTGAGTAAAGCCACCTTCTTCTGAGAATTTATTGCCTGTTTTCTTCTTCTTCTTCTTCTTTTATGAGGTGGAAATCTGCTGCGTGTTTTATGATTTTTTTTTTTTTTGGGTATATTAATACGAATTAATTTGTAAACTCGTGAGGATTTGTTACACAATAAATAAGTCATGTTCGTATCATTTTTTTTTTAACTCATTCAGAAAGAGAAAGGAAAGAAACTATTGGTAAATGACTCAAGAAACTAATTAGGTGGGAAATGAATGTGATTTATTATTTAGCGAAATTGATTGACAACGATATTTTTTTTTTGTGCAATATAGTAAAATTTAATTTGTCCCTTTCTGTTTCATGCATTATCTTTTCGAGTTTAATTAATTTACCATTAAACTTTGTTTGCATATCAATGGGTAGTAAAAAGTTGGTAATAGAGTTTTCTTGGGGACCATCCCACCAAAATATATACTCAGTGGGAATGACTTTAAACAATTTGTTCTCTCTTCTTTTGCCACCCTAATTGTATAATGAATTTTAAATTCATTATAATAATATGGAAAAATATACATTAATTTCAGGCAAAAGGAAGGAAAGAATATGCAAATTTTTTGTGTTGCAAGGCTTAGTTGGAGCTGGGGTGGCCTACACCATCACAACAAGTAAAAGTATCAGGTAAATAGTTCAACAAACAAGACTCTTATTTTGGGACGTAACCAGTAATTATTACTAATATTTTCTAATCACACTTTGAAACTCCCGCCTTTTCTTTTGTTCCTTGATTCTTCTGGTCGTTGAATTTGTTCAGTGCTATACAAAAAGCAAACTGCTATCACAGAAAAGGGCACAATGCCAATTGCAGCCATGATAATTCAAAGCACTACATGCTACTCTTTGGGGCAGTCCAGATTGTTATGTCTCAAATCCCAGATTTCCATAACATGACTTGGCTTTCTATCATTGCGGCTGTTATGTCTTTCTCCTATGCCTTCATTGGTTTAGGACTTGGCCTCGCCAAAGTTATAGGTAAATCAATAGATGTTGGGTCATTGTCCAAGGCGCAGTTTTATTGTATAAATTTAGTTTCTGTCTATACAAATATTTCTTCTGTCACGAAATGACTGGTTAAGTTTGAATTTTCATTTTTGGTTTGGAGATGCTGTATAACTTCAAAGTGAAATTTTTGTTGTTGCACAGAGAATGGGAAGGTGTTGGGCAGCATGACTGGTATCCCAACAGCCAGTAAAACAGATAAGATATGGTTAATTTGCCAGGCACTTGGAGATATAGCATTTGCATATCCCTATTCTGTAATCCTTCTTGAAATTCAGGTTGGTTATACTTACAAGATTCCTTTTTTGGGTGTAGAGTTTTATAAAAATAAATTACTCTATTTGATTCAACTCATTAACTGTGATCTCAGGATACATTGAAGTCACCTCCATCAGAATCCGTAACCATGAAGAAATCTTCAATCGCTTCAATCATGATTACAACATTCTTCTACCTCTGCTGTGGATGTTTTGGATATGCAGCCTTTGGTGACCAAACTCCAGGAAATCTCCTCACTGGATTTGGCTTCTATGAGCCATATTGGCTCCTCGACTTTGCTAATGCTTGCATTATTTTGCACCTTGTCGGGGGATATCAGGTACTACGCACTTCCTCAACAAACTAGCAAATTAAATTGTTATTCCTGGTCTAATTACTATATGTTGTCCGTTGTAATAACCTGCAAACCACAATGGGATAGATCCAACGACGGGTTTTTATCCTCAAATTAATCTTTTTCGTTTTTGAAATTGATTGTGAAATGATTGATATCATCAACCACTAAAAGGACTAATCATTTTATCAATCGTTCCTACATTCAGGTGTACAGCCAACCAGCGTTTGCAATGGTGGAGCAATGGTTCAATTCAAACTACCCAAACAGCCAATTTGATAGGAATTTCGAAGTGAAGCTGCCAATGTTACCTAGATTCGAGGTGAATATGTTCAGGCTATGGTTCAGAAGTGCATATGTGTTGTCCATAACTGGAATCTCTATGCTATTCCCTTACTTCAATCAAGTACTAGGATTGTTGGGAGGCTCAAGTTTTTGGGTTATTGGGGCATATTTCCCCGTGGAAATGTTCATCAAGCACAAAAAGATTGGTGTTTGGACCAGGACATGGATTCTTCTTTGGATTTTTAGCATCATTTGCTTGGTTCTTTCTGTGGCCAGCTTCATTGGGTCAGTTCAAGGATTCATCAATGCCAGACTTAGATGAAAATGAACTACTTGTCTCTCTTTCATCACTTGTATTCATGTTAGATGGATTCGTTTGTTAATATCAAATCTCCAAAAAGAAAGTAAGTAGCTGGAAGATGACGCTAGCTTTTTTTTCTTTTTTTTTTTTTTTTTAGAATAAGAAAAAGCTGCAAAGTATGTCCCAAAGACAAAATTCAACAACGCTCTAAAAAAAATATGACGACGTCAACCTCGTTGTCGGTTATACCAATCCGACGAAAATGTCGACGATTCATTTTCCTCCTAAAAAATACGTTTAAATTTTACATTGATATTAAATAGTTAATGATTATTAGGATGTGGGAATTTATTTTCACTATTCAGTAGAAATACAGACGCTGAAACTTTTTACTTAGTTCTTCTTAAGGGATCGATTTTTTAGTCGGATCTGAAAAATTGCCAACTATTTTTCAAAAAAGAATTCTTATTGAATAAAAGCAAAACTTAAAAAAATCACTGCGTCGATTTGTTTGTCGACCTGCCCAAGCTGACGATTAAGTAGGCCAATATTATTTCCACCCAAACTTGATTAATAATATAAAAATTAATATAAAAAAACATGTCAAACATTTTCTTACTAGCTCTCTGGACCGAACCTACTTTTTAGTCGGGTTTGGAATGTCGACCCCCAAATTTAAAATGGAGTGTATTGTACACATTTCTTGCTTTTTTTTCTTTTTATTTTGGAAGAAGATTTCTTGCTAAGTTGATTGTTAAATAATTCTAGAAAATCTGATACAATATTCTATTGTATCCCGTTTAATATTTGATATTTGTTCCCGTGTATCATTTCGTCGATTTTGAAAACAAATGAATACGTGGAAATGATTTGGTTTAAGGAATTAAAAAGTGTCCCCCCCGACCCGATGACAGGCTTAAAATTTATAATGCACCTGGACGCAAATTTTGTACCTAGTTCAATGATAAGAACACTCCCCTCCCACTTTTACGATTAGGTAGGCTAGAGTTGGAGATATATATTTTATATATAATCCATTCCAGATTACCAAATGTTCATAAATTTAATACGATAGGGAACAAATCAACAAACCAGGAAACCAAAGGGGACAACAAAATTTCTACAGAATATGAAGAAAATAGTAATAATAATAGGAGAATAAGAAAAATACATTTTTGGCTTCTCACTTATGGGATTGTGTAATTTTTCTCTCCCATCCTTAGAAAATAGCATTTCATATCCCTATTTATATAATTTTTTTCACTTATCTCTTTCACTTATTTAAAACAGCATACATGAAGGTGACGTGACAGTAACTGATTAAGTATTTTGTCGCACAAACTCATAGAGGTAGAAAGAAAATCGACATGTGATAGTATAAAAATGGCAAATAGTTAAAAAGTTTCAAAAAAAAAATACAAAAATCATTGTATATATTTCTAAATTTATGCTTTTAATTAATAAAAATCTTAAAAATTAATCGTTAATTTCGAAAAGAACCCAGAAAATCATCCTTCATCTTAAATTCCAAAATTTAAAAGAATCTCAATATTGACAAAGTTTTTTCATCGTATTATAATAAAATATATTAATTTATCGTATAAGTAATCTCTTTTTTTCTTATTCAACCAATTTCAAATAGAAAGGTCTCTGAACATTTTGCCTGGAGAAAACATCTAGTAATTCTATATAACAATTGACTAAACAAATGTATCATTCAAATAAAGCTCAATAATTTTTTAAACTACCAATTTCATTGTCAATAGCATGTATCTGCATTAAAAAAAAAACCCCATGAAATTAGTGCAAATATTCACATAAGTTGATGATAAGATTTTGAACGAATTAGGAGCTCAAGAATCAGATCTCGTGATCCTTTTTTTCCAAAAGAATATTACATATTGAGTTATTATAATTAAAATTTTTTAATATAAATTTTGAAACTCAATGTGGACTAGTTTTTTAGATATAAGTGATATATAGATATGGAAGGATGGAGTTTATGGGTGTTAAAAAATAAAAATAACTAATTTTAAATGTAATTGTTAACTATGTCGAATCCACAGTGATGACTGATGAGAGTGTAAATATGATAACCAAAGAGCATTAAGCTACAATGAGTGTGGGTAAAAACTGAAATTCTCTTAAATATGAGGGATCAAAAGTAAATTTCTTTCAGCGCGCATGATGACGTTGACCGCCTTCTTTGTCTAGATTAAGGATTTTTTTTTTTGTGTTTCATTGAACCTGCGGTTAGTCATAGATTCCTTCGGAGATTTTAATGAAAGAGCATATAATATAATTGAACCACTCTAAGTATGATACAGAATCCCCTACTTCTTTAGTAAGACTTGGCAATGAAGATTGAAATTTCCATGTCCTTTTGTGTGGTATTGCCCTTTGAAGTTCAAAGTTACCTTTTGTAGAGCCATCTTTCAAACCTCCAACGATATGGGATCATCTGCAGAAGACGATGAAATCAGTGGGTTTGACATGGGAACTTCCTTATTGCAGTCAAGTAACATCTCCACTGTTGTTCATCCTAATCATAGAAAAGGTTAACCCAATTTCATTTCCTTCTTTTCTTTCTGGGAAAGGGTCTTTTTTTTGCTTACAATGATTCTATCTTCATTAAGTTCTTCAATTCAAAATATCCCATCAATTCCATAATCTAATTGTGTGAACTCCGAAATGATTCAACCGACAATTTTACCCTTTTTCAAGACAAAAAAAAAAACCAATCCCACTTCGTTTCAGTTTTCCCTGGCTCTTATTGAGTTATTATTATTATTATTCAGGGGGCATACAGTTGGGGCAAGTTTTGAACTTTCTTTTTTGCTGTTGTTTTCAACGTGACAAAAGTTGGGGAACCCAAATCATATTATCATTTGTGTGGCTTGAAAAAGTTTCTTTCTTTCTGTTTAATTATTATGTGAACTGACTCCATGAAAACAGGGAATCTATGGACTGCTCTGGCTCATATAATAACAGGAGTGATAGGATCAGGGGTATTATCACTAGCATGGAGTATGTCACGCCTGGGTTGGGTTGCGGGTCCAGTTACCATGCTGTTGTTTGCATTAGTCAGCTTCATTTCTGCCTCCCTTCTCTGCAACTGTTATAAATCACCTGATCCTGAAATTGGCCCCAATAGTAATGGTTCTTACATTGATGCTGTTCAATCCATCTTAGGTGAGTTTGTCAAGTTTTACTCTATTTTTTTTCTTTAACTTCAGTTTGGGGTACAGGCAGGAGTGGACTGTAGTTTTCATTAACCTAATAAGGTTATAGTTGGACTTGTATTTTTATCTCAGGGAAAAAGAATGCCAGGGTTTGTGGAGTTATTGTCATCATAAACTTTGTCAAAATTGGAATTGTCTACACTGTTACTGCTTCTACAAGCCTGAGGTAATGCTATAAATTTGTGTGTCTCCTTGATGATTGGATCTCTTGAGTTCTTGAATATGGAAGTATCTGATATCTCTCCATCATGGATTCAGGGCAATTCTTAAATCAAATTGTTACCATGACCAAGGACACAAGGCTGCTTGTGAATACAATACTACTTATTTCATGCTTCTATTTGGAGCCCTTCAAATCTTAGTGTCTCAAATACCTAATTTCCAGAATATAAAATGGCTATCTGCTGTTGCAGCCATCATGTCCTTTGCTTACTCTTCGATTGGATCAGGACTTGGGTTAGCCAAAATCATTGGTACATACTGAACTCTCTTTTCTTTTTCCTAATACTGCTGTATTTATTCATCAAATGTGGGATCTTCTACACACTGCGGCACTGGGGGGCCCTAATTTTGGTATTTAGCAGTAAGTATGGCTTAGGTCCTCCGCAATTTAGTTGTATTTTGCAGTTCACTTTATTGAGTGTGTGAGGAATTGTATGGAGACTGTTAGAAGGTGTACTGAAAATATAGAAAAGTTTTGTAAAATTGGAAATAAGATGCAAGTCATACAGGACCTTACCAACATATATTCTAGCAACTTCTTAAAGCCTGTACTATAAGAAGATACTAGAATTTTGCTTTTGCGAAATATAATGTTGGTAACTTGAAATTGCAGAAAATGGAGAGGTAAGAGGTAGTATAGGAGGAGTGCCAACTTCTACTGCTGCTGAAAAAGTATGGTCTGTGGCTCAAGCTCTTGGAGACATTGCATTTTCTTTTCCATTCTCTCTCTATTTCCTGGAGATACAGGTCCGAAAACCTTTGGCTCTGCACCAAAATAGTTTGTCCAAAAATGCTTATTTAAGCATTCAAAACAGCATCACTGAATAATGCTAACTCCTTCTGAAGGACACTTTGAGGTCACCTCCACCCGAAAAAACCACAATGAAGAAGGCATCTACTGCTGCAGTCTGCATCACAACATTTTTTTACCTCTGCTGCGGAGGGTTTGGTTATGCAGCATTCGGAAATTCAACTCCGGGAAATATCTTGACAGGATTTGGTTTTTATGAGCCGTATTGGCTGGTGGACTTTGCTAATGCCTGCATTGTCCTTCACCTCATCGGTGGCTATCAGGTACCTTATCTTTTTATTCACTTTGCTTTCAATCATCTTTGGAAATACCTAGGCATATAACCTATAACCTTTTGTAACATGTAACTTCTTTTCCTTCATGGTGAAATTAATATTCCTCTCAGCTATTCAGTCAGCCACTCTTTGCAATCGTTGAAAGACGGTTAGCCAGGCAATTTCCGAACTCTACACTTGTTCACGATTCCTACAGTTTGAAACTCACATCACTGCCAACGTTGGAGCTGAATCTCCTCAGGATATGCTTCAGAACTGCCTATGTTGTTTGCATTACTGGGATCGCCATACTCTTTCCTTACTTCAATGAAGTTGTTGGGGTTGCAGGGGCTATTAACTTCTGGCCTATTATTGTGTATTTCCCAGTTGAGATGTACTTAGTGCAGAAAAACATAGAAGCATGGACTCCCAAATCAACTGTCCTGAGGACATATTCTTTTATCTGTCTTGTTGTGATAATCTTTGCTTTCATTGGCTCTGTCAAAGGGCTGTTGAGTGCCAAATTTAAGTAAATATATATTTACAAAAGGCTTCTAATTTGGCCTATCAACTTGCACGGTTGCTTCTTATTCATCACATGTATTTTCTTTGTAAGTCTCGTTAGAAATTTCCCCTTTTCATTCCTATTCAATTGAGTTATGTTTCACATGTCATGCTAGTTCATCATTTAATAGATCTCAACACCCTTCTCTAAACTAGGTTAGATCCCAACACTTGTGTCTAAAACTAATCTTAAACGTGGTTCTCATGCATTTGGATTAAGGAAAAAGTCTTTTGGGAAGATCCATGGTGGCGAAAGTTGGGTAGTTCCATACAGTTGAAATGTGGAAAAACCAGTAACAACAATAATAGTGCTTGGGGAAGTTCTTGGAGCAAAGCAGTTAAGAGTTGGAGAGGTTAGAAAGAAACAAGTCGATTAGTTTCGATGGGTTGAGAGTGGAGGAAATGAGAAAAAGCGGGTAATTCGTGTGCATTTTGAATCATTCCTACATGAACGGAACTGCAGAGCTTTGTTGTTGTAGCAGAATCCATGTATGCATATGGTATTTAGCTATAGTTAGCCATGAAGATATTCCAACACTGACCAGCCATTCTTTTTTGGCAAACAGCAGGACAAAGGTTATGCTTGTCAAAATGCTAACTGATTCTGATTTGTTGAAATCCCAATTAGACTCATCTTTTTCTAGATCAAAATAAACTCCCGTGTAATTACTTTTACTTTTGTAGTGAAAAGGTCAATCAGAATCATCATGATCACAAGGGGTTACGATATTTTAACCTACACCGATAAATTAAATCAAACGTATGATATGATTTTAGGACGATTCTAGGTTAAACTAGCATTACAATAATTTGCACAATTTTCTCTTACATTCTTAAGAAGTACGATAACGGCATATGATTCACATTTACCCATGATCTAAGTGTATGTTCCGCACAAAAAAAATAAATAAATAAATAAATTGTTGAGAGATTCTGACTACACTGTGTGTGACCTAAGAAGAAAGCTACCCAACTCAAGTACTACTCAACTGGCTGTTTTTTTTTAACATGATGAATTGACAACGTTTGAAGCCACGAACTGAATCAAAAACTCAAATCCAGTCAACCAAAGATTTCAAAAAAAGAAAGAAGAAATGGAAAGAGAGAGAAAGAAAGAAAGAAAAGGGGGAAGAGTTGACCGGGCGTCTTGTGGGTGAGCTACCGGCCAATGTCTCACACTCTCAACAGCGTTGAATTCTTTAATCAAATCATGCACCTTTGGTGTCATTCCCTTCTCTTTTTTTCCCACACCTTATATAACCTTCCTTCCATTTGTTTTACCCTCCACAACTTAAAATTTTCACTACATTAATTCAAACTCAAAATCAACGCAACATTAGGAATCTGGGAATCCTCTTTTCTTTTTTGGGGGTCTATTTTTCCCACATTTCCACCATTTTGTTTTTTTTTCCCCTCTCCTCAGTAGAAACTAGCTCAAGTCTGGGAGTGAATACTACTACCATTGAAGATGGGAAGAATTCCGTGCTGTGAGAAAGACAATGTGAAGAGAGGACAATGGACGCCTGAGGAAGACCACAAGCTATCTTCCTACATTGCTCAACATGGCACTCGAAACTGGCGACTCATCCCCAAACATGCAGGTTTTTTGTGCCTCTTGAAAACCTTTTTTATTTTAACGCGGATAGGGAAATGGTTTTGATGCTAAGCCATTGGCTTGGGTTTTTCTGTTGGCAGGTTTACAGAGATGTGGGAAGAGCTGTAGGTTACGGTGGACAAACTACCTCCGGCCCGACCTAAAGCACGGCCAGTTCTCAGATGCCGAAGAGCAGACCATAGTCACTCTTCATTCAGTTCTAGGGAACAGGTATTATTTGTATTTCATTGCTCTTTTGTTCAAACATTAAACTACCAGAATGAATTCTTTTGGGCAGAAATTAGAAGATAGCAAAATTTCATCATTCGTGCTACAAATACCTTCACTAATCAACTGGTGAGGATGTTAAGGACATTTCTGCGACAAGGAAAAATAAAATGCTCTTTGACTTCTATTTTGCTTGCTGTCAATAAGATTTCCCAGCGGTGCATGTGAGAAACCATCAAATTTTTTTATGACATTTTGGGTTCAATAACAGATGGTCAGTTATAGCAGCCCAGTTACCTGGTCGTACCGATAACGATGTGAAAAACCATTGGAATACCAAGCTGAAGAAGAAGCTTTCTGGTATGGGAATAGACCCTGTGACTCACAAGCCTTTCTCTCACCTCATAACTGAGATTGCTAACACTCTGGCACCGCCACAAGTGCCCCACTTGGCTGAAGCGGCTTTGGGGTGTTTTAAGGACGAGATGCTTCATCTCCTCACCAAGAAACGCATTGGCAGCTTCCAATTGCATCAGCAGCAGCAACAACTAGGCATTGCACACATTAACAACACGGCGACTAATAGTAATAACCATGTTAAGCATGAGGATCGAGATGAAACGACCATCGACAAGATCAAGTATGGATTATCAAGAGCCATAAGAGATCCTGAAACGTTACCTATGAGCAAGCCTTGGGACACCAGTGCAGCAGCCGGGACTGCAAACTTTTCTGGAGCTTGCAGCGCTTTTGCTGCACAGGATTCCGGCTTTCACTATGGCCTTTCGTCTCTTGTAAATGATGGGGATGGATCTGCATGGAACCAACAGGGCATTTGTGCTGGTGGCAGTCCTGCCACTGCAGACAGACAAAGTGGCCGCCTGGATGACAAACTCAATGATGAAAAAGGCGAAGATACAAGAGTTGGCAAGGAAACGGGAGATGGGGCTGCTATTTTCAATTCGGACTGTGTTTTATGGGATTTGCCATCTGAAGAATTAATGAGTCCTATGGTTTAAGGGGTACTACTGCAGACTGAATGCAATGGAAAAGAAGAATATCTTTATTACTAGAAAATAATGTCTATCTGCTAAAAATTACAGTACTAATGTATATAACTTTCACAAAATATTGGCAATGACAGTTCTAACACACAATATTGTCTCAATTAATTTAACACTGTACAAGTATTTTCTAGCTCCGATATACATATCAAGCGAAGTATGATGATGAAGACGATGTGTCGACAAGAACCTGTAAGAATTCAAACAAAGCTAAAGTCAAAACTGACACAACGCATAAGAAATTATGAAGATACAAGGATGGTGTACTTGGAGAAAGAAACATCAACTTGGATGAAAATAATACCTCAAGTTGCTCTTCGGTAAAAGATTCTTTTTGAAAATTCCATGTGTCAGCGTGAGTGCGCCGGAACTCTGCAACTGCTTTCGTGACTGTAGATTTAACAGGGGATGGCTCGGATGCAAAATGGGCAAGTAGTGTAACATGCTCAGGCAGCCAGCTAAAAGAAAAACAACACCAAAACAAAAAAGTTACTTCTAGGCACGTATGTATAAGAGTTCATATGACATGTCTGATGCCTCACATTCATATGATTTATTGCTTTTAGAAGCAGCCCTCAAAATAAACTTCATAAGTAAGCTGTTGAGTTTGTCAGACTTTCCAACTATCCAGGGACAAGATGTTTTTTGAATATGCAAGCCCCAATTACAGAGCATATTTTATCAGAAGAAATCTAACCACAGAAATTCCCTTTCAACTTTAGTCAGAGGCTCAGAGCTAATAAGAGCCAGTTTGAAAAGATAAGGTCTTTATCAAGGGGAAAAAAAGAAAAAAAAAAAAGGAGACAGGCATTCAGAATGAGATAAGAGGGGGATGACAGCAACCCTAGAAGTTACGGTAAAAAGAAATAGAATACCTATGGATTAAAGTTCAAGGTAACTTAGCAAAAAAATGACACAAAGGAGGATACAGCGACAAAGGCTAAAAGTGACAGATGTTCTCTAAAGAAAATTGGCATCGGGTGATGCTACAAATCTTTGAACGGTACAGTTGATAAACTCACATTATTGTACTCATTATTGCGCAGTGAAGACAAGTATTTACGTGAATGGTACAAACCTGGGCATATCATAAGGAACTGATAGCACACAAGCTGCCAAAGCGAGAACAGTACCATGAATTGATGCTACAGAAAGGTCAGAGCGCAACTTCCTGCACTTGCAAATCGGGGATATAAAATTTAGATACAAATTATACAAGCCTGTATGTTGGACAAAATAAATTGATGTTAAGAGCTCCAGGTAGATGGAAATAAGAGGTGCACGCACAGGAACCCGTCTTGGAATAATTCTATTGTGAACAAAGCTATATTTCATATGACCACAACTTGCCGCCGCAACTAAATGAAAGAATAATCATGGAGGAAATTCATGAACCATAGAACAAATGGCAGCAGTAATTTACATCATAAATTTCCACAATACAAAACAGAATATTAAAAACGACAATACTGGTGAAAATCACTAAGATAATACAAAGGGTTCCAATCAACTAAAGCACAAGAGGGAAAATCCAAACTTGCTACAGTAGCAAAACACACACAATTAATATTGAAAGGATCATCTCTGCTAAAAGAAGCTTAGACGAAGGATTGTTGAGCAAAGATTATGCAGATAATCACAAGATATTTGGTACATAAGCATGCATCGCACTATCACTTATATGCATGTCCAGGTAGGATGTTCATTCATTTCACACTAGTTCATCAAGCAGTCCAAAGAAGTAAACGAGTAAAAGTTTTAACCTTTGCTGTTTTTTCTTGTGGATGATATTAGCTTCTTTAAAAGCTCTGTTACGGAAGTCTTCAGACAGAGTTGCATCACCACCTTTCATTAGGCCAGCTAATACAGCCGCTGCATGCTCTCTTACCTGAAACAGTCATGTAAAATATTGATAGGTTTTATAACAATATGAACAGAGAGAAGTCATAGAAACTATAAGAATCTATACAATGTCTGATGCACAACAAAACTCACCTCAATTTGATTGTCAGTTAGAAGCTTTTCCACAGTGCCCCATATTTGTTTCTCATCCACTTTAGGGAGAATGAAGGTATGCCTAATCAAATACACAAATAGCAGAGGTAATATGAATACATAAGTATATGTGTCAGCATGCAAGATAACCCAGTCCTTGGTATAATGTGCTGTGCTGTGCACTGTGGTGCCAAAGAAAAGAGTCTGGATAAATAGAAAGAGTAGCTTTTCAAATTGTTCAAATAAGCTAGAATTGCAAACGCAAGTCAACAGGTGATGCAATTTTTCTCAGAGACAAAACTTGGCTCGTAGAGAATTTAGTAAGGAAATGAGCTCAAATCTCAAATCCGTTGAGAACCTTTTCAGACAGTAAAACAAATTTGGCCAAGACCATCATGAGATTAGCTTTTTCACAAAAACTAGATGCCTAAGAGACTTGATTAAGTATTACACAGCATTCCGAAAAATAAAAGATGATTCAATATGTATAGAGTACCTGTACATAAAAGACCTCAGAAAAGTTAAAGTAGCAGATCTTGTTCGCCAATTGGAGTCACCAGCTGAAGAGAGAATAAGGGATATAGCTTTCTGGAGATTAGTTCCTTGAAAGACCCTCCATTTCAGCAATTCAAAAGCCGCTTTAGCTAGAGTTGATAGATCTTTATGTGACGTTTCCTTCAAAAAAATGAATGATGTCAGATCATAACACCAACCAGTCACATTATTCCTATATCCTATGTTTTCCCACCCCAATTCCATGCTTAAGTTACTGTAGTCAACGTAATAACAACTTATAAGAAGGATTGAGATATAATGTAATGCATACATATACAAGCAAATTGACAAATTCCAAAAAAAGTGCACACACCTGTAAGGAGATGATAGGGTACAAAAAGCCCACCACAACATCTAGCAAAACTGAAGATCTTCCTGATTTCAGAGACGAGATGGCGAAATGGAAAAGCTGTGCACAAAGAAAAGAGAGGAACTAAATATTAAAACAAGGTACTACATTCAGGAAGCTGGAAACATCATGTCTTTTTGCAAGTAACTAACCGTTTCCATCCAATTAACTTCATCTCTAGAATGATCATGTGATTTCCCATTATCCGAGATTATGTCAATTTGAACCTCCATGATATCAGCTGCACTTGTGTTTTGGATATTCAAAACAAGTTCTGATGCTCGTTGCACTAAATATTTATCCCAATTCCCAGCATTAACAGAACCATGTGCATCTGCAAGTGACTCTTCGGAAGAGTTTTTAGGGGCGAAGAATTCATTTAGCCGGACGTTTGAGCACAACACGCACAAGGCTACTCCAATTGATTCTCTCACCTGTTCAACCATAGAGAAAAATATTGAACATGAGATGATTAGCAGTAAAGCCTGAAAAACTTGATGTATTCCACTGTGTTGATTACTAATCACGGTGATTCACACTTTCAAGAATAGAGGTTACTCACTCACCTAAATCTCCAAAAAGGAAACCACAAAAAAATACACGAAAAATTAAAAAAGAAGCAAAAATCTGCTTACTTGAGCTGAAGAATGACTCATATTACCCAGCAACTCCTCAAGCAATCTATAATGAAGTTGCATTTCAGCTGCTAACATGTTTCGTGGCGATACTTCTATAAAAGCAGCTGAAAGAAACATGTAGCGCTTGGCAACTATGACAGAAGTCACCGTCTGGCTTAATGGGCTCAACAAACAATCCATGACTCTTTGTCTTAGCAAAGGCACCCCAGTACCATACCTTCCCTTGCCTGTAACTGCATAACGTATACACGAAGCCCACTCTGGAATTGATTCCACGGATTGTGAATGAATAACATTCTGTAACTGAGTCATCATCCAGCTGTCCCAAGCTTCAGAAATACCAGCAACATCTGAATGCAGCACCCCGGCAAAGGCTTCGGCCGCAACACATTGCTTTGACCTTTCCTTGGCATTAACAAACTCTACTAAAGCATCTTTAAGTGCCAACAAAACAGGCATGCCACATTCTTGAATTAACCTTTTAAAGATTCTTGCAAAGTTTGAATAGAAAGTGTCACTTCCAATTAAAGATATCCAGTTAGGAGTGCGAGGCCACGAAGAAGAAAAGTCAAAGTAGAAGTGAGTGATCGATTTATCTGCCAAGCTCTGGAAGCTATTGTTCCCGTGATGTCCTCTAGATGCACTATCTGTATCGGTGATTATATGCACATGGGAAAGATTGTTCAAAGTATCATTGAAAAACCCCTCTTCTTGGAAAATACTACTCAATGCTCCTTCAAGAGATGACTTCATAGTTTCCTGTTCAGGACTGGAGGAAGTGGTGTTTCCACCCGACACTTTGTAGGGAGATTCTTTTAAGAGAGTATTCAGAGCAGAGATGGATAAAATTCTTGTCTGCGGGAGTTGGCTCTTTAGATTCTTCAAGAAATGACCTGTAAAAGATTTAATAGTATGTTACACTCAGAAAGAAGTGGACAATAAACAGTTTACATTATGTTGCAATCTTATCAGAGCATACCAGAAGTTTCTTTTAAAATTTTTGATGATGAATGAGGGTCATTTGCAGATGCCATGGCCAGAAGTAATAGAACTCTATTAGCCATCAGATTGTACCTAAAAAGAGATAAAAGGTAAGCAAATAAAGGTTGCAGCAAAAGTTCAAGTGAATAATTTACATCGCTTAAAGTAGAGGTTTCTCTGATTGCAAAACTTGTGCCACTGGTTTGATAGGATTATCAAAAATAGCCAGAAAACAGCATTAAGCAGAAAATATCAAGAGTTAGAAACGATGCAGAAAGGGTCGAACTTTACCTCCAGTGCAAGTTACTGCTCCCAAAACTCATGGAACCAATTTCAGAAACCAAATTTGAGAAATCCGTTCCATTAGGATGAGTTCCGGATGATGTTAAAACACTTCTGGATATTCCCGCAAAATAAATATTGTACTTGACAAAAAGCTGCCAATCATTCCAGAATTTGGTAGTCAATAGCAAATTACAAATGACCATGAGCAGAACAATATTCAAAGATTTGGTCATAGCATCAAGAGCAGGAAATCTAACCTCAGTAATTGATTTCTGAGCTTTTAGTGACTCATGATGGGAACTGCAAGAACATGCCCAAAGACATAAAGAAAATTTCAACATGGAACGAATATAGAAAACGAAAACAAAAATATTAAAATAATATTACCTTGAAAGAATTCCAAAAAGAAAAGAAGAAAGAGCTTTTCCATCCTGCATGACAAGGTTATATAAGTACACATAAAATTCAGCACAAAATTTCAATATATCGCATATCAGTAATTTACCGTTGTAAAACACTTGAGAACAGTTTGCGTTGAAAGTACCGCACAAGAACCCAAAACGGCATATTCAGGTGAACTGGGAGTCTGCAGATTTTTAGTAAGTGTGTACACGCAATTTGGAATAGAAGAAGGCCATCTTTTCAGCATTTTCAGCAAGTATTTTCCAGCAAGTCTGTGGAAATGATTTACAACAGTCGTCAAACACTGACAACTAAGATATCAGCAGAGATAAGAACAAATACAATTGCAAACTGTGCGACAGGAAATATACGAACATCAACCTTCAGAGAGCCATATTACAAAAACAAAAACAAAAACCAAGATTTAACCCACAACGTGAGTGGAGCAGATCTTAAGTCATTGTTTAATATCAGAAAATATACTTTTTTTTAGTTCAGATGTATAGCACAAAAGGAAACTTACAAGCGCACAGTTTCATAGCTGTGTAATGACAGATCAAGGAGATCATTCATCAAAATTGACACATGATCCGGGGGAGAAATCCTGCCACTCAGGCGAAACAAATGATATGATGATTGTGATGCTCTCCAAGTGCAATGCATATATGTTTTGTCTATAAGTGCCCATCGAGGCCTGTAATCAAAATATACACGGGTCAAACAGAGAAGTTAATCACATCATTAGATGCACTGTAGTAAAGATTGATAGTAAGGGTAAGCCCACCTCCTTTTCCCCCTGGAATGGGATGACACTATGAAATTGATGGGAGGCTCTATTATGGCAGCAGATTCCAGTTTCCATGCCTGCCTGTGATTCGACCACTCCTCATATTCTGAACTTCCTGTCACAATGAATTAATAGATATTATATCAAATATGTATTACTACCACATTTCATAATACAAACATGACTTGCTATTGGTTAATTACCATAGTTTCCTAAAGTATCCATTATACGAATGACAAGTAGTAAGAGAATGCTATCATCATTCTTCTCCTCCAACAAGTATCTGCAAAAAGTGCATATATAAATATATAATAACAGAAAGATGGACTGACAAACAATGAAACCACATGTATACATTAAAAAATAATTATATGGCTTACTTGCAAGTGGCATGGATAATGTCAGCTGCCTTTTCTCGCAATTGTGTGCTGCCAACAAATGAACCTGTAGCTCCAGCAATTAAGAAAGGAAAATTGCCAGGCCCCTCAACCATCCCACTCCTAGAGGATGGTCTGAAATCTGGCAAACATGACAGAACACCTTGTAATGAAGAATCAACACGCAGAAGTGTCACTTTCAAGTGCTCTTTCTCCTCTCCTGGTCATCGAAGTATATCCAACAGTTAAACTAAAAACATGACGTTAATGCTTACAGTTCTTGTTAACCCAAATCTTACATAAGGAATAAAAGTAGTTGTTGTTACCCTCAGACTATACATGTTTAGCATATATATACACAAATACATGATAGAATAAAACAGGAATAAGTACTTTGGTCAAAGACAAAATGAAATTGCATTTTTGACAAAATCTACTCACAGGAAACATGGAAGTGGTAGTGGTACCTGGATCAGAATGGATCTTAGATTGACAAATCCTCTGAAGATCATCTAAAGCATCATTCAAATGCATTTGCAGCAACTCATTAGCAAATTGAAGTTCTTCATCACAAGGAACGTGCCACTTTGGGCCAACTGGTGGTTCGTTTTCCGGATAATCTTTGGTGCTGATCCATTCTTCTAACGAAGCAGCAGCAGAATGATGAAAAACACACCTGAGAAGGAGAGCCATTTATATCATGTCAACATGGTTGAAAATGTGGCGAGCATGTATTGCACTTTTTATTTAAAAAAATTGATGGCAAAGGAACTGCACAGACTTGTACTGGTCGATGGGATAATACAGGATCAAGCTTCCAAGCAGAGATCTCAGAACATGATCCCCAGCACCATTCACCTGTCACAAAAAGGAGACACCATCAACATAAATACTAAATCTGATATACCATCCATGAAGCCACTATCCAAAATTGATAGGTTCGAAAAATAAATAAAACAAATGCAAAAATGTAAAAATCAAGTAACTAAAGGAAGTGATAATAATCAAGTGTAGGCACTTTCACGTAGCTTTTGGTCTATAACATGAAGCTGGCATTTTCTTTAAACCTTATACTTTGGAGTTTTCCCGCAGAATTTCTTAGAACGGGTTGGTACCCGCAACAAGATCAGGAAATAAAAACCAAACTAGGAATTGGGTCTTTTTCATAAGTTTCAGAGAGGAAACCGGTACACCTAAAATGCAACAAATTTTATTTTAAGATACAGAAGAATAACAACCTTCCAAGATGTTGAATTAAAGGCAGAAAAAATGACTTCTTTGAATTCATCCTTGTAACGTAAAAGTGCTGGACCACCATAGTTGATTGAAACGGATAGCACTTTCAACTGATATTCAATAGATGTTTCAAGAGCTGGAGAAAGTGTGGCTTTGTCCTGGAACAAACACTGATATCAGGAAAAAGCAAAATGCATTGAGCAAAGGAAAGATATAAGTAATAATGAGCAGACCTTGCTTACTCCTACAGCCTCAGAAGTTCCTGAGTGTCCATAACCGGTAACAGGTGTTCCTCTCAAGGAGGATATAATAGAAGATAAAAGCGGCTCCACGATATGAGCAACGGCCTCTTCTGGATTCGTACTAATACAGGCACAACACAACAGTCCAACTTCAGCAATGGCCCCAGGAAGAATATTTGTTTTGACAAACTTGGAGATTTTGGTTAAAGCCTGGCCAACGATAGCAGAAATCAAAATAATTTCTGATAAGTAAAACTCAGGTAAAAATGCCATTTTATACTACTCAGACAACTCATACCTGCTTATAAAGTGTTTTTGAAAGCCTCCCCAAAAGGATTTCCAACATGCAGAAATAGTAAGGGCCATCTTCAACCAGAAAAGTTCCAGAACTGCTCGGCGAATGCACTCCTTCATTCCTGAAGCAAAGCAAACAACTTGCTCCATCATGAAGTACATGGATAAAACTACTTTTCTTGAAAACCAGAACAGAGGGAAATGTACTGAAAAAGGGAAACTGAGCTTACAAAACACTGCTGGGTTCCAAGTGTTGAAGCAAAGAAAATAGACGGCAAAAAAACTCATCAAGCCACTCAGAAAAGCGAAATTCAGGTAGAAATGAAGATTCACTTGTACTATCTTCCAGGACAGCCATCTGCAAGTACAACGAAAGCTCATAGGACTTCTAGATTATGTCCTCGAAAACACTTCCAAAAGTAGGCCAACAATGAACACTTACACTGGAGAACAATGAACCGACCAGTTGCATACTTGCCAAGGTCTTGGGAGGATCATTGGCGTCCATACCCAGCAATGCATTGGACAAAGAAACCATCAGTAGATCGACATAAGAATTGGCACTATCAACATGATCTGACATCGATGGCAATGTCGTTGCTGCAGTGAGAAATAAAGATCTTCCAGCAAAAGCAACAGACATCACAGCGCTCTTCAATTGATGCGTAGCAGTGACCTGAAGAAAAAATAATACCCATGCAATCACCAATCGATGGCAAGACGGTACCTTTTATTGCAAAAAAACTAACTTTCACCCTTCAATATTCCAACAACGGTGCCATCTTGGGGAAATACTAACCGTCTCCAAAGCCATATGGAAGCGAGAAGCTAAAAATGGTAGAACAAGTGATGGTTCCATGTATGACAAAATAGAGGTTGCCGTGGCAACTGTTTCGGCAAGATGCTCATTTTTGCTATATTGACCACGGTCAATCAGTTTCAGCACTGCTTTCACAAAAGCAACTCGGTCAGACTGCTCAAGAAAGAGTTCGCTTTTTATGCCATCATTTCTGCTCCTGAAGATAAATCTTGTGCCATTAAGAAAGCAATCCATTCAAATACAAATGAATGTGCAAAATTCATTCCAAATGAAACTCTTACTTTTGCTCACTTAGCAAACGTTTCTGAAACATGCTCACCAAGTAGAACAAAAACCGCTCCAGAGAATAAGTCCATCGTCCACCATTGGAAGGGTGATAATATCTGATGGAAAAACTAAATAAATTATACAGGCCAATGATTACATGCAGCCTGAGCCAAGAAAAATAGTTGTTGGAATTGTAGCAACAAAAGTCCAGAAACAAACTGTTCGAGGAGGTTGACCAATTTTTCGAAGTATTGTTGTGCTGAGGCATTGGATTTCAACAGATAAACCTGGGTAAGCATTGAGATGTTAAGTACCCAACTATCGTAAGATTTCAACAAGCCCATTATGTCTATGTAGCTGAAAAGCAACTTACAATTGATTTAGCAATAGCCTGGGAAGGAGTCATGGATTTATTTGAAAATAAAAATCTAGTATTTCTTGAAACATCCACAGAGAATGGATTTGAACCACTGCCATTAGCCACAGGAACCTGCAATTGATCACCATAATAAAAGTCATTTCGTGCTATTGGACATATGGTAATAAAAGACCGCGAACTTCATAGAGGACATACATCTTTCATATTTCTTGCAAGGAAAGCAGCAAGCTTGAAACACAAACCAATAACCATATTGTCTGCTAATCAAGCAATTTAAATAACCATAAGTACAACTTATAATTACCAACCATGATCCCAGACTAACTGGACAACTTTGAAAATATGCAACATCAAACCGGGAAACTAAGGTACATCAAATCCCAGAACACAAGGGCCTTTTTATCGATACAAGACTGACCGCAGAAAATTAAGTAGTGGTTAAATTTCCCAAAAAACCCTGAAGCACCCATTCTTTAACTCCATAAGTTTACCTATGATTAAGTGGCATACTTCTTACAATAGAATAGTACAGATTGCCCCGAGAGAGAGAGAGAGAGAGAGAGAGACTTGTTTCTTAAAGCATAATAGTACCCAAGTCAATGTTCATTTAAACTCAAGATGCACAATAATCTGTCTGAAATTGTACTCCCTCAGTAAAAATGACTGTCCTGTTTGTAGTTAAAATTATTTTGGGATGGAAAAAGCACCAAATTTGGTAATTCAGTAAAGTGCCAAACTCACCTCAAACACATTGAGGAACTTATTGAATAGAGTAGGTAAAAGATCTTCCCAGTCAATGGATCCGTAGTTCTTTATCACACGTGCTGTAATTGACGCCCATTGGCTGTTCCAAAATTGACAGTTTGGTACAGATTCCCAGTGTTCCAAACAAGAAGAGATCCATTCTCTGCAAAAAGACAGAAATCAGATTGCTACTTTCTAGAACCATGAATATTGTGAAAGATACGTTTCAATGGTTCTAGTTTTGCTCACTGTGTGTAGAAGTCCTGATTGTCCAGATTTGTTGGAAGAAACAGCCGAACAAAGCCAGCGCCTTCAAAAGAAGAGTTATGCCATGGATTTTCCAATAGCGATCTGAAAAATGGAGACATTTCATAGGAAGTTATTGTAGTTATCAAAGGAGGCATCTACAGGCAAACGCTATTGTGCCTAGTCCTGACAGATATTCTAAAAGGTAGGGCAAATTCAAAACAATTGAATTCAGAATTCATCACCTTTAATGGAAACAGTATTTGAGGGGAGGTACGTGTGACAGAGAAAATATAAAAGATTAAAAGTGACAAGGTAATAGCACTTGTTAGCAGAAGCTAAGGTGCTTACACAAGTAAACAAAACTAAACTAACTGATCCAAGCACAACAAGCAAAAAAACATGTTAATAACTGGATCATGCCAGTTTGAAGCCCTAAAATGTGCTTCAAACAAATCAATAGCTACAAAAAAAACAGAGAATAGAATAGTGCCAAGACGATCACCTGAATTCACACCATATCTCAAAAGCAGAGCCTGGAGGGAAGAATCTCCGACATGATCTAACAAGAGATGTTACCGTAGCGAAATGCCGTTGCCTCACTCTCCATCCTTCTGGGCCTGTATTCCTGAGTAGGTAGATATATTCAACTTTTTTGCTTTCATTTACACAGAATTCAAAAATAGCATATGTATAATTTACTTGAACCTTAAGCCAGTCTAATTCCTGTGTGCACATAATTCACAGTGCTCATCGAACAATTGTATAATGAACAAATTATAATACACCTTTGTTACAGGTTCATTGTTTCATTAATTTACATTGAATTGGACCCGCTCTTTAATTAAAAATAATAATAATAATAAATTGGGACTAGTTATCAATCTTTGATTCCTGAAAATAAGACCAGGTCATCCTTTAGTAATGTTGGCACTTATTCTCTTATCATTATCAGCATAAATTAATATCAAGCATAATTTGTAATCATGATTACACTTCACACCTCAATGCTCATGTTATTCTTACCATCTAAAAAAATCATTACCATGTAAAGCTAACAGCAGATGGAAGTAACAAAATAGGCACATAAACAACGAAACTGACCTCCTGAAGTGCGTCTTGATCAAGGTATCATATAAGGGCCGCCACTGAATTTTCAAGGACAATTTCTTTCGGTATTTGTTCAATACTTTTACCAAAAGATTTCCCCATCTAACCTAGTAAAAAGAAGTCAAACAGCTAATTATTACATGATTTTTTCATATTAAAAGATAATGTATTATGATTAAAAATTAAAACTTGAAAAGCAAAACCAACCTGAGCATAAAGTTTGTCCTCGGCTACATTGAATAATTCCAATCCAATTTCAACGACAGCTGTCACATCTTCCAACAAAATCTCACTTTTCGCCTTGATAAAACTGAACGTATAAATTAAAATCACAGCATGAATCCATCGTGTGGCCTATTTCTAAGATTACTATGAGCAAAAGCTTGGAAATGGAAGAAACAATTTTTTTTAATTAAACCTTCAGTCTACGTCTCCACTCTATCCAACCGTGGCTACATACTCTCTAAATGCCAACCAAAAAGAAAAAAAGAAAAAGAAAAAGTGTTACCGGCAAGACCCAAATATTTCCTAAATAAAATTTGACTGTCCATTTCTACGCTCTACTTAGTAAACCATGCCATTCGATTAACAACACACAACAGGAATTCCCATTTCCACGAACCATACTATAGAAATGTAGTTTTGTTGTGAAATAAACCACATTCTAATTTCCAAATAAAAGCCACAGAGATTAACAATTTTCAAGGAACAATGACTAAGAAAATTTAGTCTTTATCCAACGACTTTTTGGCAATGAAGAACATGTACTTAATCAACATGTACACTTTCATTTTAATTCAAGATGATGACCCATAAAAACAGTTTTGTTTCCATTCACTTCCGGTCTTTTCGCTCCTTCAATCCTGTTGATATAAGTTAATGATTGTATGCTTTCTACTGTATTATTCGTGTTACTCTTGGCATCTCGTACACGTGCCCGAACCATATTAGCCATAATTTTTATGGTTTTCTCATCTATTAGTGCTACCCCCAGCTTCCTTTCCAATGCATTCATCACTAATCCCATAATTCTATCAATTATAGTTTTCTCGACATTCTCATCTCCGCTGCCGCAATTTTTTTTTTTTTCTCTCTAATGGTTTGATTTCGTATTTAGTAGCCCGCCAGCACAATCCATAAGCATCGCTCTGATAGTCTTGTGGCAGCCAAACAGAGCAAGTCCCTATTCCACTAACTCATGCAACAAAAGGGTTTCTTCCAAATACCAAAACACCAACAATTAAAGAACATATAAAAAAACACACAAGCAAATTACATCATAATTCAAAGCAGAACAACAAATAAAATGAAGAGGCAAAGAGTTTTGTAAGGGAACCCACAGGTCAATAACGGAGACCCATTTGAGAGTAGCGAAAACAGATTCAGGATCATCCACTCTGTAAGACTCCTTTACAGCTTTCACCACCGCTTTGAATGAGTCCTTCTCCTTCTTAGTCTCCTCCGCCACCGGCGGCGGCAACCAGGCATTGTACAAATGCATATCTGCGAGTATCTCAGCTTATCTGCTCTCGGTCTGAGATTGAATTATGGGACTGAAGATTAATTTGAGAATTTTGGGTTTAAAGCCGATTGGGGAAAAAAAGAGATGAATATATATATAGGAGAGTGTCGTGTTCTGGGGAGTTGGGGTTTTTCTTTTTGGACAAGAAATTGATAATTAAAAAAGTGGGAACACTGTTACTTTCACATTCTGGGGGCCGACGGCAAGATGACTGGTGACTGGCACCGCCGGTAAACATGAACGGAATATGAAATGTGTGACGTCGGTCCGGCTGTTGTCTTTTAGTTCAATACGTTGACTTTAATTTGTAGTGTATCTTTATGGTTAAGATATCCAATGTTAGCTGGGATTTTTTTCTTTTAATTAATTTATTCCAGACTTTTAACGCTGTTGTTTTTTGGCATATTTTTTTTTTCTTTCTTTCTTTTGTTTACGTTTCACGAATTTTCATCACATAACGCAGACGATATAATAAATTATGTTATAATCAAGCATTTGATTTTTGCTTCTCTTTTTCCAAGTGATTCATTCTAATTATAAGAAAACAGCATCGTGTGATGTTCTATCAGGTTTATGTGAACTATCAAATTGTGTAATTCATGTATTTTATAAGGAAAATATTATAAGTAGAGTCTTGGATAAAATAAAGCTACTCTTTTCACATTTTGCAAACTTTTTATCGGTTGTCATTCAATTCCGTAGAATTTACATCGGTATTAAAATAAGTGTTCTGTTTTTATTATTTTACGAATTATGTTAATAATAAAATTCCAAACCAGACGACTAGAGAGAAATTCATTGGGAGCAAGTCATAGAATATGGAAGTAATGGAATATGCGATGAGCATAATAAAGTTATAAGAGCAATGGACACACAATTTTTCCCAGTTCGCCTCAGAAATAAAATTTATTTATTTTAAATGTGATGGATTGAGATATTATTATTTTTGCAATCTATGTCTTGTACCAAAAATATGAATACCCTTATTTAATTTTGGATGGACTTGTATTAAAGGAGGAATAGATGAATAGCCTAATGTTGTGAGTTGTGACTGAATAGTTTAGTAGGATATTATTGAATCACTGTATCCACCACCTGAATATTGTTTCTTCTGACCATCTGATAGAGTTATGGTGGTATCATAATCATAGCAATAGTTGCCTATCTTTAACTCAACAAAGGGAAAACAAAATAAATTATTGCAGCTGATATACATTATTCATTTCATTCTAGTTGTAGAAAAAATATTGATTTCTTACTATTTTTGAATGTAAAAGTGAATGATTATTATCTCACAAAGGTAAATAATAAAGTACTAATAGCTCCAAATGTGATGGACTATAATAATTTTCCAAATTCTATTTCTACAATACTGTATTAATAATCCTAAAAAAAGGGCTAATATCTTTACATAAAAATCATTATTATTAAGTCTCATGGGCCGAAATCTTTGTAGCAAAACATCTCAATTCAGCCGTTGGAAAAATCAGAGAATTAACATGAGAAAATCCGACCGTTAACTCCTTATAATAACGTGCCGCCGGGGACTAAAATGTGACCGTTGCAAACAAACCTCAGGCAGTTTCTCCGTCGTTTAAATACTTGTAAGACCTTCCTCCACATTCCCCCACCAAAAAGTCTACCAATCTCTCTCAATCTTTCCATCCGCAAATCATCAAACATCTGATATTCAATCTAATCAACGATTTCTTTCGTTACTTTTTTGTTTTTTGTTTTTCTTTAGTTCATTTCTTTTGTTGGTCTTTAATTTTTCCGAGAATTTTTTAAGGATTATTAATGGCGGAAACAAAAGATGCCCATGTCATCGTTGAGATCCCGGTGGACGAGGAGCATCAGCTGAAGCTAATCTCCGCCATGAACACCATCTCTTCCGCCATACAACACCACCCATTAATGGAAATCTCCCAAAGCCCCGGTCACCTCTTGCTTCTCAAGCTCTGGCAGAGAGAAGAAGACCTTTTCTGCCGCCGAATCGGCATCAAAGAAACCCGAATCGATGCCTTGAAAAGAGAAATCTTCCAACTCTGTTGTTTTTTCCTCGTCTTTCACGCCTTATTCTTCACAATTTTATTCACGTCTTACCAGAATTACAACAACCATAACCATCACAGTGTGTGTCAGAGGTGGTGGGTTCCATCCGCACTGAGTGTGTGCCCATCACTTGTGATTGTGTTTTTAGTTCATGTGAAGCTTTTCAGGTACTGGAAAGTTTCTAATCAGGTGCAGAGGGAGAAGAGCGATAATCGGGCACTCACCAGATGTATTCAGGAGCTGAGGATGAAAGGGGCTAGTTTCGATTTGTCGAAAGAGCCTCAGATTGGGAAAAGGATGAAGAGTTCTAGTGTGGAGATCAAATGGAAGCTTGTTTCTTGGTTTTCTCAGTATCTAATCACCACTTGCCTTGTATGTTTTACAGGTTTGCTCTTCCCCATCAGCAGATTCATCCTTTGCGCTTAGATTTTGGCTCCAATTCCCCAGCTCTGTAGCATTTGATGAATATGCAAGATCCGCTAGGCATTGATGCAAAAATGAGCTTCTGGGAGATTGTTCCATGGAAGGGGTGAATGAAGCTTTTTGTGGTCCGACTGCTGCTGCAGAAGTGGCACCGAGGAGACATTTAGGTCGAGCTTCTTCTTCTTCTTCTTCTTGCCAAGCTGACTGCAATTTTGAGGATGTCTGCAATTTTGAGGATGTCAATTTGATGCTGGTTATGGCCGCTCTTTTATTTGAGTTATTATGATGCCAATTTTGGTCTCTGGGGAAGCTCCAGCCAGGGGGAAGACAGCAATTCAATTCATTTCAATCCACTTTTGGGCCGATTTTGGCACTGTTAAAAAGCAGTTTTTTGCGGCTCCAGTTGGGAAGACAGGAATTCAATTCATTGCACTGCAGTTTTGGGCAATTTCGGCACTTTCGACTCCAGTTGAGGTTCGAGGCTCCAGCTGGGAAGGCAATTTTATACAATTCATTTTCAAGGCAATTTTGGGTCACCAGCACAAGGCTTCTGAACACATTTCGTTATAATTGTCGAACATATATACTCTTTAGTGATTGCTAGGTTTGATGAAGTCTCTCAAATGTATTCAATCTTAGCAACACTACTGGTGTTCTCCAGCCTATATATTACTAATGATACAGTGGACTTTTCACCTTTCACACACACGTTCGACTTTATGTTGTTTAAGTTTTGGTTGTCATTCATCAACTATAGAAAACAATGATCAACAAGATTCTCACGCTTTGATTCATAAATTCAAGCAATAGAAAGAATGATACAACAATTTATCAATATGGATCCTAATCAAAGCCCTTCTGACACAACCCAACCCTATAATTCAAATACATTACACCGTTGCGTTAGCTTCGGATGATATCTAGGCAGTCTCAAAGCCAAATATCCGAAATACACCTGCACGGAAAAAAAAAATTTGAAATCAATGCAAGTCAAATGCCTTAAAAGGATCGAATTTGGCATTTGGCATTCCGTAAGAAGACAGAAAACAAGGTTACCTTCATCAGCCTGATGCTTGTTTTTATCATCTCCTGCATAAGCCAGTAAGTTGTATTTGGGATTCCATTCTACACTGTTCATGGCAGCCCGGCATGGAATTTGATGGACTGATCTTCCTGTTTGAACATTTGACTGCCCAAGAAAGAGTGTTTTCAATATGGGAACAAAATTTATGCAATACTAATTGAGTACCATACAAACAACGAGAGACATACAATATCAATGAACAAGTCCTCACTAGCCGAAGCAATGTACTCTCCCGTGTGATTGAAACTTATAGTTCTAACCGGCCATCTGAAAACATAAACAAAAGATGTTATGCTCCTACATGAAGAAAATGGGACTAGAGCTTGCAAAAGCATTTCAACTCTCGACCACTGATCATACATAAGCAAACCGTCATTTAAGTTGACAGTTTTTTTTTATCAAAACGTCGCAAAGCAGAGGTGATGAATGAAATTACTTACTCATGTTTTGTAAATGTACGCACACATAGCATTTCCTTGATATCCCAAAGACTGACTAAAGAATCAGCACTTCCGACAGCAAAATACCTGCAGAAATAGTTCAAATCAACAATTCCATCAAATTAGTCAGATCCCCATTGGAAACTTCAAACAAAGGGAATACATGTTCTTAAAGACATATTTTCCCCTCAATTTCAAAGTTTATAAGCAGAGAACCAATAGATAAGAAGATGAGAACCTTCCAACTGGGTCTGTTGCAATACAGTAGCAACCAGCCGTATGTGCCGTGAGGGTATCAACTCGCTGAAGAGATGGATATGACAGTACTTCAACAGTACCTGGGCATCAATGGTACAAAAGTAAAATAAAAGTTAATTAAATGGGAACAATATAAATCAATGATAATGAAAACAAATCTGCATCGTTGATATTGCACTTAATTTCTTTCTCACCAAACCCAGTGGTCAGAAAGAACTTGTCTCCTGTAATGTTCCATGCAAGTTCATTCACCTGGAAAGTTTATAATCAGTCAGCATACTTTGTAAGCCAAGTACTTTCCTATCCACTGAAGACTTCATGTTATGAAAAGAAAATAGAATATCCAATTAGCCAGCTGAGCAAGGAGGTTAAGGGATAAACAAAAATATAATGAAAATAACAAATTTAAAGTCCATGTAAGTTATTAGTCCCTAGTAACCCGACCTCCTCCACCCCCCCCCCCAAAAAAAAAAAAAAAGCGAGATTCTGAGCAAGCAAAATCCTTTTTTACCAGGCTGCTAGGTCCTAACTATTTCTACTGGTATAACTTCAACCAAAGGTCAAGGAAACCATCACCAAGGAACCATTAAAGGTTGAAGTAGTCAAAATAGAGCGGAAACACCTCTATATATAGTGCACATAAGTTTTCATACACATGATTCGAGACTGTTCTGGGACCCAATAAGAAAGGGCTGTAAGATTTGCAGCATTTTAAAATCAATGATCCAAAAGTAATATTTTGATATCACAACAGGGAGAATGGTACCACACCTCATAATTGAACTTGCGTCTGTGGAGAACCTTAAATTTGCGAACATCCAATATTGTTAATTCATCATCCTACAATTTGTCAAGAAAATAGATTAAAATTAGAACATGCTTTATTACTTCTTTCACCATGATCACAGAAAAATTTGGAATGTAACCAACTTGCGTAAAGTAAAGCAGAGAGTTCAGGAAACTAGGAAATAAATTGCAGGTGATAACGGGACCCAAAAAATTCAATCTATGCTATGATTATTGAAACCAGTAAAGCATTAACATTTAGAAAGCCATTGGATTTACCCTGTTTCCTACGGCTATGTGTGTACCATCAGGCTTATAGGTGATGTTAATATTTTCTCCACTGAGTTCAGCTTGCTGAGAACATTTCCCACCTATCAGACAAAAAGAATGTGAGCATCATCCTAGAGCCTCAATGTTTGTAAAGCACGAGTTCTTTCCAGTAAATAAGGCAAGACTGTATGTTGAAAGACTCCATTAAGCACATAAAATGAAGGGTCACCAGAAGGAATGTAAACCAACATAGAATCAGTAAGTAACAATTCGAAAAGCACAGAATTAGTTTTTTTTTTTTTTCTTTCTTAAATTTCTTCACAGACCATTATGTAAAGCCGTCAGGACATTTCTATATTTGATGTTTCTACAGAGAGACAAAAGCTTATCGATGCAAAGCATAATACTAACTATCCATCCCAACACCAAATTTTAGAAAAAGACGTCTTTCAGATGATAGTAAAGCACTCTGCTAACAGAGGTGATGTTTTGATAGCTCAATTTGCGTAGTGTAGTGGTGTAGAGGCATGGGGTTTTCAATTTCTGGATGGAATTCTAGCACATTGAGGTGGTGGAGTACTTACTACGAGCATCCCATAAGCGGACAGTCTTGTCACCTGATGCAGTTGCTACCAACTCAGCATGTTTTGGATCCCAGCATAACTGATCCACACTGTCAGTGTGACCCTTTAACTCAACATCCTTAACCTTGCCCTGCACAAAGCCCAGACAGAATCATTACAGTAGGATACACTTCCTCTAGTCCTTAATATAAGACATTTTAATTTGTCCTATGTTTCAACTAGTATGTATTTTGGAAAAAAAAAAAAAACCCTTAAAAATATATGTTCACATTTGTTTTGTTCTTCTAATTATTATACTGGGTGAAATTTATGACAAATAAAAATGTTTTATATTAAGGACCCGAGGGAATAATACACATTCTAAAATGATCCAAGCTACAGCAAAATCAACATGAAATTTATATTGCCACAATTCAACAACACAATCTAGTCATAAGTACTAAACAATCGTTAGTTGTTACGCAATGTCAGGTCAACCCAAAATCAGATCCCCAAAATGAGTATAGAAATGACCCAAAAATAAATTAAAGTAGAAAACTTACATGGCCATGGGGCTCAATGAGCCAAACACGAGCAGTTTGATCAACAGAACCGGAGGCGAGTTTCGTGCCGGTGCAGTTCCACGCCACCGAGTGAACCTTTGAATTCCAGAATTTGAATTGTGATGATAATAACAAAATAATGAGAAAAGAGAACAATTCGATTTTGGTGTTCAGCTAGGGCCTAGGGATTCCGGCTCTCAGGATTAAAACACGCAAAAATTTCACCATTTTTTTCGTGGGAAAAAGAAAGAAGAAATCAAAATAAAAAAAAGTACCTTCTTCTTGTGGCCTTGGTAGTCTCTACTGTGGAGGTTTTTGAAGGGTATTGCTGCTGCCTCCATGGTTTTGCTGCTCCGCTTCGGTTTCAGAACTCAATTGTTATTCAAAGCTGTCCTGCTCCGGGAACATAAAAGGCGGGAAACTTTCAGCTGTAGTTTCTCACGCTTCCGTTGATGGCGTTGACTCCGATTTGGAGGCGTGGTTGAACTTTTATGGGCTATGCGAATTTGCGATACAAAGAGCTGTTTTTCCTCTTTCTTTTCGTTTCTTTTTTCTTTTTTTCTGTTCTCTTTTAGTAGTATTTTTTTAAGGGAAGAGCCGTATAAACAAGTCTTTCATGTTCGATGGGTGGGAGGGTATGGTGGGGTGGTTAGGGGATTAGGATGGAAGATGGTTATTATCGGGAGATCGATTCTCGTTGGGGTCATCCAATTTTTATTATTTCTTTTTAAAAAAAGTCTTTCATGTTCTCCGGTAAAAATAGTATTCCAGATGTTGAATAAATAAAAATTGCTGGAATTGTAGCATTTTAACTGGTAGTAAAACAAAAATGTGATTTGACACTCGATGATTTAATCACTTCCACCAGAAAGAGCAAAAAAAATTGGGTAAGGCCAGCAAAAGGGCAACTTCATTCTTTCACAAAGTAACAGTGATTACTTTTACATGATAGTATCAGTTACATTCATGATCAGAAGTTAACTCGCAGAACATTGAAATCTTTGTTAGAGTTCCAGGTTTATGCCATCAATTCGACTTCTTTAACAGCATTGTGGAGAAGCATAAACCCTAAGGAGCGATTCAGAGTCCATAGATAAGTTCCACAGAACGGTTTCTTAAGTTCAACCTTCTGGTTACCAAAGTCCCATCGGAAACAGCTTTTCCAGCAGCCCAACCCTTAAATCCCATCTTAGGTGAATGTTCTGAAAGTAATGATCTTGTTAAAACAGTCTTCTCCTTTTTCCTTTTAGTTTTCGAATGAGACATACTTCTTGTTAAAGGACCCTTTCTCGAGGCATTAGACCCGAACCCAATTCTTTCTTTAACTGCAGTTTTATGCAACATCTTCCTTTGAGTTTCAGTTACAGACGAAATGTCTTCACCTCTGTGGTTTTGCTGAGCCGCACTTTCATCACTAGTGCTTTGGTCTGAAGAACTTCCTGCCACTATTGCGTCATTCTCGTCGTCGTTGGCCCTGTTGCCATATTTCTGTAATATATCGCAAACTATATTCTTGCTTAGACCAAAGTTTGCAGAATCTCCTGTTAGCGAAAGAGAGAATTCACGTAATAGCGACCCTGGAAGATCATCAATGGATCCAGGCGAAAAGGTATTTGAGCCATCCACAGGTAGAACAACTCCAGTCAAGTTAGACAACCCTTGAGAAACAGCACCATCAGATGATTTCAACACTTGATTTGCGTATTGCTCCCAGTAATAAGGAAATCCAATGAGGAAATGATTACAAACCTGTTAAATTTTCAAGCCAGACATTTTAGTGTACACATTATCTCACCCGATTACTACTTGAGAGCAGAAAAATGGAAAAACTTATCAAATATTTTGCTCCCTCTCTCCCAAAAAAATAGTCCACATTGAGTTTAGGGACAGAGGGAGTACATGAAAATCATCGGCAGAACCTTTCTAAGCACAATCTAATAGAGAATAACATATATCACATCCCAATCCCCAAATACCAAAGGGAAGATGCACGTAGTTAAGCTCTTGCAGATAACATAATCAGTTATCAACAACAAGCATAAACAAATCAAGTAGGCTACGTTTTCACCAATCCCAAATGTAAAAACATAGATGATCAAGGTAATCAAAATAAATAGTACCTCTGGGGGGAAGCCATTTTGAAGCGTTTGATATTTATTTATTGATCCAGAGATGTTGACAACAATGCCATCCAGAGTCTCAAGAGTAACGGCACTATGCCTTTTCAGAATGGCAGCAGAATGAAAAATCCTTCTTCCTAGACTGCTGCTATATAGAAATTAAAATATCATCCCATGATCAAACAAAATGGACAGGATTCACACTATTTCAGCTCTAAACAAAAAATAACTGAACAAATAAATTGATCCTGATTTCATGCACATAAGTTCAAAGAGTTGGCACTTTTTCCCGTGCTACCCCCATAACCATAGTAAACGCTACTCTAATCCACAAGTTTACAATAATCTTTGTTTGTATAAGGATTGAAGCAGGTTGTCCTGGAAACATAAGTAAGTTTATTGATGACGGAGACAAAGACCACATTAATGCATGGCAGTGAAATCTGGTTACATTTATACTCAAAGAACATTACTCCAATAAACAGATAAAAATATAAGCCCTAAAAGCCAAAATTTTGAGCTTTATAACTGAATCTTATTCACTAATTTACAACCATTTCAACTGAAAATAGCAGGCAGTTTCATCTCACTTAGCTTCCTTGGCCAGAAATTTATATTTAAAAAAAAAAAAATCCCTAGCATAAGGAGCAGAAAAATTCTGAACTTTGGAGATGAAATGATTTTCCCAATAACCAAAAAACAACAATGTAATCAATCCTTCCAGAAAAATACGATCCAACCAAAAATTGATACAAACATGTGGAATTAAAATTGGAGCACAAACAGGTAGAGACAATAATTGCTGAATTTGAGAACTCCTAATGACATACAAGTTGAGCTAACTGAATAATGAAATAAATCATAATAAATCAAAACAATAAAATCAAACAAATTGGGTTAACAGCTGAAAAAAAAAAAAAAAAAAACTTAAAAAGGGATGAAATTTACTTTTCCAAATTTATGCCAGCGACACCTAATCTTATAGAATTTGAACTCGAATCATCAGCTTTGACGAGCCACCAATCACACAAACAAACCTGCAGAACACAACCCCCCAAAAAAGGAAATGAATGGTTGGGGTTCCAGCATTATATCAATAGAAGCTTATTTGCTTAGTATAGATGAAGTAATAAACCTGTTTGACGGTAGGGAAACGACCGGAGAGGGCCGACGACCGCGATGCCGGAGATGAGAAAGTCGAACTTTGAGTTGCCGCCATAGCGTGTGTCTGTGTGTGTGTGAGAGAGAGAGAGAGATTTTCAATTAAACCCCGTAGAGAAGAAATGGTAAATTAATAATACCCCTCCCCTCTATTCGCGGTTTACAACACACACCCTTCAACTATTATTAATTGTAATACTCACCCGTTTAGTTAAAAAGATTCCATGTTATGTCATCGATTCATGTTACAGAACAGCATAGTATCATTGTAATCTGTATGTTAGGACGTTGGACAATATGTTGGACTATGAGTCAGTACCAATATGTTGCTTTGGTACAAAATATTTCAAGCACGCAATATTTAAAATACCATTTTATTTTAAAATCTAAACAATCGTGATTTTTCGCTGGCGTATAATTATAGTGACTATTTCAAACTTCAATACTAACATGAGAGTTAAAAGGTCGGAAGATGATTGCTAAAGTAAACAACGACAGTTTAATCTCCATAGTACAAGGCATGAAGGACATTGATGGACTTAATGCTGACATTGTTAATGAAATCCGAGGAATGTTGAAGGAAGATTAGGTCGTCGAAATTAAACATGTATTTGGAGAGGTTAGTCATATAGTAGACTGGTTAGATTTTTTAGTAGTATAAGAGTCACACTATAATGGTATGGGTTTACACTATCGGGATCAAACCGTAATTGAAATATGATAATATATCCTCTGAAATGTACTAATTTGATCCTACTTGTTTATTGTAACAAAAATAAATAAATAAATAAAATCGGCATTTTTTCACACTTTCAAATTACACGCCTAACCCAAGTAAATAACTATCTTCAAGACTCCTCAACAGCCACTTGCTTCACACCGGAAATCCGATCACATTTCCGTGTCTGTTCGAGTTTCATTACCCTTTCTCTTTACATCGTTTCCAAACATACTTGTTACTTGTTAGAATACAAGAGCGCGACATGTGATGTTTTGAACAATCCATAAGTCTCACTCATTATTTCTTTGTCCATTAGGAAAAAAAAAAAGCAAAAGCAAAAAAAAAAAGAAAAAAAAAAAGAAAAGAAAGGTCGAGATCCGAGAGATTGATTGGTGATAGGTGACAAGCCATCATTGAAAATGCAATCATCATAAATCTGTGAATAGACATTTTTTGGACAAGCTGTTGTTTGCTGGACCGGCATGCCTACCAAACAATATAAATGGATATTATCTATTTCCAACAGTAAAAATGGCACACATTGATTTTGTTTGTTTTTTTAAATAAGGGAGGAGAATAAGAAGAAAAACACCACAATCTTTTTTTATTGTCTTATCAAACCATAAAAATTAGAAAATTTCCGCAATGGCACACATTTTTTCCTTTAAAAAAAAAAGTCTTGACAGGTGGTTCATGTCTGGGTCAACAAAGATGGTCAATGAGTTTTGTCCCACCTCATTTATTACATGAACCCACCATCATTAGATTATTATAATCCCACATTAATTAATGATGCATTACCAGCATAAAATTAAAAATAATATATGGTTAAAAACTAAATCAAAATTTTTCGATGTGGCTTACAATTCTGTTTGGGTATTGGCAAATCAAACAAATTAGGGCAAATTATATTTTGCCCCTCGAGTTTTGTCTCCATCTACCATAACCCCCCTGAGTTTTGATAATAGTACCATATAACCCGTGGACAGGGGGTTAAACATTAAATGACTTACATGCACTTTATTTTCTTTTTATTTTTTTGCTTTTTTATTATTTTTTACCATGAAAAATAAAAATTACTTAGTTTATAATTTTTACATTTAATTACAACATAAGTTAATGACTTAAAGTTAATCCATGATTAATAATGTAAATTTATTCTATTTCAGAAAAAAAAGTAATTAATGAATATTATTTTATTTCAAAAGACATACTCCCTCCATTCCAATTTAGTAGACTCACTTCCCTTTTGAGATGTTTTAAAACTTAGTCTCACTTCAGACATTTAATTAAGTTTTACTATAAACTCTCTAATATGCCCTTTCTACTTTCATTGAAATCAAGAATATTTATTAATTTTAACAATTACTCTCTCATATCAACCAATAACTCACTAGTCATTAATAGGAGTATAGTAGTAATTTCATTTAAAATTAACCACATAAACTACATTAGCCACTTTTTCTTAATCTCCGTGTATGTCTAAATGAGCCTATTGAATTAAAATGGAGGGAGCAATATAGTTAATTTCAAAAAAAATTATCATCTAAGTGCATTAATATAAAATGATTAATATGGAGTATTATATTTTTTTAACTTAATCTGTGATATATATTTTAAAAAAGATTATAATATAATTTAAAAAATATAATATGAAGGGTATTTTTGGCCATTTGCAAAATTATTGATGATGTTCATATGTTAAGGGGGGCATTTGATAAGTTGACTATGAGTCAATAGGTATATGGTAGTATTACTAAAACTCAGGGGTTTATGATAAATAGGACCAAAACTCGGGGGGTAAAATGTAGTTCGCCCAATAAATTATGTTCAGTCAAAACTCAAAACTACACATCCAAATGCTTCAATAAATTATAAATCTAAACTATAATAATTTATAAATTGATCCAACAACTTAAAGTATCGAGTAAATAATTTTACTATTGGTTTATTTTTATTTTTTTAAATAATTTACCACTTTTCAATGGAATCCTTTTTATGACATTCATCTATTTATTATTTCCGTAAGTGTGAAATAGAAATAAAAACCTTTAAAAAAAAAGAGAGAGAAGGAATACGGTCTTTAATAATTGCTAAAACAATGTCCAAAGGTAAAAATGGGTAGGTGGCATCAATTTTTGAGCAACAAAAATATTGCCATGAATAACTCTTGTCACACAAGATTCAACCTCTGTCAAATTTCCTGTCCACGGTAATAAATTAGTCACTGACAACTACTTTTTCATTTATATATTTTACCACAAAAAGCTGCAGGAAAATCACTCAACAAAGTCAGCAAGTACTAACAACAGAGTAAAAAGTAAGTAAAATGACAGCGGTGAAAAACTCTGACGTGTCCAGGATATATAAATAGATCGATAGTACGAAAAAAACAGCTATGAATACAGAGGAGTACAGTGTGACACAAACACACAGTCACGCACTAAGCTCTCTCTTTCTCTCTGTTCATTTCATCGTTGGGACCAAAATTCTCCGTATCAAAATACTGACTCAAAGTTATTCAATTCCGGTATTTCTCTTTCCATTTTTTTTTTTTTTTGGGGTGTTAATTTGACTCCACCGACGCCACAATAATCATTTGCTGAACCTGAACCTCCCCTTTTGTTGGGCATATTAAAAACGATTGTTAATTTTTTTTTCTAACAGAGAACTTAGAGAAAGAAGAAGAAGAAGCGGACTGGACTGGTCTGCTCTGGTCGGTGGATCTGACCGGAGACATCGCCGCCGGGACGGGGAAAAAACATGTCGTCCGGAGGAAGGTACATGGCTTACTCACCCTCTCACTCCGCCCCTCCGTCGCCTCATATCGCCGCCGCGGTCCTTGCGGAGCAGGAGAAGTAAGGCCACCCCTTCCCCCCTGTTTTTATGTTCTTGTTTCGATCTTTTATGTGTTTGATCAAACAGGAGTTAAAGTTTGCTTCTTTCTTCAATTGGGTCGGAGTTTGTTTTGTTCAACTTTTGTTCAATGATTTAATTTCTGGTGGGTTGAATTTCAGGTACTTAACTGAATTACTTGCTGAAAAGCAGAAACTTGGTCCATTCACACCAATTCTTCCGATTAGTTATCGGCTGCTGAATCAGGGTATGTTGGGAAAAACGTGGACTGTATAGTTTATACTTCACATACTTTAGCTTTCTGTGGTTTTATATGAATCAAAAAAAGAAGAGTTTTCTCTCAGTATTGACTGTTACCCTCTCTCTCTCCACCCCCTTCTGATGGGTTTATGTCCAAAAATCGGTCTTTTCTCTTGTTTTTTCCCCATTGCCAGTGGTGTTTAGCTTATCAGGTCATGTATGAAGTTGTTGCAATCACTAAACAGCGTTGTACCTGCTTACTGTTTTTTTTTTCTTCCTTTTTCTCCTTTCGTGGATATTATTAGTAACATTCTGGTAATAGAAATTTGTTAATCAAGTTGTATAGTCATGAATTTTGATATGAGTTTCAACTGCATTTGTTTATTTGGGGGGAAAAAAATGCACCGCTCGAAGGAGCTTATTTGTAAGTCTCCTTGTTGCAATGAGAATGAAAATGTGGGAAGCAAAAAAATCTTGAGAAACTTTGTGCACCACATCTTACTTAGGAAATCTTTTCCTAGGCCTCATTTATTTTAATATCTAGAAATTGGCTTACTAGTGTTCATTTCATATATTTGCTATGAATGTAATGTCATTATTTGGGCAAGTAAATCATGTGGTCTAAGTTAATTGAGTATCCAGTTATTCATGGATAGATCTTCATACACGTGTCCGGACAAGCTCTTGAACTAGCTTTTCTCGTGTCATGCCAGTAACAGATAATGTCGACTTTTCGGCATTTTCTTGGCTGTTCTCTAACTTTCTGTTCATAAGATGGGCCCGGATGTGGCGTTGAGAGCATGATCTTTTTGTCGGTGTGAATTTAAGCAAGTGAAATATACAAATATCTTTAGGTGGGGGACTTCTTCGTGTCATTTAGACAATTTAATGTAGCGCCGTAAAGGTTGCCAGCAAGGTTGTTGAAATGATTTTACCCCAACTAACTGGCTAAGTTCACAGTCGGTCCCTTGGTTCGTAAAAGATCTGTTCATGTGGGCGGTTGCCTTGGCCAAATAGGGGAAAGAAAACTTGAAGGGAAACAAGTTGAAAATAAAGAGATAAAGGGGGGACAAATCATGAAATTCTTTTTCCTTCTCCAGCGGTTGTTATTATGAACTTGTGGAGCATTTTTAGCTGGTGGCTTCCTTTCAGTGCTTATCTTCCCATTCCACCAAAAAGACAGTTGAAGTGTTGACTTTGAGTCTTAACTTGTATTCGACATGATAGCATAAATCTAAATGGTGAGTGATGCAAATTAAAAGGGGAAGGGAAAAATCTAACAAGAATTGAAAAAAAATAATAAAATTTGCCAGTAAAAAAAAGCATGATTTAGTTTGACTTTAAAATGAAATGTCTTCAACGTTACATAATGGTTACATAATGGCAACATACGATACAGACAGTGGACCCTGAATCATTGGATAAAGACGTAGTTGTTGTCCTTGTTGCGTTTCTTACTTTTGTTGAGGGAAAGGATAATCTAATTGAGGGCCGTTGTTTGTGCAAGGTCCTAACCTAGATGTCTGAACTGTACATGTATTTTTTTTTTCCTGCTGATTAGTTTTCTTCCGTCAGAGTTGTTGGCTCTGCAGTCTATATAGTAAGGTCTCAGATGCAGATGCCCGGTTACTGACAAATAAGACTCCATTGATTCATTTTTAACTGTTTGTTATAGCTTTATTTAACATAAGTAGATTCGTCTTTCTCCCCTGTTTTAGACTCTTAGGTTACTTACATTATGTCAAAAGACTAGCTTTTCAAGTTTGGAAGCAGTGATGTTTAACTAACCAGTAAAGAGTTAGTGGAATCTGTCCATATTATAGTATAATGCTGACACATTGCTTTGACAAAGGCTAACTGGGTACATCTTATTCTTGCAAAATTGACCTTTTTTGAAGCAGAAATATTGCGTGTAACCACAATGTTGGGGTCCTTGGGGAATGCATCAGTTTTAGATCAAATTGGGCTTGAACATGCTAGCCCGTTGGCTTCAGGAGGATTATATTCACAAGGAGGAGCTAATGTGAACAGATGGCCGTCTCCATTTCAATCTGAAGTATGGATACTAACCATTAACATAACCTCTGTTTTATCTAATTATTTTTACTTACTGTTTTGAGAAATATCCTTGACATAAATTATATACCTTTTTATTTTAACTACGTTTTCCTTGTGCTTATTAACTTTTTAACTTACATTTTCCTCCCATGGCAGGGGTATTTAGTTGCTAACTACATTAAGAATGACATGTAGATTTTGGGTAGAGGATTCATGCTTGTCATCATTTTGCTAGCGAGGTAGAATCCTGCATGGAGTTGTAACAGCAACACCCCGAAAAAAAAAACAAAAAAGAAAAAAATAGTACTCATCGGGTAGAATTATTCTTGTCTATGTTTTGTTTTAGGTTTCCAGTACTTGAATGGCAGATTCTTCTGTTAAGTAGAATGATGGATGGGTTGTACTAGAGCATTTGCGGGTCTATTCACCTAAGTTTTCCTATCGAGTTAATTGCGATTACTATTAGAAAATGAAGTTGGTTCATGAATCTGACTATTTGATCATTAAAATAGTAATTTGTAAATATTATTCAACCTCAAATTTTATGGCCACTGACATGCATTTAATTGCTGTGGACTTCTTTTCCTGTTTTTTTTTTCCTGCTTTAATATATGCGTTCTAATGTTAAAAAATAAAATAAAATAAAAAATATGCATTCTAATGTGTAACGTTTAGTGTAAATGTGGTACAGTGAAAACAGCGTGATGCTTTTCACTGGAAGATATATGCCTTCACTTTTGTTATTCACCATATCTGGGATCAAACAATATGCAGATATCAGGGTTGATGCAAACATCCTCCGCACAAAGTTGGCTAGGTGGATCTCAAGGTAGCTCATCAGGTTTTGTGGTGAAGCGGTCAATTCGGGTTGATATTCCCGTCGACCAATACCCTAATGTACAAATCTGACGCATTCTTATCATGTTCTTTAGTTGCTTTACTTTCTCTAGCTCAGTTTTCAAGAATTTGGCAATTGCAGTTTAATTTTGTCGGGCGCCTGCTTGGCCCCCGAGGGAACTCTCTTAAGCGAGTTGAAGCTAATACTGATTGTCGTGTTCTGATTAGAGGACGGGGGAGCATCAAGGATCCTGCCAAGGTAACTACTGATATGACTAATGAGTCCTTTAGTCTTGCTTAGAAATAGAATACTGTCTGCTAGGACTAATTGGATCTAAACTTTTAATGTGATTCAATTGTAGGAAGAGATGATGAGAGGCAGACCTGGATATGAACACCTGAATGAACCTCTTCACATCCTAGTCGAGGCAGAGATGGCACCTGAACTGATTGATGCTCGGTTGATGCAAGCGCGTCAAATTCTTGAGGATTTGCTAAAACCTGTGGTAATTATCTGGTGAACATAAGTGATTGGATCGTTTGGGTCATCCTTCCTATGTGGAGACATGATCGTTTATTTATTTTTGTTTCACAAGCTTTCTTTGATGATTTTCGCATTGTTATAAACTTTGTAATAACATCGTATAATGAGGATGCTAAAATGAATGATGGTAACATTATATCAGTATTTTCATTGCCTATCTTATTCATGACTTGTTCCGTTCATTATTTTTATTGACCCTCATTTACCTTTTTGTTAAAAGTTTTAATAAGTTAAAATATCAAGAGGATCGCTAAATGAGTAATGGCCCAGTTTAGCTATCACAAAGACGCATCTATGCGCAAATAATATGGCGACAATGACGTCTTCCTAAGTTCCTTCATTCCTTCTATGATATGATTTCAGAATAATTGTATTCCTTATGTTACTGATAACATGTTGCATTTAAGAGCATGGCGCGCGTAGCGCGACTACTTCTACTAGTTTTTGTGGCTCCTTCACATTCTTAATATAATTGCCGACTGTAACATTCGTCAGTTAAGCATTTTCTCCTTTTAAATGCAGGATGAATCTCAGGATTTCTACAAAAAGCAGCAGTTGAGAGAACTCGCAATGATTAATGGCACGCTCCGCGACGAAAGTTCACAAATGTCTCCAGCTCTGTCTTCATCTGCGTCACCATTAAATAGTCTCGGGATGAAAAGGGCCAAAACGATGAGGGGTTGAATCTATTCATATCTTTAGTCTGGGGGCTTGGACTGTGTGTCTTGATATCCTCCCTAAACGGCAGTTCCCCATGCAGATGTCGTTTTAGCTGTGGGACGATCGATGCTTCCAAATGCCATCGGGGCACTGGTGCCATCTGTACCAGTTTTTAACTTGTTGCTATATATCGTACGAGTGTTATCTTTTGCTTTGGAATAGGTTTAGCAAGTATGACATAGTTGAAAGATCGTAGCCGTCTAATTAAGGGTTGCTTCTATGCAACGTTTTCTTCTTTTTGTGGCAGTTTGGCGGAGCATTGTCTCCAGAGATGTTCTTTGTGCCAAAGTCCCTTATTAATATTAAGCTTGTAAAGACGTATATAAAAGAATTGGGTCATTATTATACTGTCGAGGTTGGAATTGTCACTGGAATTATTGCAGAGTTCTATTGTCACTAGAATTATTGCAGGAATTATGTTTTTCCAGAACCATCCTTTCATGTGATTCGGGGTTGTAGTTTTTACCTTACTGTCTGTCACATTCTTTTCAGCTTTCATTTGTCTTATGGCCTAATGATGTGGTAATCATCTCCTAAAACATGTTCTATCAAAAGTTCTTGACCACAAGTATTGCTTTCCTGAGTTATGTGCGTATTTGAAGTTGTTGGCGGGTGAGAGTTCTTGTATATGATTTATATATTGTAGACCACAGTAAGATTTAAGGCTTAGTCCCTGTTGTATTTGAGTTGGATTTAGGATAGTTGGCAGGCTAATTGCTAACCATGAGCTGCTTCAGATACCCAACAAACAGTTCCAGCGTTGTGCAAGTTCGGTAACTTCATTTGAAAGAGTAGCTTTAGCCACACAAAATCAATAGAGAAACAAACTTTGAGCAACCAGCATTGAATAACAAATAGCGCTACTAGTTGTGTCTCATAAACTCATCTTACGACTTGTGGACTGTACGCTCAAGTTTACTCAGAGCTTGCACAAAATGTAGGTTTGTAATTTGGTTCCAAAGCACTGTAAACAAGGTCACCTTGGTTCCAAATCATCCGTAGAGTGCATCATTAACCATGTTAGACCTCTTACCTAGAGAAAGTAATTAGCGACCATTCACAAAACCCAGTTATTTGCCCGCCAACTATTAGGTCTCTTATTAGTGAAATAGCCAGATGTTTGTAATATTACATACTATTTCAGAACTGAAGTTCTGAGAAGTGTTTGTTCCTTGATATACTGAAGAGTTATCCCTCCTCTTCACCGTCTCCTTCATCATCCTCTTCATCATCGTTATCCTCAATTCCAACCCACCGTGTAAAAGCGAAAAGGAATTCTTTGAAATTCACCATTCCATTCTTATCCCAATCCATCTCCTCTGCAACAAAAGAATGATCTGATGTTAAAGGGCTACCAAAAGGACAAAGGGCAAAGAAAAGGACTGTAAAGAAAGCCATGAGAGGACCAAACAATCACTCTCAAACAATTCACACAGTTATACCAACTAGAGAAGACACAAAATGCAATATCTTGCAACAGCAGAAGGACCGTGTTACAATAACTTAGCCTTTCTCTTTAGTACATGATGCAGGAACCGGTAAAAAAAATGTTAGTCTTATATGATATCATGAGCAATCTATATTCATAGAAAGATATGTGTCATCGTCTGTCAACCCGAAGCAATTTGATTTCTGAAAGAACTCACAATACCAACAGGGAAACTAAATAACAGCATTTCATTTCTTCTAGACTTTGTATTCCAATAAATTAATTTTGAACATAAGATATTGATTCTGGTGAGGAACAATCATGTGGTTTTCCTCAAGAATTATGTGTAAAGAAATTTGATAGGCAGAGCAGCTACAAAAACCACTGTTTCAGCAGTTTGTTCTTTTGAAACAAGATTAGGAAGAACTCACCAAATCTTTTCATGGCAATACGCCCAGATGATCTCTCTCCTGAAGTAGTCTCATTTATTGCTTCAACCATCTCTCTCTTGCTGACATGACCGTCTTTGTTCTTGTCCAGAAGTACAAAAGCATCGACCAAAGTTTCAAATGTAGCTTCAAGATTTGGCAATCCAATTCGTGATTTCTTACATTGTCAAGGAATAAATTTAAATGGAGCAAAAGGGAGCAGGAATAGTCAGGAGAGCTAACAACAATGGATCCACTTTGTTCAACACTCAATTTAGTCTTTCAAACCTTTTGCGTGTATGTGTTAGGGGGGTGGAGTGAAACTTCCTCTTTTATCATGCAAAGGCGAGAAAAAGATTATGAAAAAGTGGGAAAAACAAGATGTACTTTAAGAAATACCAGTCAGCGAAGTGGAGCCAGGTAAGATGTAATTAAAACGAAATAGTATAGCATACAAAGGATACAGCATGCTGCGCAGCAGGGTCGTCCTTCAGAAGATATACAAGGCAAAGAAGAACGATGAATTCATTGAATTTCATACCCCTGTCATCATTGATATCACAAGCTTCAAAGAGATCATTAGTTTCCTCCTCTGTAAAACCAATCTCCAATTTTCTGAAACAGTGATTCAGCTCTTGTTGATCTATTGCTCCATTTCCATCAGTGTCTGTCCGGGGGGAAAGAATATACTGTCTTAGTCGGATTGCATAACGGAAAAAATGATGACATGGTTCTTTGAAGGAATAAACAGAATTAAGATGAACTAGTTAAAAATATTAGCATCAGTTAGTAAAAAGAGTTTCAACATCATGAAGAAGAATGATGTTGACTATATAACAAACGCGCAAAAATTAGTGGAGTCAACCTCTGCAAAAAGCCAATGTACACTTTGAACCCTGAAATGATATGAATTAGCTAAGAGCATACAAGTTTATGATGATTGTCTTCAGTAAATCGTCCTTACCAAATTCCTCAAATACGGCTTTACACTTTCTTAGGTTTTCATCGATTTTGGGAAACTTTAAGATTAAACTGTTGAACGATTTCAGTGAACTCCCTTCACTTTCACGCCTCCTCATTGTCTCAAGGATTTTGGCCTCGAGTTTTGTCTCGGGTAAAGAAGCCCTGGAAGAGTCACCCTTCTGAAGAGTACCTCCCATTTTGAACTTGTGATCGAAATGCTGGAAAATAAGATGAAACAGAGTAAAAATGCTTTAAATTGGATCATCAGAACTTATTAAAGGAAATAGAATTATGAGTAGATTGAGAAGCTTGACAACTATTAAAAATATCACACATTGAGGAAACATATAATAACAACTCAAAACAATCTAACAGGGTGAAAAACATATGGTTGATGTCATAGGGTACAGAAGAGGAAGCATGTACAGTTAACACCTCCGAAGAAATTAGTAATGTGATGATAACTAATTTATATGTTCCTACCTAAAATATAATAATGACATAGCCACTTAAGTTTCCTCGGCCGAAATGAAAACCAAAAGGCTGACTTTATAGCGGGCAAATTAGCTTCCGTTTGGATACTACCATCGTAGCAGATTGGAACAAAGGTAATATTGTAGTCAGGGCTAATATTTCACCATTTACACAATATTACATTTATCTTAGATTCCTAGGCCCGGGGGAAAAAGAGCACCAGAATGAAGGTAAACCCAGAAAGCAACAAGAACATTTCGATTTAGTAATTAGAAGTCATTCCAGAACGATACTCAGTATCATATCATGAATCATGCAACAGAGTAACAACTAAATATCAGTCACGTGCAAACTCTTCCGATCCAAAAACAAATGAACATGAACTCCATTCCACATCTAAAACCTTATTGGAAGTAAACCCAAAAAAAAAAAAAAAAAAAAAACAAGAAGGAAAATCCGTATATTTCCTTTGTCCACTGGTTTTCTACTAGCTGGTACGATAAACAAACAAAACCCAATAACACACTTCGACTGAATATTTGAAAAAGCACACGAGAAAGATTCTAACCAGGATAACACAGAACAGATTCAAATCGACCCCAAAAAGGAGTGTCTTTTGCACTCTATTCCCAGCTGATGAAGAAGAACTTTTGCGAGATCGAAAGCAGCATCAATCAACCCTCGTCAAAAAACAGATTCCTTCAATCCCTCTTTTCAGCTCAAACAAATGTAATGATAATCAAAGAACGAAAAAAGGGGAAGGAGAAAAAAAAAAAAACAGATATGAAAAAAGTGGATTTGTGAAGTGGAATATGCTGATAAAGTGGTTTTTGCTGAAATGTCAATAAAACAAAAGACCCCAAAAAATGATGACAATTGATGACGATGATGATACGGGCGCCCCTTTATGCTTTCTCTGAGGCTTTCATTCAATCTGTCATTTCAATGAATTTGTTATTCTGGGGATTCTCCAAATATCCTGGTTTTCTTCTGAACCCACCACGTATGAATTATTTTTACATTTTTTTTCATTTTTCTTTTGTGTTTTACGAGTACATATGGGCTTCCAAGTTCATGGACCAGATTGTGCTAGGGGGAAGTTAAATGATTTGGACTGGTTCATTAGCTCAAAATGAATTGGTCCAATAAGCAAGTAAGTTCACTCTAGAATGGGTTTTTTTTGGCCCATGATATTTACTATTTATACAAAGGCTAAGGATAGAGGTTAGATTTATGTTCTCGACTCTCAGGCATTCCTTTTGTAGTAAGATAAATACCTAACTCAAACTGCAAGACCCAACCATCGTACCACCTACAATCAGGCCCACCTTGCGGCCTTCACTTAATCGTCCCCAGATTCCCATATTCAATCAAAACTGTTGATGTTGAGGCCGACGACGATAACAGATCTAAGCGATAAGGGACCGCCGACTCATGTTTAACATAACTTCTTATTATAACATGTAATTTGTTTTTCTTTCTTACCAAGAGAACAATTAATAAAAAAGAGGATCTAGTGCTGCTAATTAGCGTGTAATTCCCGCTACTCGCATTGGTAGGACTTTTATAAAGGCAGGCCGACTTCATTCAAAAGTCCTGAGACATTTGGACCCCCCAAAAACAACAAATTAGGTCCACGGGCCACCTGCGGTGAATTCTTTAAAATGAAAAACTATCCAACCGTTATCGACCTACGGCGGACACCCTGCATTTTTTATTTTTTTGGTAAAAAAAAAAATAAAAAAATTTTAGAGCAATTTATTGGGTGCATTTAGAAGCACCATGCTCCCTTTCTTATTTTTTGTACTAATATGTGTCCCGTGCTTTGCGCGGGTTTGTCAATGTTGAAAATTTATATTTCAAAAGAATTGATTAGATAATATAGTTACAAATATACCGTCCTTATTCTCTTAAAAAAAATGTAGTTACTAATATTTCTTAAAATTATAATATTTTTTTGATTAATCAGTTTTAGATCAAAATGAGAGGTATTGATATTATTTATGAGAGGTATATTTGGAAGATCTGGTAAAAAATATTACAACAAAGATTTTCAAAAGTTGTATAATAAAAATTGTCACCACTAACTAATGTTATTTTTGGTTTAAAAAATGCGTAAATTATGTCTAGATGTATATGACCTATTTTTATAGGCAACTGGACTTTGAGGGATTAGATGTAGTTCTAATAAAATATGAGACACAATTAATCGTCCTTGAAAATGTAAAATCGATAAACTTGAAAACTAAATAGCATACAAATGGAACTTTAAGGACCAAAATGACAATAGGTTGAAAGTTTAAACTCGTAAATGAAAGGACTTTTGAAGTCGGGAGTTTCTAAGCAATTTTCAAAAATATTCATTTTTAAGCTCATAATCAGGAATTTGTAATATCTGTAAAAATCTTATATACTCCCTCCGTCCCACAAAAAATAGTCCAGTTTGAAACTGTACAAATTTTTTAATTTGGTCAATACACCAAATGTACAACTCATTTCATTCCCCTAACTTACACTAATGCCCCTTCTAGTTATTTCTATAAAAGTTAACTATATATGTATTTATTTTACAAATTAAATTTGATCAAAATTTTTATCTCAAAAAATATTGACAATGGATCTTGATGGAAAGATCTCGTTACGTAGATTATTCTGATATATAACACATTTTTAATTATTCATGTATTAAAAGATATAATCATTTAAAAAAATAAGAGAAAGTTAAAAAAAAATGAAAATCAAAGGACGTGGACCTTGTTTTCATACCACTACTCTTTTGGATATTTAAGTCATTTCAATTCAATGAATTTTGACTTTTGTTAAACTGGACTATTTTTTTATGACAAGATTTTTTATTAAATTGGATTATTTTTGTGGAACGGATGGAGTAGTAAATAATTTATTAACTATTTACAAAAAAATTTAACTCATTAATGATCAATCAATTAGCAAATGACACGTGTTAATTGAGACTTGATGGTCTCAATAAGCGACACGTGTCGATTATCTTTCTTTCCTTTAATATATATAAAATGATTTATAGTCCTTATTATATTTTTTTCTTAATATTTTTATATTTTAAAAGTTTAGTCCATGTTTTTTTTTTCTCTCTTCTAAAAAACATCTCTTAATCTTTAAACGAGCATATCTCTCAATCCGTGAAAAATTAGAAAACGTATTACACATGAATTTCATTGTATTCGTCGAGATCTATCCAACAAGATCCATATGGAATTTTTTTTCAGACTTAAAAATAATTAAATTATGATGGCCAGAAATGGGGTGGATATCCAGTTTAAGAAGATAGATAACCAACTTATTTTAAATTGATTATCCATTGTATTCATACTAATTATCCAACCTGTTTGAACTGGTTATCTATTTTTTTTTGTACTGATTATCCATTTGATTTATATGACTATCCAACTTATTTTGTAGTTATAATCCAACGAGTTTGTTTACATATCCAACTTGTGTTGTACTGAATATCCAACTCGTTTGTACTGGATATCCATTTAATTTGTATGTCTATTCAACTTATCCGTACTGGTTATCCAACGGATTTATATTATTATCTAAATTATTTGTACTAGTTATCCATTTTTTTATTTTAAAAAAATCATTGTCCAATGCGCTAATACTGGTTATTTATTTTGTTTATACTGCTTATCCAATCATTTTTTTCCTTTGAAACACGGTTATCCAATGTTCGTGGTGATTATCCAATTATTTTTACTGCTTATCTAAAAAATTTTGTATTGTTTGTCCAAACATTTTTTTTCTTTTGAAAAAATGCTTGTCTAATGTGCTCGTCATGATTATCCAACCTCGTGCTATTGTTTCTCCAGGTATTTTTATTTTATTTTGTATGAAAATACTCGTCCGATGTGTTTATACTTGTTATGCAACTAATTGGTAATGCTTATCCTACATAGTTTTTTCTTAAAATGTTTATCCATTGTGTTCATACTGATTATCTGGCCGGTTTGAACTGATTATTCATTTCGTTTGTACTTGTTATCCAATCTTTTTTTTTTTCGAAAATCATTGTCCAGTGTGTTAATACTGATTATCCAATTTATTACTATTGCTTATCCAACCTAGGTTTTCTTTTCATTATTTTCTTTTGAAAAAAATGGTTGTCCAACGCGTTCATATTGATTATCCAACTGTTAAGTATAGATTATCCAACCATTTTTTTCTCTATTTTTGCGAAAATCCTTGTCCAATTTTTCGTACTGACTATCCAACCATTTTGTATTGATTATCCAATCGTTTTCACTGATTATCCAGACAGAATTTATTTTCTTTTTTTGTTCTTTTGATAAAATATATGTCTAATGTGTTCATATCGATTATCTAACTTATTGGTGATGGTTATCCAACCTTTTTTTTTTCTTACTCTTTTATGATGATTGTCTAATTTTTTTGTATTGATTATCCAACCACTTTGTACTGCTTATCCAATTATTTTTAATGATTATCCAAATTGTTAGTAATGTTTATCCAAATATTTTATTCTTTTTTAAGAGGAATAAATGTCAAAAATATGATTGAATAACCAGTACAAATAAAATAAATAATCAGTCTAAACTGGTTGGAGAATCAATATGAATACAACGGATAATCATTTTTTAGAAAAAAAAACATATTTTTTCAAATCTGCCCGTAAAATTTAAATGAATTTAAATTTTTTAAAAAATTAATATTTATCTTATCGGATAGATCTCATCGAGCATTATGAATTTCATCTATAATTCGTGTTCTATTTATTCACGGTTTGAAAGATAGAAATTTTACAAGAAAAATATTGATATAAAATAATCACTTATCCATCTTCTTAAACTGGATATCCACCTTAATTCTGCCCATCGAAATATAATCATTTTTAAGCTCAAGAAAAATATTTGATATGGATGTTGATGGATAGATCTCATCGATTACTATAAATTTCATATATAATTCGTTCACAAATTCTTCACGAATTGAGAAATATGCTCGTTTAAAGATTAAAGATTTTTTTAGAATAGAGAGAAAAAAATAACAGGGACTAAATTTACAAAATATATAAAGAGTAGAGAAAAAAAGTACAATCTATCTTCTATATACTATACTAAGTCAAAAACCAGAGAGAGAAAACTAAAGGCATGGAGCACATGCCACATAGGATTTAATCTTATGTGGAATTTTCTTAATTTCTTAGACTTAAAAATGCACAAAATAAAATAATAAAATAAAAAAAGCAACTAAAATAATTTTAAAAAAATAAAATAATAAAAACAGAACCCTTATTTTCATGAACCAAATCCTAACACAAAGATTGATTGGAGAGAGTACCAAATCCTAACAAATTTTAGGGAGATCTGCATAAACCTTATCACCAATGAATTTAAAATGTCATTTAAAAAAAACAAATTCCTATAAATCCAAAGGTAATCATATTTTAAAACTGAAGTCATTACATATTTTATAAAAATACAAAATTTATATAAAAATGTCTAAATGTGTATGCCTTCCCCGTCCATCGGACGGGTCTAACACCTAGTAAGGACTAATAATTAAAAAAATAGGAGGGAATGCACATGCTTCCGGGTTTACTGGATACAGACTCTTTTTTAGTTTCGAAAGGAAAACAAATAATTATAATTATTACTATCTTTATTAAATCAGTCATTCTTCCCAAGAATAATAATTTATATTAACTTTTGAAATCTTGTACTATATAATTTATATATATCATTAATTTTAAATACGAAAATTATGATAATTTGGCCAGCAAATGAGCGACTTTTTAAAACTCTACCGCCATAGAGGTCCAACGATGTATTCAATTGACGACTATTGGCAGTTTTACAGATTTGATTATCTCTTTTCATGTATCAAAGTGATACTCCCTCGATCCCATATGTATTCTCCAGTTTAGATTTCTATTTCTAGTTCAAATAATACTAAATTTGAAATCTCAAATTGAATAATAATTTTGGAACGAGTATAAAATAACTCAGTTTTCAAATATGAACTAAAAAAAATCTTAGTACCAAGTGTACTTTTAAATTTTTTATTTTATTTTTTAATATTATGTACTTGGACAATTATCCTAAGAAGAGGACTAGGAGAAAGACCGGAAAACAACAACAAAGAAAAGGAAGAAAAAAAAATTATAGTAAAAGAAAAATTGTAACACGTGTGCGTGGAAGGGTAAGGGTCCACCGAAAGCCAGCAGTATCGGCAAAGATATAAACAAAACCCACGCGCTTGGGGAGTGGGGGGCCACCGAAAGACGCATTATATAAATAAGAAACAGACGCCTATTTTCTCCAAAGTCCTCATAAATTTCTGCTGCCTTTCGGATTATACTTTGCTGCCCTCTCTGCTACTGAGTCGGGAGTGTTCCCTCCTCCTCCCCCCAAAAGGTTCGAACCCCCAATTCCCAAACCCTAGCTTTCTTACCCCCCAGATATGTTGGGTTTTTCTTATCTGTTTGTTTCGTGCCCGATTTGCATAGGTTTTGGTTGGTATTCCTTGCAGTTGTGAATTCTTGCTTGGTCATCTGTCTGTTCTGGATTTTGTTTTTCTGTGGGGTGGGGATATGGATTTGGCGGTGGATCGGGTCTCGGCATAAGGAAAAAGGGTTTCTTTTTTTGTTTTGAGTTTATTATCTCTTAGGGTTGAGGTGACGGCGGTGGTTGGCGGTGGTGCGGTTGCATCGGGTCGGGTTGGCGGTGTTTTGATAGTTAATAGAGTTTTTATTTTATCTTTTGTTTTTGTGTTTGGTCTGTTACCATCCGATGTTATTTTTGCCTCTTATTTTAGCCTTAAGGGAGCTTTTTGTTAGTTATTACATCTTGCATGTAAGTTAATTGATTGATGGTTTGATGCATGAATCAATTCAGCTTGATTTTGTTTTGTAACGCTTGACCTGAGACAGTAGTAACCAGGATTTGGGAAAATTTATCTTTTGATTTTGAAGGGGGAGTTGATTGTGTGAGGATAACAATGTCCTGAAGACATCAATCAGCTCGCCATGCTATTTGTTGGTCTCTTAGTGATGTTGATTTGTTTCTAAAGCGCTTTAGAGCCTTTGTTCTATGTGTTTGAAGCTGTAAGTTTTCAGATGTCCTGGATAAAGCTTTGTGCTGTTGAGATATATTTTATTTTTTTCCCATTATTTTGTATTTGTGTGATGGATTTGAAGCTGAAAGCCTTCAGATATCTTGGATAAAATTTGCTTATGCTCATATGTTTTGTGATGAATCCTTGTCTTGTATGGTTGGTTGGTTTGTTTGTTTTTTCCCCCCCTTTTTCTGATGCTTCATGATCTCATGATTGATGTTCTGACCTATTTTTGTTGTGAAGATTTGTGCCGGGTTTTGAAGCTTGATTGTCCCCAATGGCTTCCAAAAGGATCCAGAAAGAACTCAAGGATTTGCAAAAGGATCCCCCTGCTTCTTGCAGTGCTGGTAATTCCTTCCCTTCTAACGTGACCATATAAACACTGTTTGTTATCCAAACAGGCACTATTAGTCTTTGATATTAAAGCCTCTAGGCGATATAAGGATCAGCGCAATTGTAATATAGAAGATGATCAACTTGTCCATATAAAACTGGAAGGCGCATTCAAAATGTTTCTATTACAATACTACCATAACCTCTTTGTTGTTAGTTCCTGTTCTTGCTCTTCAAGGTTTTGTGGGTTTATGACGATTGGCTGAAAATGTTATTGAACCATTGTCACAGGTCCTGTCGGTGAAGATATGTTTCATTGGCAAGCTACCATCATGGGACCGTCTGATAGTCCTTTCTCTGGAGGTGTGTTTTTGGTGTCTATTCATTTCCCTCCGGATTACCCCTTCAAACCCCCAAAGGTAAGATAGACACTGATATTTGGACTCTATACAAGAAGCTTGATGTCATGGCTTATTGCTTGTTGCTTATTATGTCATCATGATATATTTTGTAAAGATGTGCATGTTTGCTTCTGTACCTCTTTTCTACTTGATTTGTTGACTGTTGAGAATAATGTTGTGAGTTTCTTTGTTGCAGGTCTCCTTTAAAACCAAAGTTTTCCACCCAAACATTAACAGCAATGGTAGCATATGTCTTGACATCCTGAAAGAGCAGTGGAGTCCTGCACTTACTATTTCGAAGGTAATGATTGTTGATGTTCATGATAATCACTCTCTTTGGGAACACATTTTGGACTGCCATGTAACTTATGTTGTAGTATTTTGTTGTGTGTTTCACGTACCCGACAGTGATAATATGATTTGCCTAGTTATTGTGGTGCACGTTAGGTTTCATATAATCTTTCATTTGGTAGTGTATAATGTTTGGAAGTTGGGAATCTAATATTTCTTTTTCCTTGTACAGGTGCTGCTCTCCATTTGCTCCTTATTGACCGATCCAAACCCAGACGATCCGTTGGTACCTGAGATTGCACACATGTACAAGACGGACAGGGTCAAGTATGAGAGCACTGCTCGTTCATGGACCCAGAAGTATGCGATGGGGTGAGTAGCTGTTGTGGGATGAAGGCATTGGAGGATGGAGCATTCGAAGATGCTAGTAGTAAATAAAATAGGAAAAGAATGAATTGGTCTGAAACTTTGGTCTTTGTTCTCTTCCCTTGTTTATTAAGGAATTGAAAAGTTGGTGTTGGAACTCATGTGTTTGTTCGTTATAGGTGAAATTTAATGGTCAAAAACTTTTTCGTCCTGCTTGATTTATTTATCCTTTGAAGAATGATTTCTCGATATGTTTATGATTTAGCATTGAGATACCTGGCAGATTTGAGATGAACAGAATAGTAGCATGCTTAGGGTTGTGCCTAGCTGGGTACTGGAATACATACTGTACTACTCATTTGGAGCTTTGAAGTGAGGTAGTAAGTCACGTAGTTGGTGGGTGATTAACTTATAATAAGAAAAAGGTTGGCTTTTTTCCTTTAACCCAAGTAAAAGAGTCCAAACCGTAGTTCTCGCATTCAAGCACAAAACAACTACTATAATAAGAAAAAGGTTGGCTTTTTTTCCTTCCCTTGGTTCTTTCTAAAATCTTCTTTACCATAAAATCCACCTTAAGGCTGGATGATTTTGGTTGTTCTTTACTTGGGGGGTTTGGTTTTTGAAGCCAGATTCAACTTAGGAGGAAACCGCAGTTGCTGAGGATCAATCTCTCAACCAAAGTTTCGGTTGGAGAAGGAGACTAGTGGCGTTATAGTATATAGTATATACTTGTATAACCTGGGATTCCATAGGTTCGTGGCACTCTAGAAAACGACGTACGATCTTTTTGGGCCTAGTACGGGCATGTATTCGTGGGCTCTTTAACTTTCCCTTTCCCAAAATGTCAAACAAAAACACAACAAAATTGAAAATTGTTTCATGGACTTAAAATCATGAAATACAAAAGCCCGGAAAAATAAAAAAAGAAAGGGTTTACCTCAGTAGTGTTAGTGAGAGGGGTAGGACGTCCTGTAACTGTACTATAAGGAGTTACTAGGAGGGATTGTGTAGTCAATTTGTGGTCCATTGAAGCTGTAATAGTACAAAGGCCAGATTGGAAGGATAATGGAGGGGTGGAGGGGCAAATGGTTAGTTCTTCACGGATTGAGGGAGGGTTTGGGAGCGGAAGGAGCAGAAAGAACGAAAGGGCAACGTTTTGATCAGTCCCTTTTGATGCACCTGTCATTTTGATAGCGAATCTACGATTCCTCTGTCTTTCCAAAACTTTTTTGGTTTCATCTTATTGTCTCTTCTTCTTTGCATTGGGAAAGTAGACCTTTTTTTTTCTCCCCTATCTCTGGATGACATTCTATTTTTCATATCCGAATTCTAGGAATACCGAGTTGAGCAATATAAGTTCAGTTGATGTTGCAAACAAAACTTGTGGGGAATTTTTTAAAACTTCAGGATTTTACAACATATATTAGTTGTTGAACTAAAACAGTAAACGATATGATGGAATTTGACATTTGAGAAATGTGTTATTCCCTTTGTCACGATATTATCATCTAGTTTTGTATTAAAATTGAAAATCAAAACTGGATAATAATTTTGGGACGGAAACCACCCTTAATTGTCTTCCGGTCGGAAGGGGAACATGGTTTTTCTAACAAAAAGAAAATAAAAAAATTCCGAAGCGTGACAAGACTAAGAAAACAACAACGACGAAAAGTGAGAAGATCAGCCGGGGCAGAGCGTGGCAGTATAATAGCGTAGAAAGCTGGTGTGGCGGTGGTGGTCTTCCATTGAAAAAAGTTGGAGAACAAGTTCAATTTTTGAATCTTTTTGTGATAGATTGAAAGTCCAAAAAAGATGATGAAAAAAGAGAGAATGACTGCCCAAGCAGCAGAAATTATATAGTATGTGGTAGACTGTGATGATAGATTCTTTTTATTGATGTGTCGAATTGTCCATTTTCAAGGGGCTGGGAATTAAAGATTTGGTAGGAAATAAAAAAAAAATTAAAAAAATGATGCAAAAAAGGAGCATTATGGGAAAATGGGGTGATCCATCGCAAATATCTTTTCAGAGGAGACTATTCAGCTCCGGTTATCCTCCATTCTGACCAGCCCAATTCAAAAAAGTAACCGAGAGACTGTGCCAAAAGTATAAGGCAAAGGACTCCTTTGCCCATTCTCTCATGCATCCTTGCTCCAAAGGTGCACAATTACTATGATAGACCGGTCAACACTTTTACAAATATACGGTTACTATGGAGTATATATCTTTTCTTTTCTAAAAAGATTGTTTCAAAACATTGATGATTGTCTTTTTTCGTTATTATCAAAACACTATTTTGATAGCAAAATTTCTACACCCTCCGTTCCATAATTATTGTCCAGTCTGAGTTTTTATTTTTAGTTCAAATTATACTAAAATTGAAATCTCAAACTGGACAATAATTTTAGGATAGAGGAAATATAACATTTTTGTCACGAATGTTCTTTTTCTTTTCTCTCTCTCTCTCTCTCTCTTTTTGATTTTGAGAAGAATTTGTCTCTGATCATACATCTCAAAATGATTATTATGCAAAGATTTTTACTTTTGATGTAATTTCTATGAACCTAATTTTCCTTTTTTTCAAAAAAAAAATAAGTACTCCATTTATCCACTTGTAAGAATACTCATGAGTCAACTACAAATATGAATTTTTAAGGTCATTTTTTTTTTTTTATTGTCACTTGATCAAATAGTATTACCCCATTATAGGGTCGATAGTAACAAAAGCAGATGCATTAATGGAGGAAGGAAAGAAATACTAATAAATGGGCATGAAGAAACAATAATTTACCCAAAATGGAGTAAGGTCGCATGATAAAAAAACCCAGCAGGCAGCAAGCAATAAAAAGAGAGAATTTCCTCGACTGAAGTGTCTTTGTCCACCTCCCAATCTCCACCATTCATTACTACTTCTTCTTCCGTTACTCCTTTCTCTCCCCCGCCAAAAATAACTGAAACCAAAACGCTTTTCCGTTTCATTGCACGCATCTCTGTCAGAGGAAAGCAAAAAAAACAAACAAACGAATTTAAGACACAACTCTCTGGGTGTGGGGGGATGCATTAATTGTGTGAATAAAAAAAGACATATTTACAATCATAAACGTCATAATTAGGTAATAATTACTCGAGGGCTGAGGGGGGGAAAACAAAGGTGGAAATTCTGGGTGCTTATGGAATGCGACTTGCCTCGTGTAATTAATGAACGAATAATGAATGGAATTATGATCAACTTATTAGTACTCCACTACTACCATTGCTACTATTAGGTAGGGTAGACCAGACCGGACCAGAGGGGGTGTGCATTAAATTACATAGATGATCGATATTTGTTTGTTGTTTCATTACCCTTTTTTTTTTCCTTTTTTTTTATTTTGCCCACCACAAGACAACAACATAAACAAAAGATCTTTTCTTTTCTTTTGGCTACTAGCTAGTACTAGTAGTACTGTCTCTTCTTCATTTATGAGTCTCAGACCTACCTTCTTTACTATAGCTTTAGTATATATAGCAGCTACTGTATTATCAACTCCTATCATTTTTCACTCAAACCACCATCATTGTAAAATCAACGAATCGTCTTGTATTCTTTATTACTCCGTCTGTCCCAAAATTATTGTCCAGTTTGAGATTTCACTTTTAATACATTTTGAATTAGAAATTAAAACTCAAACTGAACAATGATTCTGGGACGGAGGGAGCACAACAATTCGTCCCTACAAAAAATCATAAAAGGCTTTCAAATTTTCTGGTGAACAGTGCCCAAGAATTGATCTTAATGTGTGACGGCATTAACAATTCAACTAGTGTGAATCAACAAGTCTTCTAGACTTGCTCCAGTTGGTTAATTTAACCACAACCTTTTGCCTTTTGGCAAAAAAAAAAAAACAGTAGTAAGAGTGCAAGTACTAAACAAACAATAATTTTTGGAAGAACTATAGGCACCTACATACATGTCCTACAGAGAAATTGGATCCCTGGCATGGAAGGGTAGTAGTGTGGCTTAATTCAATTGGCGGCATGCAGGGTGAAAACTGAAAAGGCCATAATGAAGTGATGAAAAATACTCCCTCTGGAACTACAGTTTTTAATGTTACAATTTGAGAGTGACAAGTAATTAGTGTTTTTTTTTGGGACAGTGTCCCTTAACCTTAAGGGGGTGTTGTTGTGTCCCTGTCTGATGATGCTGACTTCTCTCTACCGGCGCCCTCCCTGCTCTCTGTAGTTTTCTTTTTTGCTTCCTTCCACCCTTTTCACCAGTCCCTTTCCAGCAATTTTTCACAAACACATTCTCTTTGGTTTTAATTTACACACTATCTCTCTACCAAGTTTCAACCCTTTTGCCCTCCTTCCCATTACTGGCCTACATTACATACAGATTGTTGCTTGTCCCTTCTTCCCCAGTTACACCCAACTTATTAAGTACTCCACTTTTCTTTAGTTCTAGAAAAATTATCTATCTTGTTGAACTAAAATTACATCATAAATTAGATTTTTATTTTTTTAAACAAAGATAAGACTCACTTTATTGTCTAAAAAATATGTTAACTCCCACCTCCAAATCCTAGAATAAGATATTTAATCTAAAATTTTTATAATTTTTCTGTCCCAAAAAAACGATTAACATTGAGTTTTAAAATTTGTATAACGTACTCGGTGTAAACTATTTTGTTTTAGAACAGAAAGCACTACTTATTTTTAGTCAACACAAATCCTAAAGTTTGAACTAATTCGATTTAACTAATGTATGTAAATTTGAGTGTTACAAATTTTGTCAGAATTAAAGTTTCGATCAAAATGGAGGGGAAAAAAAAACGAATGCAGAACTTTCGATGCTTAATGATGACAAAGAGTGAAGTTTCGGACAGGGAAGATCCTAGCCGACCACTCCAAACTCCAAATTGCTGATATTAAGAAATAAAATCATGAAAATTCCACTACCTTAAACTCCGAACCTGAGATAAGTTGCACAATAATTAGATTTAAATATTACTAGTGGAGCCTTTGAAGTTCTTACTTTCGAATAATATTTATCTTGTTAATTGAAATTAATTTTTGTTTTACCTAGTGAACATGCAAGATGTGAAATTGAGAGTATTTTCGGATGGGACAAGATAAAGTACTACTATTTATACAACACTATTATTATATATGTTCAGAAACCCCATATTCCTAGGGAGTTGTGAAACATGATTCTGTCTTTTCAATTTTGGTCTGGGATGTAGTATTTTGTATTTTTTTTTTTTTTTTGGGCTTTGCTTCCGGGACATCGTTTGGGAATAATTTGTGTTACGTCATAATTTGTTCTTTTGAAATTTATTTAGCCGATATTAGGTCATGAGTTATTGAGAGTTACTGTCATAGAGGGGATAATGATTTTCATTGTCTTTAAATGGAAATTTCTTGCCAAATGCACCATAAGATTGGAAAGATTTCATGTGACTTCATCAGTTCTGGACAGAGTCTATGTTTTTTTTACCCCTCGCCTGAAGCTGGCTTTTCCTGTGGGCATATTCCATCATCT